TGTATTGACTCTTAGTTATATATCTATTGTTCTTATGTGTTGAGTTCCGTTTTATTTCACTGTTTGTCTTAGTCCCTTTATGTACAGGGCACGCCTAAAAAAAGAAAACAGAAATTAATAAATTTTACCATGGCCGAACCTCCATTCCACACCCGGAAGTTTTGAGCATTTTGAAACATTCAGCTGGTACATCCGAACAGTAGCCTACTTGGCCGAACCCAGTTAAACTTGCTCCCAATCTACTCCTATAACCATGATGGTTGGGAAGTTCGGCTAGTATCTTTATCTGTATCAGCATAGCCGGTACAACCACCCTTCGGCATAATAGACCAGCTTCGCAAGCACGCGGCGCGGCGGCAGCTAGCTATATTACATCAAACGACTTGTTACACTCAATCTTCGCACATTCAATTGCAAAAGTTGTTTAAAGCTTTCGATTGATGATGCTCCAACTGTGCCTGGTGGCAACGAGTTCCACTCTACGATAGTTCTTGAAAAATGCGAGTCTGTGTTCGGAAGGCCGTACGCATTCGGCTATGTGTGAAAAGGGCTTAAGTCACAAAAGAACCTGGCGGTGACTAACAATCACCGTAATCCAATCACGATTCTGCACAGCGCACTTAGCTCCAGGTGCTCCTGTGTTCATGACCAAGCGGGACGAATTACTCCAGGCAAAGGGTTCGGGGAAACGCTGCTCCCGTCATGCTTATTTTCATTTTCGAAATGCCAGCGAATCTCAGAAGACACGGAACTCCATGCTCGGAATTGTAATGGGTACTAACGGTATTCACGGTGGAGGTTGACGGTTATAATTCATTTACCTCGCCGACTGGTGGACGTACCAACTACTAAGTACCTAATACCAGTCCAGAAGATCGAACAAGAACTAGTCATGCCTTCAGGTACTAGAGTTATCAACCAAGGATTGAGGTGTTCAAGAATTCACTCTTTCCTAGAACTTTCGCACAGTGGAACTCACTGTCACCAAGTACAGTAGGGGCCTTGTCAATAGATAGCTGAAAACAATGTCTAGAGTTAGATGTTGTTCAAGGGCTAGGTGTAACAAGTCGATCGGCGTAATGTAGCCAGCTGCCGCCGCGCCGCGTGCCTGCGAAGCTGGTGTGTTACGCGGAAAGGCGGTTATACCGGCTTTCCAGGTACGATTGTGAATTTGCTGACATCGCTAAAACTCGGGACCATGAAGATCAACATAGAACCTTTGTTACATCAATCATGTGGTATGGAATGATCTACACTACACACTCATTTTTTTTAAATGTTACATAACGCCCGTTTCCAGACAATACGTCTGGAATCTGTGCAGGTTTAATCAACCAAGACCGTTCTCCTAGATTCTGGCAAGATTGTGAATTTGCTGACATCGCTAAAACTCGGGACTACGAAGATCAACATAGAACCTTCGTTACATCAATCATGTGGTATGGGATGATCTACACTAGACACTCATTTTTTTGTGAAAAAAACGTTATATAATGTCTTTCAATACAAGACGTGCAGGTTCAATCAACCAAGACCGATTTCCTGGTACGAATTTGAATTTGCTGACATCGCTAAAAGGCGGGAGTATGAAGATCAACATAGAACCCTCCTCACATCAATCATGTGGTATATGGGATGATCTATACCCCTGTAGTAGTCTTAACGGCTTGTGGTTATTGCTAACCTACTCTCCCATTGAACTCACCCAGATAACTTGCCAAGATGATTGATGATACGTACGCTTGGGAAACAAAATGAATGTAGGTTCCTAAAGCATAAGTCTTCCATGACAAAGTAGACAATATCTCTGTGTAAAAGGCAAAGGTTGAATTCTTCTGCCCCGCGTTTAAACCAAAGGCAACATCACCGTCAAACTCGCGGGGGGAGATGCACGCTAGACAGCGTAATCTCCTGGTCGAGGCCAGATGGTCAACCGGAGACCGATATGGCGCCAGAAAGCCGGGCAGTTTTCTGCACAACCAAGAGAAACACCGCGAGACTGTTAATCCACAGGGCAGTGTTTCTACTGTCTCTGATGTCCAGATTGTCCATTTCGTGAGATGCTGATGTGAACACAGATTTTTGACTAGAAAGGTAAAAATTGCAAAGCAAATGCATGGTATTTTTCTTCGCGTATGGTCCGCTCTGTGATTCAAACACAGCCATTTATATGGTCAGACAGGAGTCTAAATCCCTCCCGCTATAAAATTGCAACACGATGTAACCCAACAATAGTTACCATGGTGACATTCGTCTGGTTCGAGTTATTGACCTAATAGAGTTTGAAGAAGAAGGAGACAGAGACAGAGCAAAAATAATGTGTTTTCCTTTGGTAAACATAAAAAGATACATTTCTTTATGAAGCAAGTCTAAACTGTAATTTTCACCACAGAAAACTAGGCTGTACCACCCTAAAAATGAGTTACTGTCAATGAGTGAAAGAGTCACGATTTCTGTGACGTCGTTATGATCTCACGCAGATGACACGCCTGTGAAGTGAGCGATGGAGAATTGGTTGCTGAAAGTCTGTGGAGCCCCCCGTTTTTGTTGAGGGATGATTGTAATGTCCTGACTCCAGATGTAGGCCAGGCCAGTCAGTAGCCGGCCTGGCCGAACACCAGCCAACTACAACTGACCTTACTCCCTACCTACTCCCAACCATGTGGGGAGTTCGACAGTGTTCGAGAGGCCATATTCTTCTATTTATAGTAAGACAGGGTTTTAGACAGATGACTTCGTTTCAGCAAGCATGTTCCAGAAGACACATGCTAACGTCGCTTGAAAAATAGTACAGATTCTTCACGTATTTGCCAAAGGGTCAAGACGCAGGTGTACATTCGTCCCCACACTTAGCGTCTGTGGTAAATCGGTTAACGTGCTTGTTGAGCGTCGTTCGTATGTCTAGTCACGTACACCAGCTTTAACCGGCTTCTTGATATCTCCCTTTATATGATTGGGTTGGAGGGAATGGTGTTACTCTGTAATACCATTGCCAACCTGTGTCATTCATCTCGCCATCTTATAACACTAGAAAGACATTCATATCCGTGCTTTATGTGACAACGTTGTCGTAAATAAGGTAATAACACCTGACGCAGTCGGTAGCGAGGTGCGTAAGGGGGATTCACGTGGGCAGATTCAATATAGATTATTCCTAGTTCTGAACATCGCTCTCTACAACATGACTGATGGGAAGGTGTATATCTTCACCAGCCTTAAGAGCTCCCAAGAGTGTTATCCAATAAAGCTCTTCCAAAAGCTGCAGGACTTCCATTTGTATCGAGATTTAATCACCTAAATCCTAGTACACTAAGGAAGGTCAAAAACGTTAAGTGCCGTTACGTGTATGATGTACGATGTGTCCATGGGCTGCATGCTCAATCTACCAGATACAAGGTACAGGTAGCAGGGTTTTCAAGCTAAGCATTCCAATGCTAATTTGCAATTACCAAGCATAACATCTTTTACAATCTTCTAGGCTTTTCAACTAGGTTATATGCATACATACAGAATTATGGCGATTCAATAAGGCTTCGAAGTATTAATAAGCTAATATGTATATCAAGATAACCCAAATACTTTAAAATAAGAAGTTGTAGATCTCAGATCTGTATGGAATAGTTAGAGTTCATATGAATGTGATTGTGTCCTCTTCTCATTTACCATGTTGTCTACATGCCTTTCTTCATTGTGCAAGGGAAGCCACTAGCATTACAACCTAACCTAAGGGCAGCACTGAAACACAGACACACACACGAACACACAGAAACATACCAAAAACAATACTTCCATTTTTATGAAGGCAGTAAGATGTACCAACACGGTGGTAAAATCTGGGCTGCAAAGTTCCCACATGTCATAGAACCCGAACTGTGTTCGATCGTGTTCGATCTGGGGAATTCGAATCGAACCCGCGTTCTATTTCGGGGTCACCTGCGGTCATTTACTGTAAAGCGGCAAAACAAGCCTTTCTGCCTCCGTGCATTGCAACAGATAAAAAACAACACTTTTCTATAGATACAAACAGTTTCCTGGACAGTACATGTCCGCTATCATTTTTGGTGGACATGTAACATGTGGCGAAGCTATTGTCGTATCCTTGAGTGACCTTGAATACTGTAATGATTCTTTACGCCAGTATGAATAACACAATGCACACTTTCTGGCGATATGACATGTCTCCAAAACTCGTTCAAACCTGGAAACATGGAGAGTCAAACAGTTGTCCCGAAAATCGTGTTTTAGGGATTTTTGAAAAATGGCCTCAATTTTGAATTATGGGTAATTTAGTGAGAAAAATTTCAAAAAATGCCATTTTTTCACCAATATGTCGACAAAAACTAGACTTTAAATCAGAAATTAAAAAATCCCTAAAACACGATTTTTTAATCTTATTCCTAGTCTGCGAAAAATATAAAAATCGGGGATCTGGGGTAATATACGTAGCCAGGTTTGAACGATGTTTGCCTAAAAACGTGACGTGATTTGTGCTCGGAAACCCGAAAATAATCGTCTTTCTGAGCGAAATTTTAAAAAATCAGTGATTTAACATAAAAAGCTAACATTTAAAGGATGTTAAGACGATAATTTCATTTTAATTTGACGAAATTTACCCCTAAATATTATTTGTTTATTTTCAAATATTTTACGGGTAGTCCAAAACTGGCCAAAATAGCGTCTTGTAACCCGATACCTTTTCAAACGCGCATAGCAATGGGAAAGAATGCCGTAGTGACAGACCGCCGTGCAATACCTTCATTTTTCATAGTAATAAGCAGCATGTTCGAGACGAAGGGCCTTTCAAGTAACCTAGTGCCGTCATTAGGGTATCATTAAGACATCTGTGTCTAATCTTATCCTACCCGGGAGTGCGCTCATCAACCGGGATGACGAAACTGGCGCCTCTTAAGTACCGGGAAATTACGTTCTTAAGGCAACGTCTGGCCACGTCAGGTGAATGGATCACGAGACACCCACTAGATCCATATCCTTAAGCTGACTTGAGCCATCTCACTGGCTGAGAAAGTTTCGCTGACCTGTTCACACTGCACTACAATTTACAAAGATAATGCCCAAACAGTGTGTATAACGTACATGTAGATCCCTTGCTGAAAAGGTTCTCTTCGGTTTTCTAAACTCAATAGCGTTAAATGACAATTCCTTTGCTACCACTGATTTTAACAAGGGCCCGATGTTGTTATACCTATATGTTTTAATGCCACAAATGCTTGACGCATTGCTAGCAGTGACACCTAGCTTTAGTGGTCAGTGAATCAGTAACACCTAGCTTCAGTGCACAGTGAACACCTAGCTTAAGTGCACAGTAAACCAGTAACACCTAGCTTCAGTGCACAGTGAACCAGTAACACCTATCTTCAGTGCACAGTGAACCAGTAACACCTACCTTTAGTGCACAGTGAACCAGTAACACCTAGCTTTAGTACACAGTGAACCAGTAACACCTAGCTTCAGTACACAGTGAACCTGTAACACCTAGCTTCAGTACACAGTGAACCAGTAACACCTAGCTTCAGTGCACAGTGAACCAGTAACACGCAGCTTCAGTGCACAGTGAACCAGTGACACCTAGCTTCAGTGCACAGTGAACCAGTATCACCTATCTTCAGTACACAGTGAACCAGTAACACCTAGCTTCAGTGCACAGTGAACAGGTATGAACTGCAAAGTGAACGAGTAACACCTAGCTTCAGTGCACCAGTAACACCTAGCTTCAGTGCACAGTGAACCAGTAACTAAGTAACAGCTAGCTTCAGTGCACAGTGAACCAGTGACACCTAGCTTCAGTGCACAGTGAACCAGTAACACCTAGCTTATGTGCACTGAGAACCAGTAACATCTAGCTTCAGTGCACAGTAAACCAGTAACACCTAGCTTCAGTGCACAGTAAACAAGTGGCACCTAGTTCCAGTGACACCAAGCGATCGTTGAAACTTTCAACTATCTCTGAGCGACCCACACGCAGAAAAAAAACTTGCCACTGATATAACCATATGCACCGCCTTCAAACTACAACTTATCAAACTGCTTTCAGTAAGATCGTCCTATAAGAGCACCACTTTACTTGACCTAATCTTACACAGTAGCGGGGTCGCAAATATGGATGCTGTATTTATCTACCCTTATCCACAGGCCTCCTCTGTGCCATGCGCCTCTGAATCACCCAAATGGATGCTATTGCCACGCTAGTTTCTAAGGAAAGACCATCTTTGCTCCCCGATCACATAGATTATTACGTTCGTGAATAGGTGGACATGTTTTCAGTAGACCACTGATAAGTGCATTCTATGGGAAAGGGCGCTTGGGTCACTGGCGAGCCATCCTTATGTTTTCAGTATAACCATTGATATAAGTGCATTGGCTTGGGCTTGGGTGATAGGGTCACTGACGAGCCATCCTTACTGCCTATCCACAGGCCCCCTCTGTGCCATGCGCCTCTGAATCACCCAAATAGATGCTATTGCCACGCTAGTTTCTAAGAAAAGACCATCAGATTATTACGTTGGTGAATAGGGGACATGTTTTCAGTAGACCATCGATAAGTGCATTGGCTTGGGCTTGGGTGCTAGGGTCACTGGTGAGCCATCCTTAATGTGTGTGAAATACGCCATTTGTCCTGTACTAACGTTGCCATGAAAGAAGTTTACCCGATATGTGTCACCTCATTACCGGCTTATCAGGCAGGGAACCGCTCGATGTAAAGGAATGAAAGGGTCTCCGATGATGACAAAACTCGTGACCGCAACTACATGTATCAGTCAAACTGAAGGCACTGCCATGAACAACAGAGAACAGTGGCTTAGAAAAGTATTTCAAAAAGCCCTTTGTCAAACTTTGAAAGTTGTACGTAACATAATACGTAACATATTTGAAACATAATCCATGGATCCAGTGAAAACTACAAATACAAGGGGGTGTAAAATTACAATAAGGTGTATATATACATGATATTCAGATACAAATTAAACTATCATCAGATAAATTCAACTTTTCGTAGCTTTTTAGTTATAGTAGGGATAAAAGAACATATATGTTTTAGATGAAAGGTTTGCCTAGTTGCATTTAGCAATATGAATATTGCAGTGCGTACGTGTTACGGAATGCTCCTATCGTAGACCAGATTTTTCATGGTTTTCGTTGGATCTTTGGTCAACGTTGTATTATAATTTTGCCTGTTGCAGACGATATTTTTTCGCCACAGCATTTCAAAACTACGAGATGTTTACCTTAAATACGCCATGCACACAATACTACCTTATATGCAAATGAAACTGCCGAAGAGCTATGCACAATACATATACATTACGGGTTTACGCAGGTGCAGTACGTTCTGCTGACATGCTACGTAGCCCGTTCTTCGATAATGACTATATCATTGTCAATCGAAGCTGACAAATAATGAATAGGTTCTTCACGCCTGTGGTGTGGGAGTAAATCAGGACACGGGATTCAGCCTAGCCTTATTGGTTATTGATCTGATGTTAGGATCTATGGGGATTATTTTCCTGACAAGGTCATGAGTTCGTTCTCCAGTGGGGAAAATGGGAACAGGTGCGTCTTCATCACTGATATGGATTTTTAAATCACAGCAGAGCAGTGGTGATTTATAAGGATTGCAAGCATTATAGGGACTTATCACGTCCGACTTTCTGTCATATCCTTCTTTATTATTGTCCTGGCATTTTAGTGCAGTTCAGAATCGTGCAGTTGCTCATATGTGTTTATGTTTATTCGCACGTGTTAGACACAGACAAACAAAACATTAACACAAACCACCAGGGCCCCCAAAAATTTAACTATTTATAAATGTCAAGTCCTACTACATGTTGTACCTACTTTCTAGATATCAATATCTATTTTAAGCCTTAACGAGTTATAGTTTACACACACACAGAGAGAGAGAGAGAAGGACGCAACGTTACATATATATTATTATCCTTATTGGTAAAGGTAATAACATGTACAAAGACACGTTATACATAAAGAATTTTATCAACAATAAAAAGTAAACAACAATCAATGATAACATATAATAGCATATAGCTTATATAATAGAACCAAGTATCGACAAAAGTGATGATTGTCAGTTACATGTTAGTCATTTCTAAGTGAAATCACATTTTAATGGCTTAATCTACAATCATCATCCTTTTTCACTTTGCTTTCCATTAGTCATTCGGCGAATACATCGTTAGGGTTTAACCTGATCATTGAACCCGATAACGCTGATCGTAAAACAAATGTGGATCAACGTAGAGGTCATGCTTATATTTATGAGGGGTCAGGGTGACTGACACAGGTCAGTATGCGCTCTAAAAAATCAATTTCATCTGCGTAATTTTTTTTTATTTGAATACAGGAGAGCAAAAATACCATTTGTACAAGAATGCAGATTGTGTAACTGTATACATACAGAGCCCGTTTCCATAATTTCACACTTTAGTATTGTAAAAAAACATCTTTCTACTGGATCTAGACAATTAATCGAAGAAATATCAGCTCTCTACTGTAACTAAAAAATTGATCTCGGGCACAAACTAATTACAGAATTGAGTGTTAAAAGACTTGTTACAGACTAGAACTGAAGAAAAGAGTTTTTGAAAGTAACAAGAGAATTGTCAATGTTTTGAGGTTGATGACAGACCAGCACTCTAGCTCTGTACATGTGAAAAATATTTACATACTGATAACAAGTCTCTCTAGAACCGTAGGCCGGCCCAAATACACTTACATCTGCTAAAAGGGTACATCAAGTGGGCATTCCGCAGGCTATAGCTAGATGTACAATTATGTTTGTTATGTTGTCTTCTTAGAAATAGGATGGTAGGAGCACAATTAGAAGCTTATTGTTCAGCATCCATTTCAGCTTGCAATGTGTGTGCGTTACGCCAGGGGGAGCCATTGCATTACAGCACAACACCATGCTATTGTACTAGTACATACATGAAGCATTTTATTGCATCTTTCATAATTTTTGTTGTTGTCCCCAGGATTGTGATTTAATCAGGCAGCCTGGAAGACACAGGGGCATGATTTTATTCTCTACCAGGCTTCAGAAAGCGTCTAGTAGCATTAGAAGTTGGCCAAATAGACATATGATAATATATGAGCGGGGAGTTGGTCTGGCTGCTAAAGGAGTTTGCTTAAGGTGATTACATATACCAGTATATCCGGTGTGTTACGCCGACGGGCGGTTATACCGGCTACACTGATACAGATACATATACCTCACTTACCTCACAGAGGTATTGGTGTGATTTGCGTGTGGATATGTGAGAAAGAGAGAGTCAAAAAGACATTCACCATTCAAGGTAAACTAGAACGATGTATTCACTTAAGCTCGATACATACAGTGAAATAAAACTTAAGACGAAGCATGTCATTGACATACATGTGATTTTACATTCAAGTTCGTCTGTGTAGAATAACTGCAGTTGATTTCTAGTACATTTTTCAAATCCCAGGCATTCCATTGTCAAATCTACTTGTCTCATACCACACTGGTTTAATTTTATGGATGGCATCCATCCTCGCGCGCATTGATTTTCGCCTGGTCTAAAAATATGGTCTAAAAAATCACCTCCTAGGAGGCTCTGGTCCGGGTATCCATCCTCCATAGTCCATCGAAGCTAATGACAGTATGAAGCCGGCAGTGACTACAGTGACTACACTCTACAGAACTCAAGAATTCAGTACAGTGACGAATCACATATGCTGCAACAGGCCAGCATGTTCATTTTTCCTGGAATTTTTCTTCCATTCGCTCGCGTGCACTAGTTTGGGTCTCTTTAGAGGATGTCTTCCATGAGATTAAGTCGGTGTGGCCTTACATGGTGATCGTTTTTTATCTGATTGCATGTAATTTTACATTCAGCAACAATTGCAAGTTGATGTACATGTACAGGTGAAGCTTGATTACATTTAGCAAGCCACAGATTTTAATTTTCAAATTGACTCATCTAAAAGATATTAGTTCAATTTCTGCATATGTACAAGTTTCAATCTATTGTACCTGCTACAATTGTCGTGCAAAAGTTTGGCTTGGTTTTTACGTTAATGACTATGAAAAAGATATTCTGACATACTCATTTTCACCTTGTGATTTTTATATATACTACTAGTGTATTTTTTGATATTTAGATTCCTGGAAAAATTTTCAAATTGACTCATCTAAAAGATATTACTTCAATTTCTGCGTATGTACAAGTTTCAATCTATTGTACCTGCTACAATTGTCGTGCAATTAAGTTTGGTTTGGTTTTCCATAATGACTATGAAAACGATCATTCGGGCATACTCATTTTCACCTTAGTAAAGTGATTTTTCTATATACTACTAGTGTATTTTTTAACATTTAGGTTTCTGGAAAAATTTTCAAATTGACTCATCTAAAAGATATTAGTTCAATTTCTGCGTATGTACAAGTTTTAATCTATTGTACCTGCTACAATTGTCGTGCAATTAAGTTTGGGTTGGTTTTCCTTTAATGACTATGAAAAATATCATTCTGACATACTCATTTTTACCTTAGTGAAGTGATTCGTCTATATACTATTAGGGAATTTTTTAACATTTAGGTTTCTGGAAAAAATTTCAAATTGACTCATCTAAAAGATATTGCTTCAATTTCTGTGTATGTACAAGTTTCAGTCTATTGTACCTGCTACAATTGTCGTGCAATCAAGTTTTGTTTTTGATTTCCATTAATGACTATGAAAAATATCATTCTGGCATACTCATTTTCACCTTAGTGAAGTGATTCTTCTATATACTACTAGTGTATTTTTTGACATTTAGATTCCTGGAAAAATTTTCAAATTGACATTAAAACAAAAGAACATTAGTTCAGTTTCTGTGTATGTACAAGTTTCAATCTATTGTACCTGCTACAATTGCCGTGCAATTAAGTTTGGTTTGGTTTTCCATTAATGACTATGAAAAAGATCATTCGGGCATACTAATTTTTAGCCAAGTGAAGTGATTCTTCTATATACTACTAGTGTATTTTTTAGCATTCAGGTTCCTGGAAAAATTAAGCATGGGCAATGACCAACTAAAAGACCAATTATCATTTTATTTCTCACTCTCTGTCTAACATAACATTGGCATTAACCCTAAACAGTACACCTGGGGTCCGCGCGGACCCCAGCACTATATATTCTGTAATATCTTTTTTGTTTCTAAAGATTTTTTTCTGAAATTTTAGGTAATTGTCACCCACAAAGTTGTCTCTCAATACAGTGCAGAAAACTCCGTTTCTACCATTTGTAAAAAAAATTATATCTGATTTTCTGTTGGGGTCCGCGCGGACCCCAGCCGGCTTTCGATCATAATGGATACACTGGCGTTCTTATACATTACCTTATTTCCGTTTTTATATGTTTTTATGCACTCATCGTATGTCTACCAAGTTTTCAGAGAATGGTGTAGTAATAGAATTAAATTTTAATAACTTTGGTGTAATTATGACGTCATATGATGTCAGAGCTAATAATATAGTCCGCCATATTGGATTTTGACCAATGACGTCATTAAATTAGCATATTCTATGCATATTAAAAAATTTAACTTATATTTAATTATGTAAGATGTAATTAATGTTGGAAAAGAAGTGTAATTTAATATAGAACTCAGAAAATTTTTATGTTTAAACCAAAATTACTTCTATTTTCAAAAAAACTGCCTGCTAGAAACCCGTTGCCATGGCAACACAAAAAAACATCAACTTACTAGTATTAAACTAATATGAACTTTTTTCCAGAGACGTTTTAGGAAAGGTCTCCAAATTTGATACTTCTAGCGCAAGCCGTTTAGCCGCTATCTGAGATCAAAGTTGGGCCTAAAAAGCCCCTTCAGTCTGAAATGGGTTTAAAAATTGGGTATTTCTTCTTGTCTTCTTTTCTTCACCAAAAAAAGAAAAAGTTCAAAATGTATGATTTTTGGATGTAATGTGGACACAGAGGTTCCCACATCAGTTTGCAAAACAATTGAGCTGGTAGCATGTTGATAATTTCTAAAAATGAGCAAAAAACTGTTCTGGGGTCCGCGCGGACCCCAGGTGTACAGATTAATCAGTCCGGGAAGGTGTACTGTTGAGGGTTAATGTGGAAATGTGAATTTAATCATGATATTTACTTTTACATATTATATGTTTCTGCTTCTTAATATCAATTTAATGTTGTATCCACTGCCATTACCAGATTACATTATACTAGAGCAACATATTTGAATTTGAAGTCTTCAAAACTTACTCAACTATTTACTAATAGGTACATTATAATTTCTTACATTCTGGTCATAACAGTAGTAGTTTTATATTTTTGTACACAGTAATTCAACTAAGTAACAATTAGGCTTGCACCATAAGATCCAAAGAATCAGTGTTGGCATGAGACTAATCATGTCCTGTCTGATTATGACTACTGGTCATAACAGTAGTAGTTTTGTACAGATAATTCAACTAAGAAACAGTTGGGCTTGTGACATAAGAGATTTATAGCACCCAATGAATCAGTGTTGGCATGAGACTGATCCTGTCCTGTCTTATCATGACCATTGGCCATTACAGTGGTATTTTGGTACAGAGAACTTGCAAGGAAGTCTGTCCAGTGCCATAAAATGGATTTCTAACATCCAAGACATTACGTGTAGGCCAGAGACTGACCCTGCCCTGTCTGATTATGACCACTGTTCATAACAGTAGTAGTTGTGTAGGTTTGTACCATAAGATCCAATGAATCATTGTTGGCATGAGACTGATCATGTACTGTCTGAGCATGACTACTGGTCATAACAGTAGTAGTTTTGTACAGAGAATTCAATTGAGAAACAGTTAGGCTTGTACCATAAGATCCAATGAATCAGTGCTGGCATGAGACTGATCCTGTCCTGTCTGAGCATGACTACTGGTCATTACAGTTGTAGTTTTGTAAAGCGAACTTAGCTGAGAGGAAGTCTGTCTAGTGCCATTAAATGGATTTCTAGCGTCCAAGAAATTACGTGTCGGTCAGGAACTGACCCTGTCCTGTCTGATTATGACCACTGGTCATAACAGTTTTGTACAGAGAATTCAGCTGGGCTTGTGCCATAAGCTAGATTTATGCTTTCCAACGAATCAGTGTTGGCCTGAGACTGGCCCTGTCCTGTCTGATTTTGACCACTGGCCATTCCAGTACCTGTTTTATACAGAGAATTCAGCTGTGATGCAACAGGCCCTGTGCCATAAAATAGATGTCTAGCGTCCCATGATTCAGTGATAGTCTGAGACTGACCCTGTCCTGTCTGATCATGGCCACTCGTCATAATAGTAGTAGTTTTGTACAGAGAATTTAACTGCGAGTCAGTCGGCCCTGTGCCGTAAGATGCATTTCTAGCATCCAAGGATTCAGTGTTGGCCTGAGACTGACCCTGCCCTGTCTGATCATGACCACTGGCCATTACAGTAGCTGTGGTGTTTGTGCTGGATTCAGTGTTGGTCTGAGAATGACCCTGCCCTGTCTGATCATGACCACTGGCCACTACGGTAGCTGTAGTGTGTGTGTTGCATTCATTAACGGCCCGAGACTGACCCTGTCCTGTATAATCAACACTGGCCATTACAATAGCTGTTGTGTTGGTTGTGGATTCAGGGTGACCCTGCTCTATCTGATTTGGAGCACTGGTTGTTTCTGTGGAAGTTGGGTCCCTTGGTGTTGCTTCCACACCCGCATACATAGTATTTGGCTTTAAGGCAGCTAGCACTTTGCCACGGGATAAATTTCCGGCATTCAGAGATTGAATGTTAGCCTGGGACTGGCCCTGTCCTGTCTGATCATGATCAGTACCTATGATAGAACTTGATGTAATAGTGTTGCTACCAACAACATAGGGATTCCGCCCTAAAGGAGGATGTCTGGTCTTCCCTTTGCACCACACTATAAGAGTGATGGCACCAATCAGGACAATCAGACCAGCTACTGAACCACAGACTGAGCCAAGGAGAACAGGTAGGGGGGCTTTGGGGGCAGTTTCTGGTTTGTCTGGAGTAATTGCAATGGGTGAAGTTAGTGTTGTTTTTGTTTTGTCTGCAGGGTTTGCAGTTGGGACAGCATTGGATCTAAAGTACCAGTGATAGTGCGAATTGTGAGAGGTTACTTGGATATTAAATGTTACAGTAGCTATGGTGTTTGTGATGGATTCAGTGGTGACCTGAGACTGCCCTGTCTGATCATGACCACTGGACATTACAGTACCTGTGGTGCGTGTGTTGTATTCAATAATGGCCTGAGACTGACCCTGCCCTGTCTGATCGTGACCACTGGCCATTACAGTAGCTGTGGTGTGTGTGTTGTATTTGATAATGGCCTGAGACTGACCCTGCCCTGTAGGTACTTGGATATCAGGAGCCAGTGTTGACATGGTTGGCTGTTCACATACCAATAATTCTTCAGGCTTAACATCTGTAAGCTTCTTTCCCTGAACTTTAGCGGGTTGAATACAATTTATCTGGTCTTTTAATAAAAAAATTAGCCTAAAGGGTTCCATTCTGCAGTCACACTGCCAGGGGTTCCCATCAAGATTAATGTTCATAAAATAATTTATTGGTCCAGGAGCGTCAAATGAGAAGAACAAGGGAGCGGGACAAAGCCTGCGTTTCTTTAATTGGAAACATTGGAATAGGGGCAGATTTGCAAATACATTAGTATGAATGGTAGTTATCTGGTTGCTTGACAGGTCCAAAGACCGTAGCTTGGGTAGATTCATAAATACACCAGACTGAATTGTTTTTATCTGGTTTTTCGACAGATGCAACCTCCCTAGCTGGGATAGATTTGCAAACGCACGAGATTGAATCTCTGTTATACGGTTTCCGTCCAGATATAATTCAAGTAGCCTCGGTAAGGTTGAAAATGCACCAGACTGAATCTTTTTTATCTGGTTGTACGACAGATACAAACGTTTTAACTGAGATAGACCTGAAAATGTATCATGATGAAGCATTGTTATCCGGTTGTAGCTCAAATCCAAAACTTGTAGCTGGCTTAGATTTGCAAATGTACCAGACTGAATCACTGTTATCTGGTTGCTCGGCAGGTGCAACCATCTTACATTATGATAAGGTGGTAGCTCTTGGTTCGTTACATTTGTGATAAGGTTACTTCCTAGATCAAGGCATTGGTAATTGTACGGAATTCGGAGGAATTTAGGGATGCTAGTGAGGTTCTTGTTGCTATATGAAGGTGCACGGAAACAACGTACGTTGAAGCTAAAGTCAACCTCCTTCAGGATGATGAGCAGGAAAATCAACAAGTGTCGCAGCTTTCTTCCCATGGAGTCCTGATACCTAAATAGAACGAAAAAAGAAAACAAGTCCTCAGTAAGGCGACTGAAACAATGTGTTTCCAAACTCAAATTTTAAAGAAGAAATGCCTCTTAAATATAAGCATAAGCATAATCCAACGGGGAATTTTGGTGAGGTTAGTCTCAAATTCCTTGTTTATTTTTTGCTCTCCTGCTAAATTGATTCCATTGAAAGGTCAAAGAACAAAAAACTTAATTAAAATGGCTGAAAAATCAATGATTCGGGGCATCTATTGGAGTCTTGCGTGACCGTGCTTGATGTCCCCTTGTCTGCCAGCGCTGCTATCCATATAGGACTGCCACGTGACATATACGTGCTTGAGAGGAGCTGGCAAGGCGTGCTTTTTAGGTCTGGGATGTTTTTTTTTTAACTCCATGTAGTCAGCATAACTTCATAACGCCTTTATGGATTTGTAATGATATTTGGTATGCTGGTCAAGGTTGAATATGGGCCTCCTGTTGGATGACCTTCCGGTTTTCGTATTTTTTGTCATGAACATGCTATGGTCTTGATTTTTTTGGTGACAGATAGCTTATCCTGTCAGAAATAATTGGTGTAAGTTTGGTTTCCCTAGCAGCTTGTTCTGGAACTGCAGGTTAGTTTCTGGTAAAAACATTTAAAGCCAGATAGGAACATCGTATTTTCATCATTTTTTGGTATGTAGATAGCTGAGAGAGTTGTGCATTATTAAATGCAAATTATGCAAGTTCACCACCCGTACGTGCGAGTACGGGTGACGCGCGTGCCCCGTACGTACAGTACTCTTACGTACGGTGCGTACGGCACGTGTGAGTACGGCTTCCTTACGGTAAAGTTGCAATCGCACAGATATCGTGCGTTGTAAGCACGTACAACTCACTTACCGCTTGCTCAACGAACGATGCACGCAATCGTTCAAGGCTAGACGTGGCATACAGACCACACTGTTATACCCCGCTCCTTCCCCACATTTTCAGAAAAACGTAGCAGACGTGGCCTCCCAATAAAACGTGCGGACAAAATGCACGAACGGCGGGTTGTGACCGAGGCTTTAGGGCCAATTTACATAGGACTCTAGATGCTTGACAGTGTTTTCTGTCAAGTTATGGAATATTCCAAATCGTGGTCCAGCCATGCCATGAATTGGAATGCAAAGAAATGAACTTTCTGTTGTATTACCAAAGACCATTCCATGTGAATACGTCATTTTGAAATACAACAGGCCCCACTGTTGTTATAACAAACAGCTCTACATTATTGGGACTATAGTGATATAGTTTATTTGTTGATTGCCTCGAGCTGGCTGTTTGAATATTGATGATATCAAAATTGCTTTCTTTTGTTTTCTAGCCTTTAAACCTCCCAAACATAATCAGCCGAATGTAACACCTCTCTTTAAAATATTCCTCTATTTCTAAAATATCATTACAAACAGTCTTTATAGGACAACCAAAGTACCATTACTGGTCACTCTTCTCTGAATGCTGCAATTGCCCTGTCTGATCATGGTCACTGGCCCTTACAGTAGCTGTTTTTTGTGTGTAGGATTTATCTTCATACTGGCTATCATCCTACGTTTCTTATCATGCAACGAAATGGAATGTCTGTTGTACTACAAACCGAGGACCATTCCATGTGAATACGTCATTTTGGAACTCAACAGGCCCCACTGTTGTTATAACAAACAGCTCTACATTACTGGGACCAAAGTGATATAGTTTATTTGTTGATTGTCTCGAGTTGGCTGTTTGAATATTGATGATATCAAAATTTCTTTCTCTTGCTTTCTAGCCTTTAACCTTCCAAAGAACAAAATTAGCCGAATATAACACTTCTCTATAAAGTATTCCTCTATTTCTAAAATATCCATTACAAACAGTCTTTATAGCTAGGACAACCAAAGTACCATTACTGGCCACTCTGAATGCTGCAATCGCCCTGTCTGATCATGGACACTGGCCCTTACAGTAGCTGTTTTTTGTGTGTAGGATTTATCTTCATACTGACTATCATCCTACGTTTCCTATCATGCAACGAAATGGAATGTCTGTTGTATTGCAAACCGAGGACAGTTCCATGTGAATACGTCATTTTGAAATACAACAGGCCCCACTGTTGTTATAACAAACAGCTCTACATTATTGGGACCATAGTGATATAGTTTATTTGTTGATTGCCTCGAGCTGGCTGTTTGAATATTGATGATATCAAAATTGCTTTCTTTTGTTTTCTAGCCTTTAACCTTCCCAAACAAAATCAGCCGAATGTAACACCTCTCTTTAAAATATTCCTCTATTTCTAAAATATTATTAGAGTCTTTATAGGACAACCAAAGTACCATTACTGGCCAACAAACGGCTCTACATCATTGGGACCATAGTGATATAGTTTATTTGTTGATTGTCTCGAGTTGGCTATTTTAATTGATGATATCAAAATTTATTTCTCTTTCTCTCACTTTTAACCGGTACCTCCCAAACAAAATCAGTTGAATGTAATACTTCTCTTTAAAATATTCCTCTATTTCTAAAATATCATTACAAACAGTCTTTATAGGACAACCAAAGTACAATTACTGGCCACTCTTCTCTGAATGCTGCAATCATGGCCTTTTCTGATATGATCATGGCCAGTGGCCCTTACAGTAGCTGTTTTTGTGTAGGATTCATCTTCATACTGACTATCATCCTACGTTTTCTATCATGCAACGAAATGGAATGTCTGTTGTATTACAACCCGATATCAAAATTGATTTCTTTTGTTTTCTAGCATTTAAACTTCCAAACAAAATCAGCCGAATGTAACACCTCTCTTTAAAATATTCCTCTCTTTCAAAAATATCATTAAAGTTGTTATAGGACAAGTACCATTATTGGCCACTCTACTCTGAATGCTGCAATTGTACAGGTGTCATACGTTCATTGTTTAAAGCTTTTCAGATATGGCAGAAAAGTGAAGGAGATAAAAAAAAAAGAAATCCTTAAAACTTTAGATAGACGGAAGAAAATGTCATGATCAATCTGAAACTTCTAGTTCTGGCAAAATTGGTGCCTTGGGTATAACACATGAAATAAACTCGCCTAAAGCTAAGGTCCCAATTGGGAAAAGGGGCCCTGGCGGGTAGTTCCCGGGCTGTTTTTTAACACGGGACCCCGACGTGGCCCCGCGGGGCACCCTGCGGCTACCGGGCTGTTTTTTGGCCCGTCGGGGCCCCGATAAGAATTTAATTCTGAGTTAAATTCTACCCGGGCCCCGCTGACAAAAAGACGCCGTGACCTCATCGTGAGAACACTGAGAGGTACCCCTCCGGTTGCCGGCATTCCACCGGGACACATTTCTTACGTCACAGACCAGATGAACAGAATAAAGGTGTGTACTTCGTAAACCCGGGTAAAATGGGTGACCTTACAGATCAAATGATCACAACAAATACGTGAATTCTGCATTACGTATAGGTCAATACAAGACATCGTCAGAGAATCTGCCGGGTACCTGCCGGGTGCCTGCCGGATACCGACTAAAGAGGGTGACAAAATTTCTAACAAGATGCTACTGAAGGAAACTTTTAATTGTGACCACGACAGCCGATGCCCGCTCGACTCCTGAACCCGGCCGGGGCCAGCCGGGGCTACATCCCCGACGGGCACCGGCGTAATTGGGACCTTAGCTTAAGCAGATGGTGAAAACGTTCCAAGAGCCGGGATTCTCTGACATTTATATACCGTCTAGATAGGTCATTCCCTAAAAACTTGGTATACAACACAACTTAACCAAAAGTGTTAATGATAGAATATTAGAGTGTACTAAGACTTATGTTGCCCATAGCAACACCGGTGACGTCATAAAATTCTATTGTTGAAACGAAAATTACTACATTTAGCAAAAAATGCCTTGTGAGAAACCCGTTGCCATCGCAACACAAAAATTATTCTCGTATTCCACTGATACAAAATTGTTGCTAACAATATTTTAGGAAAAGTCACCATGTTTGGTGCTTCTAACACAAGCAGTTCAGACGCTGTAAGACATTAAAATTGGTGCGAGCACTTTTGCCCCCCCCCCCCGGTCTAGATAGGATTAAGCCATAACAAACTGTCTACACAACAAATTTTGCTCCACTTATTGTCCACTAGCAGACTCATGCCATCATACCTTTTCAACCAGTCAAAATAGCTTCAACTGGCACTTTCTGGCAGAATACCTCTGGCACAGGTTGCTGTTGTTCTTGTAGGGTGTGTTCTCCTTCGGTAGCTGATCCGCAATGGCGCGTGACAAACAACCCAAGATTAGTCACATGGTGGAGATAATTGTCTGAAACTGGCTATTTGAATAACGTTAACATTCATAATCGTGACGTAAATTCTAACCAAGCTAAAATAGTGTACAGGAATCCTTATTCACAGGGTGCAAATAGCAGCAATAGCTGTGTTGGATCCTTGGTTATGCTTTTGTCCCAATTGCGCCGGTGCCCGTCGGGGGGATGTTGTCCCGGCCGGTCCCCGGCTGTCTGTAACGTAACAAATTTGTCCCAGTGAACTGCCGGCAACCGGAGGAATGCCTCTCGGTGTTCCCACAGTTAGGTCACGGCGTCTTTCTGTCACCTGGGCCCGGGTAGAATTTAAGTAACAACTAAATTATTCTCGGGTCCCGGCCGGACAGAAAAATAGCCAAGTAGCCACAGGGTGTCCCGCGGGGCCACGTAGGGGTCACGCCTGAAAGTGCCGAAAAACAACCCGGCAACTACCCTGCAGGGCCACTCTTTCCAATTGGGACCAAAGCATAAACAGTTGTTTCCCCTAGTGGGGCACTGTGGAGACAGACCATATGAGAAGCACACATCTACCTGCTAGTTAATGTGTTTGCGTAAATAAACAACAGTGTTATCTATAAAGATATCTGAACCAGCTGTGTAACCAAGATTTTGTGTTCAGTCTGTGACTGTTTTTTGGCAGCATTAGACGCACAAGTCCAGTTTTCCTGCCTTTTAATACGAATACATTTATGTAAATACCACAAGAAAACAATCTTTCTTAGGCTGTCCTCAACAAGTGAGAAAACACAATAGGACATGCCTGATTGGTATAATGTCAAATCTTAACACCTTATTTTCTTTTCCATTGTGGTTGAAGATAATGTTGTGGAGAGCACACCTTCTGCCATGTGTGGGGAATGCATTGCGGGTATTTGCAAGGAGTGAAAGGGGCAAGGAGTGATTTCAAGAAAGAATTTAACAGATATAAATGTTACTTTTACTTGGTCCATTTCAGAAGTATATTGTACTGGTAAAATCCCAGTGAAGAGATGACCCAGTATTATTAACTTCTAAAGGGATTATATTTTTTTGTATTTGTTTTCCTTTCCAATGCTGTTATTTGGTTCTTGCCCTAAAATGCATACTGGCAGCAAGTAGTGACGCATACAACTTTTATAGATAGGTTGCAGCTTTAATGTCTGACTTAAAATTAATCATAGCAGTATCAAGTTTGTCTATGTTTAAAGGGTCTAAGTTTACTAAGTTTAAAATAACGTAATCTGTAGTAAAATTATATCTGATACTAATTTTTAAGTTGACCTCTGACATTGATAACACGCTACCTTGCGTGTTTTTATCAAACAACAATCAATGAATGCAGTTTCGGAGAATCGTGATCGGGCACGGTTTGGAAGGAATGTATGGCACGTGGACCAGATGTGAGGAATACGAGTTACCCGAATCGCGGTTCGGGTGGTTTCATATGAACAAGGCCATAGTGACCCTGTGAATAAGGATTTCTGTTTGCACTATTTACAGGGCGACCCTGTAAATAGCCACCTCGCCATTATATTAAACATGATTGGTGTCATCAAATATTCAAATACCTCATCTACCCGCATCATAGACTTCATTGGTCTTGTTGTTTGACCTGAGTTGGCTCCCATTACTTTATTAGAATGGTGACGCACATTGAATGGAGCTATAATGTAATTAGCTCACCTACATGTGTGTGATAAATGGTCATTGTTGGGAGAGGTGAAGGCTGGAAAACAACTACAGGGTGGGTCACAATTTTTGATGTCACGAGTCGCTGATAGAGTACAGTTGCTGTTAGGTCACAAAAGGAAGAGCGGGGAAGTACTAAAATGGCGACTACAGGACTTGGTACCGTTGTCCTGTTTTTGGTTACTGCTGCATCCTTTGTCACGGCGGACAGAGTGGTTCAGTTTGGTGAGCTGGCGTACTTATGTTTTTATTATTAGATAGAGCTCTAAACAGAATTCTGTAGGCTCTAAAACGTCGACTCTTTACGGGGAACGGTATTTACTAAAATGTGTTCTACCTGCATATTCAATGTCGCTGCTTTTGAATAGTCTAATCGATGAATTCATGATGGTTCTATGATTTGTAATTGTTATATCTTTTCAAGCAGAGAACACAAAATAACAACCCTGCCACATTTTCATTCAGAAAAATATTATTGGATTGTTATATTTGGGGGGAGGGCATTTAGGGCAGCAAAACAAAAAATAAATTCTGAATGAGAAAATTTGTCTAATATTTACTGCCATTTCTTAGAACAATTTGTTACCATTTCATACTTGAGGCATTTGAAATAGCCCCAACACAAGCTACGTGAGTGATGAGTCCCTTTATTTCTGGTACACTACAAATAGCTAGAGCCAGCCTACACGTTACGGAAAAAGCAACCATTTCCGTCGTCAACGGACCACATTTTTTCCTTACAGATATCAATGTGTTGGGATAGGATTGGAATTGCTTGGGCATGGGGCCATTGCAAGTAATCTCCAAGCAGATCATAGGGTCTCAAAACTAGAGTATCAAATTGGCCAGGCAGGCTAGAGAGGGTCCATGCGCGACCCAAGATGGGGGTAGCGACAAACGAATGGGCCATATATAGAAATTTACTTCCCCCACAACCTCTGCTTGGAGAGTAATAGCAACGGCTGTCAACAGAACAAAACATTTCAGTGCCAGACTATTTACGATGTACATATCCCGCCCGGCGCCCTTGATAAATTGGGTGCCTTTCATGAATAAATAACAACGTATACAAACATGTATCCACCAAACCCTACAGGTGCATTGTCTGTGTCCGACTTTCCTGCCGCCTCTTCCGCATTGAAGCTTGCTGTGGAGTATGTGAACGAGAATCAGCTCGTTCCCAACGTGACTCTTGAGTACATCGAGAACACAACAACGGCACTGGCTTTCCTGGACTTGATCCAACATGGTTAGTTATGTTTTATTTCTACCTCGGGTATCTAGCTGTAAATGAAGAAAGAATGTTGTTCGATTCTAAAATGCACTACATTTGTGTAATGATATTCTTACAGCAATGTTTATTGCAAAAGTATTCGTGAGGTACACATTTACTGTACATACAATATACTAGTACTTAGCTTACAATCAATTGTTCTTTGTACACATATAATGTAGAATGTTACCAGGCATCGCATGGCGTCGTGGCTATTATGGGGCCAATTTTATCGTCACAGGTAAATCATAATATTTATATATACATAGTAACCATACATTTTCTTACTTTGCACCGTGATAAGTATTTAACAGTGTAATAATCGTGGTGAATCAAAATATGTAATATCTCAATTTCTTCTTTGTCACTCCCTTGTTGATTGTGGTGCTGTATCGTCTGGTTAAGCCTTAACTTAATTGTTGTATACACATCTTTAAGTTATGTGGCGTTACTGCTAACGATTTTGTTAATGTGCCGATAATTGTTCTAAACATTGTCCATTATATACTCCCCGAAGATTTGGAATGTCACAATCTCTTGTTCAATCTCTTACCAACAGGTAAAAGCCACTAGTTCTGTGAGCACTGGACTGTCCTTACCACAGATCGCCCCTGAAGCGACCGACCCCACCTTAGGGAACGCCCAGCAGTACCCACAGCTGGTCCGCATCTCCTGGCCAGACAGCGTGCTCAGCAAGGCTTTCTTCGACCTGCTGGAGCATTTCAGTTGGGACCAGATGAGCATCTTCGTCTCCAACGATGACTATGGTACGACGTTAATAGTTTTCCCTGACATTCTGCACCATACTTACAAACTTTAATATCATAAGTTTACGTAAGACTATATATCTATATCTAAACATTTAACAACAATGCAAAAATAAACAAACATATAAAAATATATTGCTTTGCTATTTAAAACCGCACTCGATTTAGGTTAGCCCTTATTGTTTCAATAGTAAGGATATCAAAGTTTATTCTATGCTTCATTTTTGTACTAAGTTCAATAATAGTTGTTGACATACATTGTATCGTACACGATTGTGGTACAACGAGCTCTTCTATTTTTAATGTCTAGCTAGCCCATATCTAGCAGTTTTAAACATGTAATGAATACCGAAAAGATGTAATCCTTTTCAAAGAAATTCCTCTAGTCTCAATACGGATGAGTATTGTACAATACAAGTCTTTAAAAATATGTTATTTTAGGCACACATGGATTCATGGAGTTTCAGAAAATAGCAGGACAGAACGGATGGCGTATTCACACCATACAGTCGTTCGACCCGACAGAGGATGCAACAGACATTCAGGTTCATGAACAATTGAAGGCCATCAAAGGCACAGGTACAAGTATGGTGATGTAAATTCTGTGTAAAATAGTGAGTCTTTTTTTTTTACAAAAATACTACGTCTTCTGAAGATAATAGCAATACAAATATAGAAACGTTAGGTTATCAATATTTAATATTTCTAGTCAGTAAATCATTTGAATAGAATAAAACAGATGCAATTTTGTAATTGAATGCACATATACAGCAAAAAGAGAAACGGTCCCTACATGTTTGTACAAAACCGATTCCTCTATTCCATACACTTTAGAGAAACCACTGTAGAGAAAATTATATTCCTAATACAACTAGCCAGACCAACCGTCGAAACACATATCTGTTCTTTTATATCTAGTGCAGCTGAAAAGCAAGAATATGTTGAATTTATCTGATGACAGTTAGCTTTATTTTGTATCTCTAACCGATCTGTTCATCATGTTTGTTTTGACCTGTAGCTAGTGTGGCAAAATGTACACTTTTAAGTTATGTACACTTACATGTTAAAACGTGTTGCTATTTCTTCATTTACCGCACAGGAGCCAGAATCATTGTCCTTCACTGCCTGGCATCATACGCAGCTGAGATCTTACGAGTAGCCAGCACCATGGACATGACAGGAGCCGGCTGGGCCTGGGTGGTCAGCGATGGCATAACCGGACTCGTGAGTTTCGTCATGAAAATTAAAACTGCTATCCAGCTCAAAAAGAACTTTGACTCACCAGAATTCTCGACCTCATCACTCGGTTTTCATCAGTTATCTGAACCAAGTGTCAGCACTCTATCAAGCTATGTTATTTTACACAACCATTAAAGGGTCATTATGTAACATTTTGCACCAAAAATTGGAATACTTAAATCATACAATCTTGCTGTTATTATGATGTACTTTCCACTTTTCAGCATATTTATACAATTATCTCACATTATTTCTTGCATTTATGGTTGGTACTAAGACAGCCTACACAAGGTGGCACCACAAACTACCAGAATGTAAACATACATGACTGACAGCTTAGTTCCCAGATTTTAAATACACCCATACTTTGGCAAAATGACACTTATAGGCAAAAAGCCTAGGGCTGATTCAACTTCCTTTGTAAAGAAACGGCAAGGAAATCTGCATTAAGTTTCGTCCAAAAGTTAAATAACACAGCTTTAATACAGCTCTGTTGGTTTGTTTTATACCACAGGATCTTTTTGAAGTAAACAATGGGACGGTGGCTGTTCCTGAATACCTTCGAGGCCTTGTGGGACCGATTCCTCCTTCTACCAACGGCGGGCACAGTGAGGGATTCATGGCGAAGTGGAGGGCGGCAGACCCGGCAGTGTACCCGGGAGCAGGGCTGCTGGATATCGGGGTAGGCTTTACTGTAACAGTAAATAAATAATGGTGTTACTCGTATGTGTATGAGTCTGTACTGTTTAACGAGTATGCTCCAAAATATCTTTCATCATGTGATACAATTGTGAGACGTCCGATACCAATGTTACGAAAGCCCAAAAGGACAATCTGTGTTGTCTGCGCAAACATCTACTTCGTTATCGTGTGAACGGTCTCTTATGTGTCAAGGGTCACACTTAGACGACGCAGCTGTTTCTGTAGATGAGGCACGTATTTTCGTGGACCAAAAAGATGTTTGCGTAGACGACGCAGTTGTTTGCGTAGACGGGGCAGATGTTTATGCGTAGCCGACGCAGTTGTCCCTTTGGGCTTTCGTACAATATCATCTTTCCTTAGCCGTACACCGCCCGATGGGCAGACGCGGTCCTGGCTCTCGCACAAGCCTTACGGAACCTTCAGGAAGACGGCGTCACGGTGACTCCCCAGCCTCTGGACTGTGGCTGCGACGGAAGCGACTCACAACCATGGACGGACGGGCCAACGATGCTGCATTATCTGAAACAAGTAAACGTCCTTTCTATTATGTGACAATTGTTTCAGCATCATTAAAATGTCTACGATTTTTGTCCAAAGCAACAAGGAGCCGTAGCCTCACTACACTACAAAGGCGCATCCAACGCAATTTTAGAGTGGCAAATCAAAAATATTCTGGAGGAATATTAAATCTGATATTTACATTTAGTGCCATTTTATTTCACATTTTCGTCCTCATTTCATACTTAAAGCCTTTGAAATAGCCCACAAACAGGTTTTATGAGGAATCCCTTTATTTTGGGGAACATCAATGAGTAGCAGGGACCAGTCTAAGATATAAAACGTTTTCCGTCCGACTCATCAGATTTTGCCTCACAGATATCGGCATGCTATTGCATATTGTTGATTCAACTTACTAAATTAAAAAAATGATTAGCAAATTGACTTTGAAAATCCCATTTTACTGTCCTAAAATCACTCTGCCTCTAGCGGTACTTGAGTCATGCATCTTGTGTCTTCTTGTTATCATTATGCAAATTACCATATGATTCTCAAACAGGTTATTAACTTGATTGTGCTCCTATCATATTGCATATTGAACAATGACAATTTCAGAAAGTATACTTTTTATAGGTACAAACAGATGGAGTGACTGGGTACATTCATTTTGACTCTGTGGGAGCCCGAGTGGACGCACAGTACAACATCGTCAATCTGAAAAGCAATGGTTGGCAGAAGGTACGTAAAATAAACCTTTTTACAGACTATTGCAGACTTTTTAATTAGATTATATCAATAAACATTTGCAGACAAGACATGAAAATGTAGTTATTGTTTTTGGTGTGTGTGCGTATGTGTGTGTATGTTTCCGCATGGCCCTTAATTGCAATGGATATGCGTTCACAGTCTATCGCAGAGTAAAAAAAAAGCATTAATCGCCTCGACATCTGTTAGCGCTCGCCGTTTTAACCGTTTTTTTTTTATTACAAGGCCTCGTTGGCTGTTGTATTTCTCTTGCACAAGAAAGAATGAGATTGCAAGAGGGGTACACTGAATTAGTTGTTGTCTAGGCAAATATGGTTATTTTTCAGAAGAAATTTTCAAACCCTCCTATTCTAAGTTGTGATATGTAAACACCGTGGTTTTACGGATTTTTGAGACCTCTGAAGTCTTATTCAAGTTTTCAGCATCTTACTGTTCTAGGTTGGCACTTGGAATCTATCTGCAGGGTTAAACATTAACCCAGACGCAGATGTAAAATTCATGGGCGGATCAGCCCAAGTCAAGCCCTACGTGTCTGACTTGAGCAACAGAACACTTCGCGTGGTCACCATCGCTGCAGACGGCTTCGTGCTCATATCAGACGTGGACAAAAACGGAAATAACGTAACGAGGAACGACAGATTCCAGGGTTAGTCTGTCTAGCCTTTCTGTAGAACATTCTTATTTTGAAGGAAAGCATTATTGTTTTTGCTACGTTGCCTCTTTTTCTTCTCCAAACACTGACCTGTGACCTGGTCAATAGCTGGTACCAGATCGTCTCTCACCATGGTAACTGGTGTTGGGTTACATCATGTTGCAGTTTTATAGCAGAAGGGATTTAGACTCCTGTCTGACCATACATATGTACTTGAGTAAGACTTAACAGAGCACACCATATGCGAAGGTAAACATTATGCATTTGCTTTGGAAATGTTACCTTAAGTTTCTAGTTTATTTTATACGTCTTTATTGTCGTTTCTTTGGCATCAGATTCATATCTTACATGCTACGGATGCATTCAGAGCTAAAAATTTGAAACATTTGAAAAGAAAATTCATAATGTTTATAACTCCACGTGGTCTAGCCTGGTCTAGCCTAACTAACTGCCGACAATCCTCTGTCTGTTCTTACTCAAACATTTTTATATACTAGTATTTTGTGACCCGCCCTTTTAACTCTGTGCTATTATATAATGTAATCCAACATCACAGGACTCTGCTACAGGACCAGTTACCATGATGACGACCGTCTGGTCCAGGTAATTGACCATATGTGTTCGAAGAAGAAGAAACAGTGCAAACACAGTATGTTCCTTCTTCAAGGGTAAACATGAAATTCAATATTCTTTCAATGGTTTCTTGGATTTTTGCAGGATTTTGTATGGATCTGTTCTCATGGCTTTCCACTGAACTCGGGTTCAAGTACGAGTACTACGAAGTCGAAGATGGACAGTACGGCATTTATAACTCTCAAACAGGGCAATGGAACGGGATGATCGGCGATGTTTTGAACGGGGTAAGTTATATTCAGTAAGGCCACACCAAGTAAATTTTATGGATGACGTCCTTTGGAGACCCTAAATCTAATGCGAGAGGGCGAAAAAAAACAAGAAGGGCCCTAAAAAACAAGATGCCTAGATTAGAGACGACAAAGATTAGAGACGACAAATGTTAGGACACAAATTGAATGAGGTGACCCAGCGTAACAATCAAAAAGTCTTTTATTCATCATCAAAAAAGCAATAAATCAGGTGGAACAGCACTAGTCGTCCTGTGCGTTGGGGAGATAGATGGAGCGGTCAGCAAGTTTCTTCAAATGTGGCAGCATGTACCAAACTGAATTCCTAATGGAAGTCTTGCTTGATGCTTCATAAGCTTTGGTCCGTACAAACCTATTTGCGGCACTGTCGTGACTCTTTGGTCATAGTTACAGGAAGCGGAATTTCTTGGGGTTTTTTTGTAGGAACAGGCCAAAATCAATGCGCGCGCGGACGTCATCCATAAAATTTACTTGGTGTGGCCTAACCGTCTGTATCTGCATCGGTATAGCTGGTATAACCGCCCTTCGGCGTAACATACCAGCCTCGTAGGCCCAAGGCACGACGACAGCTGGCTACAATACAGCGAACGATTTGTTATACTTAATCTTTGTACATTTAATTGCAGAAATGTAAGGCCTTCTAGTGATGATACCCAACTGTGCTTGGTGGCAAGGAGGTCCACTCTACGATAGTTCTTGGAAAATGAGAGTTTTTGCACATATCTTCAACTGCAGAGAAATCAGTGTTGGGGAGACCATATCCGTGCTATGTGTGGCGGGGGCTTTAGGTTGCTCAATGCTATACATTTTATTTCTCCACAGAAAGCAGACATCGCCCTGGCCCCTTTATCCATTACTTCAGAAAGACAAACAGTTGGGGATTTCACACTTCCATACTACGACAACGGAATCGCATTCGCCATGAAGAAATCAGAATCGAAGTACGTTAAATCTTTATTAAACATAACATTTGCTATATCGACGGACTGAAAATTGAAAACGGTAAATTTCTGATCCACATTTGCTTCCTCCAAAATATTCCCCTCTCATAGATTTTAGATTTCAGTTTCGATATTATATTATATCTTTGTTGTATCAGTAAAACTATGGCAATGTTTGCTTAATCTCAAAAGAGGTATTTTGGTACATGGCCACAAGACAGTTTCCAATTGCCGAATGGCAAGACAGTATCGATATCATTGATAGGACAGTATCCAATACACCACGTGTTTGGCTGGCAAAAAAAACACGTTAAGAATAAGGCGGTGGCCTGCCAATAATACTCGTATGCTGCATTGACTATTTGATACTGCCTTGCCTCGAGGCTGGTGTACTAAAAATTGTCATGTCAACATTTCCAGGACTTCAAACACCTGGGGCTTCATCAGTCCGTTCCAGGGAGAACTGTGGGCTACCATACTGCTGACGGCTTTGGCGGTGGGACTCTTTCAGGGCGTGGCCAACTTCGCAACAAAGGACATGTGAGACATACCATGTTTTTTTCTTTATCAGCTGATAATTCTATCAGTTTGTTGAATGATTTAATAGCAACGCCGAATAGCAAACAACCACTTGTTTAGCAAGGGCAATTATGACGTGTTAGTTCGGTCGTGTGGCGTAACGGTAAAGTGTTCGTCTAAGAACCAAGAGGTTCTAGGTTCGAACCCTGCCATGCTACTGATCTTGTGCCCCTGGGAAAGACACGTCTTTCCTCACTTCACTCAAGTAAAAATAAGTACTGCATTGTCCCTATATGTTGTTGACGGCATAAAAAAAATAAGTTGAAATAACTTGAGTGTGCCCGTCACCACGGCTTGTGATATGTTGTAATAACAAAAAGCATGACCGGTTTACTGTGTACTGAAGATAGGTCTTACTGTTTCTCTGTACACTGATGATAGGTGTTACTGCTAACAAGATAATGTGGTACGTTTGGGACTGCATGTTGCAACAATATCTATGTATGTACGCATTGTCAGGATTTATTTACGTTTATAAGGACTAACATTGTTGCAATGTCATATGGAATATTGACCTCTACTATACTAATCAAAAGAGTCAAATTGGTTGCTGATCGACACTGTATGAAGTTAGAATATTTGGGAGGCTTCGATCTTTTAACAGAGACCCTGAAGGTGATGCATCTGAAGACAAAGCCGAGGCAAGGGAAACAGGTTTCTGGGAGGCTGTGTGGCAGTCATTTGTGGCTCTGGTGCAGCTGGGTCCGGAGTTCCTACCAAGGTCATTATCAGGTATGATATCATCCATTTTTAAAGTTAAGTCGAACTGTTTGTAGAAGTCCAACAAGTTTAAACTTAAAATTCCGACTCAAGAGACTGGGGACCCCATTATATTATTTACGCACCCCCAGCCAAGCCACGCGAGGTCTCGTCGGATTTTGCTCTCGCGAGAGCATGCAGATACAAAATGGCGGCGGTATTTGGAAAAGGCTTATTACCAACATTTTCGACTGTATAACTCTAGTCTTCGTCAGGGATTTAGAGATTCACTGTCACATGGCTACTTGGACATGAAGCCAGGCTTAAGCTTCTTTGTATCAGATATTAAAGAGACCATATACACCAGGGCGTTGCAAACATCACTCAACAAAGACGGGGGCGCCACAGACGTTTTGCAACCCATGATCAACTGCTCAGGGTCACATGTATTTTCTGCATAACATGACACCGAAGGGCCGATAATAGTCCTTGGCAAAGATAATTTCTTAAGTTTGAAACGGTTAAAGGAGTACTAACCTCCAGAAGGAGGTGCTATATTTCAACAGGCATTTATTTTTGGAAGTGAAAAATACATATTATTTTACAGTATACAATTAAATGCCCATTTTGCGCGCAAGTCTTAAAACGCATCGAATCCAGGACAAACTCTCTAAATACCCTCAAAACTATCCCAGAACACACCACGCTACCCCATTGGTGTCTATGTTTTAAACAAAAAGTTACGTTACAGACCTCATTTCGGGGGCGATAAGAAAAATTCGTACCGTTTTGTGTTCTTTGGTATCTTACCAACCATTGGCCTTCTTGGTGTCCTTATCGCCCCTCATTTATGCCATAAATATTGACGATGAAAAAAACGGCGTAATCTAGTTATCCTTTCCATAAGTGGCGTAATCTAATTATCTGTTCAAGTAATACTTACATGCAAATAAGTTGAGAAAATCAAAACACGCAGCGTGAAACTGGCACTCTCTGTATTCGACATCCTGATATTATAATATCCAAGCCACAGGTCAAGCAAAGTAAAGCAAGTAATTTCTCAATAATCAGCTTGTTAGTGTGCTTGTCTCCTACCATTTTCGCCTAAAAATGTTTATGTTGACCTGAACTGTATGAGTATTGCGTAAGCCAGAGTTCCCGGATGTATCAATTGTGGTTCAGCATGGGGGAAAATGATATTAATATCACTTTACAAACATGCGCCGCGCAACTCGTACAAGCGAAATTATGTAAAAAGTCGGCTAGTTATGTATTCATTGCAGCATGATGTATCGGAAAATAGCACTTCCTTCTGGAGGTTAGTACTCCTTTAAAACAGTTTAAACTTGCTTCATAATCCACTTGCCACTTCATAGAAAGACTCATTGTACGATACGAATTGCTAATACAGTAAAATCTGACGTTATCGGCCTCGTTTTTGTCTACTTGTAGGCCGTGTTTCTGCGTTCTTCTGGGGAATCGGCATCCTTGTGGCCATCTCGACTTACACCGCCAACCTGGCCGCTTTCCTGACCATAAGGAACGTGGACAACTCCATCAGCTCTGCCGAGGACCTTCTTGGACAGGTAATGTATAGACTACTGCCTACGAATAGTGATGGTTCTTAAGTCCTTTGACACATTTAGAACCTTCCGACGACTACCATCCAGCCAACCAAGGTTGGCTTAAGTTCGGAGGCAGTCTCACCAGATGTAGGTCACGCCTAACTTTCTATATGAATCAAATCATATTTGAGTTAGATTTGAGTCAAATTTTACTGACAACTTACTATGCTCCAATCACTACTGACCTAACAACTAGTCCCTGACCATGGTCTAGCCTTCCGTTTACTCCAGAATGTATTAAACATTTTGAAACATTTGGCTGGCACAGCGAAATATCAACCGACCTCGTCGCACACCAGCCGACCTTGCTCCCGACCTACTCCCAAACTAGCCTGGGTACCATCCGGATTTTCGCTACGTAACGCTCGAAAAATCGAGCGTTACGTAGCGAAAATCCGGATGGTACCCAGGCTACTCCCAGACATGGTTGGTGGGAGTTCGGAAGCCATATTCGCTATGTGTGACAGGACCTTTACACTGTGCATAGGAGATGAATGTTGTAGAACAATCCAAGTATACTGATCAACTAACATGTACTTTTGTATGTTTAGACGGAAATCTCCTACGGTACTATAAGTACCTATGCGACGTGGGTGTCCTTCAAGACCACTACATCTGAACCGTACCAATCACTGGCAGCCACTATGCAGGCTAAGGCAGAGTCAGTTCTGGTGAAGAACCTATGGGACGGTCTTGACAAGATGCGTCAGGGGAAATATGCATTATTCACCGACAGCGCTGAGCTGGACTACCACGTGAGTTGAGTTGTCTTTGGAACTGTTTCAATGTCCTCAATGGCCTTAAAAGCATCCAATGCAGTGCCACAAGAAAAAAGAAAAGAAACAGTAAGAGAAAGAGAAAGAACACTACACTCGAGAGATTCCCGAAAAGTCGCTTTTATTATGTTTACCTTCGCAGAGGGAAAACATGTGGTTTGGCTTTGTTTCATCTTCCTCTTCTTCCACAACAAGTAAGGACAATGACCTCGACCAGACGTCTGTCACCATGGTAACTAGTGTTGGATTACATAAAGTTGCAAGTGCCATGTAGAACTGTGTTCAAAAGGGTCTGCATGGTAGTCATATATATTAGCTTGTTTGAATAAGAATAAACAAAGCAGTAGTTTTTTAAGCTGGGCTATGTGAAGGTAAACATGGTGCATTTTCTTTGCAAATGTTACCTTTCTAGTATAATATAATATTTGTCATTTTGTACGTTGTTTTTCTACAACTCTGCAGGCCAGTCGTCAGCCCTGTGACCTACAGACCATCGGGCGGCTGTTCTGGCAGACAGGGTACGGGATGTTCCTACCGAAGAACTCCAAGTACACCGTGGAGTTCAACAAAGTCATTGTTGCCGCCAAAGAACGAGGTGTATTCGACGATTTGGACACCAAGTGGTGAGTTCTGTTGTTAATATACTAAATTGTCGACACACAAAATCACATACATCCACAGCCCCCTGCAGTACCGTAGGAAAACGCCAGTCCTACCAGCTTATTGATTTCGTTTCTATTTAGGATCAAGAGCCAGGAGTGTTCCGGTACGGACCAGACTGTGCTAGAATCCTCTGTGATCGGACTACAGGACATGTTGGGTGTGTTCGTGTTGGTGTATGGAGGCATGGCGCTGGCTTTCGTACTTCTGATTGGTGAATTCATCTACACATGCGCTCAAGATGTGAAGAAGTCGAAAGCTCACGTAAGAAGAATTTATATTAATCAAAGTCAAAGATGAATTTATAATCATTTAGTCACTTGCTCGTCTTGTTTCCATTCTTAACTTGCACTGTCTATATATGCATTGTTACCTCCATGAAAAATGGAGGTATTGTTTTTGGCGCGTCTGTGTGTGTGTGTGTGTGTGTGTGTGTGTTTCCGCACATTTGTAGTCAGCATAACTTCAGAACGCCTTTATGGATTGTGATGATATTTGGTGATGATATTTGGTATGGTAGGTCTTAGAAAGCCAAAGGTCAAGGTCAAATATGGGCCTCCTGGTGGCTGACCTTGGTACTGTAACGGCAGCAGAACTTCCGTTTTTTGTATCTTTTTGCAAGGCAGGGAAAACAGATGTGCAGGTTATGCAACAAAACACCAGCTGTGGAGGCAGCGCGCCTGCTACGGTTTGTTTAATGAGCTTCTCTCTCTGGAATAGGCTACATGTTCAGTTGACCATATCTATCTACAGCCTGACCTATTTCAGGCCAAAGGTGCTACTGTGTGTTTGAAAACAAAAACCTGTGTTATTTTTACTTGTACTGTAGTGTATTGTGTAACAACATTTACAAAAACTCATATATTTCATGGCGGTAACTTCTATGTCATAATATAAGACAACATTAATTAAAGTTGTTGTTTTTTTTGCCTTAGCCAAAGACATTCGCCGAGGCAGCAACCACACGCCTGAAGAGGGTGTTCTCCCGGAGTAAAAGGGGCAGCAACAAGAAACAAGAAGCCGAAAGAAAACATACTAAGCATGACAATTCATCTGTGGTGGTACAAGTCATTACGAAATAAATACTACACTTTCCTTACAACATGTATGACCCGCTACTACGGTCACGTGTCTCTGACGTTATGTTCCAAGAGTAGACGGGTCCATTCGGTGAACAAGGTTAAAGGGGTTAGCCGAAAATTTGGGGTCCCATGGCAAATTCATTCCAGAATTGAAAGAAAAGTTTGGTCTTCATTTCATGCACACACACTAAGCTTACATGTATGTCCCTGGACTTAACATGCGCTCAGCCTTTTAAGTTTAGTTAGTTTCGTTACATTATCATTACTGTACTATATGTATAGTATGTACCGCTAATATTGATAATTAGTTCAAAGCCATTACAGAGCATATTTGTACGTAATTGATTGCTCTATCTGTTTTTAGTTATTCATCTAATTCATTTGGTATGTTAATTATGTAAAGTTAACAATATAAAGTAATTTCTATACTTTCACTAACTGATGATTTGTTGATTGTAATATTTTAGCCGTAATTTTTGTCTGATCAAACCTCTCACCTTGCTTAAAGTTTGTGTTTGAATGTAAAATCTGTAGTTTGATATGTGTACATGCTTTATGTATTTTTGTTGTTCAACATACGATTAGCCCCATAAACGGGCTAAAGAGTATCTTAATAAACTTAATAAACTGAAGCCATTGTTGTACATGAAAACATAAAAGTTTACATAATTTGACATTAAAATGATGTCGGTCTGCGTTACAGAATGCAGCTCTAAATATATCATTTTTAAATATCTACACCTGAATCGACGTGAAAGCCTGTGTTTTAGGGGTGTTTTGCATCTGAGTGATTGATGGTAATGGTGGAAGGCGATTCAGCAGTGTAACGGTACACTGAGAACACATGAACCTAAGGTTTTTAGTTCTTTTTGACGACATTAATTTGGAGGCAACGTAAAAAAAAAAACGGTGCAATGGCTAAGTGGGTAGAGTGCTCGCCTTGCATTCGGTCGTGAGTTCGATCTCCGACCGAGTCATACCAAAGATTTAAAAAAATGGTACATATTGCTTTCTCAGCTAAGCACTCAGCATTGCAATCACTACAGAAGGGGGCACTACCCGTGGACTAGCCCCTACTGTAGTATTATTATTACACTGCTGTGTGGCCCAGGGCTATTAAAAACTGAGATAGGCGCCGCCCTATGCGTCACTTGACGCAGGAACGCTCTTTAACTTAACCTTTTAGTAACTATATTGGGAAGTGGCTACGGAATCATCTAATACTTGTCAAAAAATCAGCTAAAATCAGGTACATCTATTGCAGATCTGTAATGCTCAACTGTAAAGAACAATCCATGTTTATCCCCATCAGATTATTATCATTGTAATGTACTCCTGATGTGTTTACAAAACACCCAAGTGCCATTTAATCCGTTACTTCTTGTTTACACAACAAAACTTCACTGTGACGCAACATCCATCAGCTCTTTACATCATTGATTCTGGACAGCGAAATAACACCAGGTAAGTTTGACCAAGGATCTACTGTACTGCAAAGAAAATAGACCTTGTGTTTTAAAAGTCTAGAATGGAGTAACCTGGCCTTTAAAGGGATACTCAGTCAATACAAATGGTACGTACGTGGTCTCATTAATAGGACATGGGTCATGCCACAGTTACAGTTCTGCCGAACGCAGCTTAGCCACACGAGGCAGTCCACTGTGATTTGGTAATCTAGCAGCAAGTACGATACTTTAAGCGCAGGATCAACTAAATTGACCGCATATTTTTCTCTCTTGAAACAAGGACGACTTGTTGTTCTATTTCAGTGAATGTTGCGGTGCGTAAGCCGCTGTGCCAGACGTGGAATGCATGATACGGGGATTGTGTTCACTGGACGCTTTGTCGAGGACCGCGCCTGTGGACACTGATACGGGGCGCCAGGCCACGGGTTCACCGTGTAAGGTACGCTGTAGCTCGGACAAACCATGGCGAGGTTATCAAGCCGCAACATTTGAGAGGAGACGAAAAATTAGTAGTAAGAGTAGGCCTGATCCTATCTTCAAGTTGTTTCATTTATCTGGGTCCCATTGCTACTGTAAACTCCGGTACTGATACATACGGGAGTGACTGAACATCACAAGAAACGCATTTCATATAGGAGAGAAAAACAGTCCGGTTGCACCATGTTTTATCGTGAACAGTTCGGTCTTCAAGAATCCAGGATAAAAGACTGACATGGCGACTAGGCTCGGCAACGTGGTCTTTCTACTAGTGATGACTGCGGCATCCCTAGCTACAGCGAACGGTATGACAACCGTCCGATTCGGTGAGTTGGCTCATGTCGTTTTTCTGATTTCGAAATAAATTTTCCCACCCCCCAAAACATACCATTTCTTACACGTTGAAGCTATATTCGTATCTAATTTAATTTCGTGGCAGATTATGATTAACGTGGACCCTCAAAAACCCACTTGTCACCTTTATTGCTGTACTATTGGATCCCGGTTGCGGAATAATTGGGGTAGGCATTGTTAAAAACCGGTAGCTTACTTTAGTTATTAGACCGTAATCAAGTGTTTGTACTTGTTGTTTACTGTGTACACATACCAATGATATACAGATAAGACCGTTAGCTTACACGTCTAATCCTGTCTGTGCACTTCTCTGCCTCTGTGGCTCTCTAGCGGAACAAGCTAGAGATAACTTCAGGGATTTTGTTATCGACTAGCCAGTAGAATGTATGATGACCCTCATAGACTAGCCCCCTGCGTAGCCGCCTAGCGTTAGTTTCTACAAGCGGCTAGAGTGAGGTTGTTTTTTTTTCCGGTGGAAAGCCTTGTTCGGGGAGGGGGGGGGGCTGTATCGCTAGAAGTCTGCACATGAGGCTATTATAGACAGTAAACAATGTCATTGGATCAACTGTCTTTCAGAAAAGGCTGTCATTTTACGTTTAAAATATATAATGATCTAGTTTGAAATGTTGCCTTGCATCTAGGACCGCTCAACATTTAAGATGTAAATTTATTCGTTGTCGTCTGTCAGTTATATTTTCTGTTCTTTCTGTGGCAACACAAATATATATTAGCAACCTTTAAGTACACCACTGCGCTCTGTACCTTTTATTGTACCTCATGTTGAGGATTAAAAACGCTGCCAAACCAACCCAAGATTATGTTGATGAAGGTTATACAATTCAAACTTTATTACTGGATAAAAAAACGGAAATTATTGCGGGAAGTTTCGAGTGACATTAACCACTTTTCATTTTAGTGACGCTGAAAAAGAGTTATGGATGACAGTCGGAAACGTCCGGAAATAATCTTCGTAATGTATCGAGTAGGAGAGTTTGAATTTTCCTTGAACTACCAAACGCTACTGCCAAGGATAGGTGGGGTCGTGTGGCGTATCGGCAGAGTGCTCACCTCGGAACCAAGAGGTCCCGGGTTCGAGTCCTGACATGCTACCGATCTTGTGCCCGTGGGAAAGGCACTTTACACGACTTCCCCCACTTAACTCAGGTGAAAATGAGTACTATATTGTACCCTGTGTTGGTGGTGGCATTAATATGAGTTGAAAAAACTTGAGTGTGCCGTCACCACGTCTTGTGATTTCATGTTGGAATAAAAAAAAAGGTTCAACGTACTCCAAGATGGTCAAGCGTATTTACTATTCTCCTAACCCAACAGGTGCCTTATCCATGTCAGAATTTCCTGCCGCCTCTTCTGCCCTGAAGCTTGCTGTGGAGTATGTGAACGAGAATGGGCTCGTTCCCAACGTTATTCTTGAGTACATCGAGAACACAACAACAGCACTGGCTTTCCTGGACATGATCCAACATGGTTAGTTTGAGCGTATATTTTCTACCTTTAAGCCATGTTGATTTGATTATATGGATGAGATCCTCTGGAAACCCCCAAACTGATGCGAGCGTGCGAATAAAAAAAAGTTTTGCAAAAAAAACCAGGTGCTTTCATCATGAAATCTACGTGGTCATGATCTTGAACAAAAGACACGGAGTATGGTATGGCGAATAATCTACTTCAAATCATTTCTTTACATGTTCGTCTCCTTCATTTAATTTAGGCATTCTACGACATTAGTATCGTTTTCCAATCTTCTTTAGGCAACTTACAATATATATTTTCCTATTTTGCAAATGTTTTGTACGATTTACAGTGTGATTGAAAACGATTTTTTAAACGGCCGAAAATTCGCAGATGTCATCCATATAATCAAATCAACATGGCCTTACCTTCGCCAAGAAGGTTTGATAAGTTTTTGGTAGCGTTTTTCTTTGCATGTGTGTATGTTTGCGTATACATTTTTGCACAAAAACTCTTTGGGTGAAGTGTCATAAAACATGTAAGATGGGTGGGTCTGAAATTATTAGATTCTTGGCCTCCTGGCGGCTTGTTATGGTGCTGCAGCGGAACGTCTGGTTCGATGGTAATATTCGATGGTACATAGCTCTAGTGCTCGGAAAGAAGTGACGTGATTTTGGGGCAATAAATGTACATATTAAAGTAAAAGCTGTATCTAATAATAGTATGTATCAAGCATTAATCATGCTTCTTTTTAAAAAATAACATGGCGTACTTGATATTTGACATGATTATACTTCGAATTGTGTTTATTTCAGAATGCTACCAAGCAAAACAAGGTGTTGTGGCCATTATGGGACCAATCTTATCGTCACAAGTAAGTAACTTACCCCAGTCTCACAGTTATCAATACCATGTTAAAGAATGGCCGCATACTCAACGCAGTAACTTAATCTACTTCACTCGTTACAAACATGTAGTTTATTCTGATGAAGCCTAGTGTTATATGTTGTATTACGCTAATGCTGTATTCTATACCATGCGAATTTTTTATTTAACAAATATTTGGATCGTCCCTGATAACCAAGGAAAATTGATGATCCTAAATTCTTTATTGCAGTAATGACATGACAAGTACTTAACCATTAGGTTTATTTAGATTTAATACTTTCATGTTTATTGTTGTAAAATTTAAGCTTTGTTCTAAATACAACGAAAACAAGCACTATCATGATTTACTGAAAATCAACTGAAAATTTATAGTGAGTATTTTTATTGTGTTGGACTGCAAAGCGTAAATTTTACAACTATGGGTTCAACCAGAAAAACAGATAAGCTTTCATTCTGATATTGAGTTATTGTATTGTTCAACAGGTAAAAGCCAGTAGTCCTGTGAGTACTGGGCTGTCCTTACCGCAGATCGCCCCTGAAGCGACCGACCCCACCTTAGGGAACGCCCAGCAGTACCCCCAGCTAATCCGCATCTCCTGGCCAGACAGCGTGCTCAGCAAGGCTCTCATCGACCTGCTGGAGCATTTCAGTTGGGACCAGATGAGCATCTTCGTCTCCAACGATGACTACGGTACGGTACCCTTTCTATGACTCTTTTTGTAGACAACCAACATCTACTACAACCATGTATGTTGTTGAATCAGTGCAATTATGTAAGGACGATACCGATACTACCGCAAAAGAGGAAGAGGTCTATAGCTATAACTCAACATTGCCCGACATATCGTAAGAGTTAAACACTTTATCACATTACTGGTAAATACTGCGATGGTTTTCAAATGCTGTGTCGGAAAAGATGTCGTCTGCAACGGGCAGAATTATGATCCAACGTTGACCAAATATTCAACGAAAACCATTTAAAATCCAGTATTTTTATATATATTCCAACATTTCATGACTAGACATGGTGAAAGCACACTCAACTTATATCAACTTATTTTATGCCGCCACTAACACAGAGGACGAATACAGGAGAATACTATACTCATTTTCACTTGAATTAAGCGAAGAAAGTCGTGTAAAGTGCCTTTCCCAAGGGCACAAGATCGGTGGCATATCAGGACTGGAACACGCGGGACCCCTTGGTTCCGAGTCGAACACGCTACGCCACACGACCTCACAAAAATTCAGGTTTAGCGTAGTACGTTCTGTCGACGTGCTCTTGTAATCATACATGGTGTTCTATTGTAGGCGTGCATGGCCTGGTGGACTTTCAGCTCATCGCAGGTGAGAATGGATGGCGCATCCACACCATACAGTCGTTCGACCCGACAGAGAATGCTGCAGACATCGTGGTGCAGTCACAGCTGGGTGTCATCAAAGACACAGGTGCATATAACCAACATGCTGTTACAATTCAATAATGACAATTCAATGTGACTTAAAGCCTTGCATCTACGAGTACATTTTCTATCTACTTCATTTCTCATCTACTAATTTATTTAGAATCTTGAATGCCTCTGAGAATGGACATTACAATCTGATCAAACTAGCCTACAGTACAAATATTCCTATTCCTAAGGGAACCCTAAATTGAAAAAAATGCGTCTGTTCTTTTACCTCTAATATAACTAAAAAGCGAAGAGAAGTTAAATTTCTAATGATATTTTTATTTTGTATCTGTTAACTGCATCTATTCATATTTTGCTGTGACCTGTACTTATAAATACCAGTGCGCATGCAATAAATCTAGGTCGTGTTCAAAGATTTAGTGCGATGTGCAATTAAGGAATGGTTGTTGTTGTTTTTTGTATGCAACTACATAGGAGCCCGGATTATTGTCCTGCACTGCCTGGCATCATACGCAGCTGAGATCTTACGAGTAGCCAGCACCATGGACATGACAGGAGCCGGCTGGGCCTGGGTGGTCAGCGATGGGATCACCGGACTCGTGAGTTTCGTCATGAAAATTAAAACTGTTCTCCAACTAAAAAAAAAATTGAATCACTGGAATTGTCGATCACATAACTCGGTCTTTATCAGTTATCTGAACCAAGTGTCAGCACTGGGTCAAGGTTCGTATAAAGTCGGGACCACCCCCCGTCCCGGTTGAGTGGAGTTTGGTGTGCCATGATCTAGATGGTCTCCAGCACTACTCTCACAAAACCGGGACGGGGGTCGATACTGACTTCCGACAAACTTTGACCCAGTGCTAACATCGCATGTAGGGGCAAATCACGTGTCTATATATAACACTTGGGTCAGAACTCTAATGAAGACCCAGAGATCTGGTCGAAAATTCCGGTAAGTCAATTTCTTTTTGAGTAGGAGAATAGGTTTAATTTTCATTATGCAATTTACAGATGAACGTTCATGTTAATCGGAAGTTTTATTTTCTTTCGTCTGATTGCTAAGATTGTATTCATCACTAACGTTATTTGCACAAACATTTTTTTATATTCCAACATGTAGTCACAAGACGTATTGACGGCACACTCAATTTTTTTTCAACTTACATTAATGCCACCAACACAAAGGACAATGCAGTACTCATTTTCACCTGAGCAATGTGAGGAAAGTCATGTAAAGGGCCTTTTCCAAGGGCACAAGATCGGTGGCATGTGAGGACTCGAACTCAGGACCTCTTGGTTTGAGTTGAGCACTCTGCCGCTACGCCACACGACCCCACACAAACAAAATTGTGCACAAACATTGCACTTACCAAAGTCACATTTTTTCAACCATATAACAGGATTTGTTTGACACGACCAATGGGACAGCCAACGTACCAGATTACCTTCAAGGTCTGCTTGGGCCGATTCCTCCCTCTACCAACGGTGCCCACAGTCAGGATTTCATGACGAAATGGAGGGCCGCCGACCCAGCGGTGTACCCGGGAGCAGGAGTTGGCGATATCGGGGTAAGTGGTACAAGGAGGCTTATCATTCGTACATACTAAATGTACACATCAAATGAGCATCTAATGCGTAATCAATGAACTGTACTGTTAAAAGTATCCAATGCAATTTCAGTGCGGAAAAAACAAAAAGAAAATCTGTATGAGGAAAGCAGAATGATATTAACATTTGGTGCCATTTCTTAAAACATTTTCGTCATTGTCAGTCATACTTGAAGTGTTTGAAATAGTCCCAAAACAAGCTACATGTATGCTAGAAATCAGTATGACTAGAAAATTGACTTTAAAAATTAGTTTTGCCAGCTTGAAATTTGTTTGAGTGACTTTGAATGCTATAAATAACCTTTCGTAGAAATTCATAGGCTCGTGGAAATTGAAAGCGGCAAAATGACGGTATAACTCGCGTCGCTCACCCCCAAAAAAACCTCCGCTACCCTACAAGTCTGCGAAGGAGGCTACGACATTCAAATAAAGCTGAAGCTGATACTTTCAAGTACCTGACTTGTCTCTCCCCCCAGCCGTACACCGCCCGATGGGCAGACGCGGTCCTGGCTCTCGCACAAGCCTTACGGAACCTTCAGGAAGACGGCGTCACGGTGACTCCCCAGCCTCTGGACTGTGGCTGCGACGGAAGCGACTCACAGCCATGGGCAGACGGGCCAACCATGCTGCAGTACCTAAAACAGGTATAAGCGACAAGAATGAGTGAATGAACTTTATTGCTCTACATTCGTCAATGGTACAACATATGGCAAAAATCAACAATGCTACAAAACTAATCTATTTTTTTACGTCAGAATTGACCTCAAAACAAGGCTCGTGAGAGCCACTTACATGTTTTGGGTTACAGTGATGACTGCGTGGTCAGATATTTGTTCACCCTTGATTTAAACCGTTGGAGGTTGTAATTAGCGGTGAAACATTCACGGGGAAGCTTGTTCCACAGTGAAGTGGTTCTGGGGAAGAAACTGTCAGCATGAAATTTTCTCTTGACTGATGGACTATTGAGGAAGAAAGGGTGATTTTTTGCTGTTGAGGTGGCTAAGCGTGTTCTTGCAGAGAATGTTCTGAGTGGGGGTACGAGGGAGTGAAGTTCAGCAGACCATCTGCCGTGGAAATATCGATATAGTAACGCCAGTTATATATATCAAATATGTTGTATATTAAATATACAACAACTTTTATGGCAGTAAAAAGCACAATGCATGACCCGACAGTGCTTTACTATATACTATGTATTGATGCAGGTTGAGACAGACGGAGTGACCGGTAATATTCGCTTCGACTCAACGTCAGCCCGCTTGGACGCGGAGTACAACATCGTGAATTTGAAAAGCGATGGCTGGCAGAAAGTGAGAAAATACTTCTTCATGCTCTATCACAGTTTTCACAAACAGTTCAAAGAAGTTTTTCTACGTTCATTCCATGCCAATTTCGAGAGCTTGTATACGTCAAGGTAAAGACTTGGACGGAATTGTTGCTTCTACCGGGCCTGGTACTCGTAGAGATCGCTAGACCAAAGTCTCTGTCAACAGAAACTTCGATCAAAGTTTCTGTTAGTAGAGATTCCGAGTTTCTACGAGTATAAGTTGTGGTCCGTGTTATAATCATACATGTACAACATTAAGAAATACTTAGTTTTATGTCAACCACATACTGTTTATCAGTAGATGTGTTTCCCAATGTTAATTTGTAAGAATAAATCTCATTCTCTATGCCGCAGATTCTACCAGATCGGAGTCCCAGTTTGCCAGGTAGCTACCATGATATATATATATAATGTTCGTTGTTTTTTGTTCTCTGCCTGCACAAAATACCATCCCAGGTCGGCACTTGGAACCTGACGGCGAGGTTGGACATTCACCCCGACGCAGATATCAGATTCTCCGGTGGGGCGACCACAGTCGTCCCGTACATGTCTGACTTGAGTAACAGGACCCTGCGGGTAGTCACCATCGCTGCAGACGGCTTCGTGGAGATATCAGACGTCGATAGGGACGGTAATAACGTAACGGGGAACGACAGATTCCAGGGTTAGTCAGTCTCTGTAATTTTAATATAAAAAATTCTCCTGCACCAAAAATTCGCAAAGGTCTACCTTCTAAATATACAAAGAAAACAAGGGTTGAGCAGCTCAAAAACTTGACAACAGTAAACATATCCTACCTTTGACCTCATTTTTTCGTGTATCCATCCGCCTTAGCCATGCAAGACCTAATTACCACGTTGTCAATAAGCACACTAAACTGGTGAAATGAACAGAACTTAACCAATTTTGAAAGTAAGAAAGCTTGGACCCTGTCTGTTTTTTTTTATACTTCTATCCGAAAAATATCCAGACTGGACCAACATTTTCAAGGGAAAAAATATATTCAAACATATTAACTAACGACTAGAATTAACTGCGCAACGATTCTGTTTTCTGCAGGATTTTGTATGGATCTTTTCTCGTGGATGTCCACTGAGCTCGGGTTCAAGTACGAGTACTACGAAGTTGAGGATGGACAGTACGGCCTTTACAACGCACAGACAGGAAAGTGGTCGGGACTGGTCGGAGACGTACTGGATGGGGTGAGACAGTGCTTGTTAGGGTTTATAATTAGTTACGACGGACTCCGTTACAAAGGTTTGATTAAGACCCTGTCACACATTAAGATTCTTGTTTCGACCACTTAACAACCAAGGTCGGCTAGATGTATTCAACAGTCTGACCAAATTTATGCCAGGTCTACCTTTCTAAACGAATCGAAAACGAAATTTAAGCCAAATACCCCCTTCCCAAATAGTACTTACCTACTCCCAAATAGCCAACCACCAGCCAAAGATGGTCGAACCTCCCCTTTACACCAGTAGCCAACCTCGCCAAACCCCAGCTAACCACAACCAACTTTTCTTCCTATCTATTCCTAACCATGGTCGGGGGGGGGGGGGCTAGTTCGGGAGGCCATATTTGGCTAAATGTGACAGGGGCTTTAACGTTTTTTATACCTGACATCACGGAATCTATCAATCTTAGTTGAATAACAATATTGACATCTAGTACCCTGGATGCCAGATCGTACCAAGCCTGGCCTGGCCGATTCTAATCGGCTCGCCAAACAACTAGCCCCCGGTAACACAATCCAGCCATACAAGGAGTTTTGGCCGCCCCAAACTAGGGGACTGTTTTATGACATTTAACTAAATTCCCTAATTGTTACTATTGCTAGATTCTGTACCAGGGTATGTAATGCAAACTTTTTATCTTTCGCAGAAAGCTGATATAGCCGTGGCTATTATGTCCATTACTGCCCAAAGACAGGCTGATGGTGACTTTACGCTTCCGTACTATGACAACGGAATCACGTTTGCCATGAAGAAAACAGAGGCAAGGTACATGTACATAAAGTGCACTACGTAGTTTGTTTAAATGAAGTTCTGTCAATGGTTGGCTTTCTGTGGATCTGTAAAAAAAAAGATATTCTGCCAATGTATTTACAGAGTTTGGATTCTAGTTGAGAAACTCTAATTTAGGGTTAATTGAGAAACCATAATTTAGGGCTTTTAAAGTTGAGAAACCTTAATTTAGGGTACGTTGTGGACCCCTAATTTATGGTTAGTTGAGAAATCATAATTTAGGATTAATTGAGAAACACTAATTTAGGGTAAATTGAGAAAACCTTATTTAGGGTTAGTTGAGAAACCCTAATATAAGGTCAGCTTAGAAACCCTAATTTAGGATTATTTAAAAAAAAAACTTATTTATGGCTTGTTGAGAAACCCTAATTTAGAATGAGTTAAGAAACCCTTATTTAGGGTTAATTTCCTACTTATTATGATTATAAAGGTACACGGAAATTAGTCAAATTAGTATCGTTTTTTAATAGCTCTACGTTTATAAACTTATTATTTGATCATTTCCAGGACTTCAAACACCTGGGGCTTCATCAGTCCGTTCCAGGGAGAACTGTGGGCTACCATACTGCTGACGGCTTTGGCGGTGGGACTCTTTCAGGGAGTGGCCAACTTCGCAACAAAAGACATGTAAGATATTTTTTTCATTTTGTAAAATGCTATGAAAAGCATTAGTGGACATTAGTGAAGCTTATTATGATTATAATTATCATTGTTGAGGCAAAATTATGTTTATATCTATGTATAAATGGTGGAAATAGATACAATGGAATTCGTTACTTTTTAAAAAGAACTTAGTAATACGTTAAAATATATGGGTACAGTTACTATCTAAAGCTAAGATCGTGTCACTAATATTTTTGGGCACATAGACCTGACGAATGGTTGATAAAAGAATGAAGATATAATACATTAGGGCTATTAGAGGGCCCATTAAGACTTTGAATTTTATAATTTAGTACCTGATTATAACCTTTTGCCATAGTAATAGCATTAGCATTTAAGAGTCCAGCACTGTTTTTTCACTCGTGGAGGCTCTGATTTAGACATGTTGTTAATCTACAGGGACGAGGAAAATGATGAACCTGCAAAAGAAGACGATGACAAGGAGACGGGTTTCTGGGAGGCTGTGTGGCAGTCATTCGTGGCTCTGGTGCAGCTGGGTCCGGAGTTCCTACCAAGGTCGTTATCAGGTATGACACTATGATAGGGCCGTGAATAGTTTCATCAGGTTGGTAAGTTACTGAGTAAAGAGATTCTTTTTACCCAACCAAGTCTTTTATTCAGCCGACGTTTTGTTTCGAACTGAATCGTGGAATCTGGTTTTTCTTCTCTGTAAGTATATGTAACTGCTTTTGTTTCATAACTGACCACAATTAGGTATATATATCCAATTCATTTACGCATAGGAACGCATTGTAAATACTCTATGTACTATGGATATGTGTAGAGATGTAAAATAATTGTACATTTGGGAATGCATCTATAGCAGCTACACCTGTGCTACAGTGCAATGTGAACCAGTCAGAATTGCCCTGAGGAAGGTGACAGACGGTCACCGAAACGTCGGCTGAATAAAGTCTTGGTTGTGTGAAAAGAGTCTTTTCACTCACTATGGTAGGTGTAAGTGAAAGAATCAAGCAATTGTTTCCTTGAATGCCCTCAATCATAATGCTGATTAAGCCCCTGACACACATACCCGAATATGGTCCAACCATCAGATATTCTGTTCAATGTAGGCCGTATTTCTGCGTTCTTCTGGGGAATCGGCATCCTTGTGGCCATCTCGACTTACACCGCCAACCTGGCGGCTTTCCTGACCGTCAGGAACGTGGACAACTCCATCAGCTCTGCCGAGGACCTTCTCTCACAGGTATTATCCCTCTGTACCTATATAATAGATAAGCCTTCCCCAGCTTTAGACTTTTAGATGAAACAGAAAAATTGTTATTCCTCATGAAAGTTGACAAACCATGTATCATTAGCTCCATATGTTCGTGCATCTACAACTGCCTTAAGAAGCGAGAAGAAGTTAAACCTGTGAAAAGTAGCTCACATTAGTATGTATAGTTTAAGTGTTATTCCCTGTTTATTCATGACCTGTACTTAGCTTGTAAGAGCATAAACGTACAATAAAGGTGTTTCATTCATTATCAAACATAGAGCACTGTATACGGATGCTTACAGTTTCAAAGCTAAATAGCTGCAATGCTGGTTTTGATCGTAAAAAAAATAGAATTATATGGCAAGGTTCAGCTGTTGTCTATCTGTTTGTATTTACATTTCTATGTTATTTATTTGTTTATTGTCAAGTGGCGTCAATCGACATTACATTTTGACCTCATCTTTAGACGGAAATCTCCTACGGTGCTATAAGCACCTACTCATCATGGGTGAGCTTCAGGACCACCACAACCGAACCGTACCATTCTCTGGGAGTCGCCATGCAGGCTAAGGCAGAGTCAGTCCTCGTGGAGAACTTACAGGAGGGTGTTGAGAAGATGCGACAGGAGAAATATGCGCTGTTCACCGACAGCGCTGAACTGGACTACATGGTTAGTTGAATCATGTACGAACTAGAAAGGTAGCAGTTGCAAAGCAAATGTATAATGTTTACCTTTGCATATGGTCTGCTCTCTCAATTCTTGCTCAAACACATTCATATGTATGGTCAGACAGGAGTCTAAATCCGCCCTGCTATAAAATTGCAACATAATGTAACCCAACACTAAGTTACCATGGTGACAGACGTCTGGTTCAGGTCATAAATATGACTAACTGGGAATCCTCGCGCGGCTCGCTTTCGTGCAAATCACGTGAAATCACGCGAGACTGTACTCTCGCGAGAGCACTTTTCCAAAATTGCCGCAACAACTAGAAATGGGTTAAACTCTATCCTGTCTATACTTGACTAAAACTGCAACACGGAGCCTCTTGATGCCGATGATGTGGTAAAAATGACATCGCCTTATGCATGCCCATTACAAATGTGAATTTGTGTTATTTAGGTGTATGAAGTAGGGAAACATTGATGCTATCTTTTATAATTAAAAAGTTCAACGATAAATGTTAAGCATTCTACTAAAAATGATGTTCATGCTGCGTCCTGTTTTTGTACCTGTAGGCCAGTCGTCAGCCCTGTGACCTACAGACCATCGGGCGGCTGTTCTGGCAGACAGGGTACGGGATGTTTCTACCGAAGAACTCCAAGTACACCGTGGAGTTCAACCACGCTATTGTCAGTGCAGAGGAACGGGGAGTAGTAGATGAGCTGGACGTTAAATGGTAAGTAAAGTTTGCTTCAAAGTAATCATGAGCAATAAGATGTTAAAATGATTAATTGCCTGATTCACTGTCGTCATAACATCATAATTCATTACTGCATATGTTATTGTTTGTTGCTGCATATTACATATTTGAAGCACGGCTAACTGGAAGGATTTGAAACCGATTAACTTTGACGGTCCTCTGCAGTATCGTAGGTATGCGCTAGGAGTCTCATTATCGAACTTTACCTTCCTATTTGGAACCCCATCCATCCACTAAATATAATGTACAACCATTCACAGCTTTTTTTAGTTATGTTGTCCACATACAAAAACACATTCTTCCACAACCCACAGCAGTACCGTAGGAAAACGTCAGGCTTACCAGCTCATCGATTTTGTTTGTATGTAGGATCAAGAGCCAGGAGTGTTCCGGTACGGACCAGACTGTACTGGAATCCTCTGTGATCGGACTACAGGACATGTTGGGTGTGTTCGTGCTGGTGTATGGAGGCATGGCGCTGGCTCTCATTGTTCTCATCTGTGAATTCATCCACTCCTGTAACCGAGATGCGAAGAAATCAGACCCCCATGTAAGAGCTTTATCCTTCCGTAAAGTCTAACGGTTTTAGCTGCCCATTATGTTTACCATCACAGGAGGAAACATGTTGTTTGTTTGTTTGTTTGTTTGTTTGTTTGTTTGTTTGTTTGTTCGTTTGTTTTTGCGCTGCTTTTTCTTCGTTTTCTTCTTCCGTTCTAAACAAAAAAAGGCTTATAACCACAAATATAGAAGAACTTTATTGCACGACAAATGCACATGGTACATTGTATGGCAAACTACATAAAGAGAGTAACAACAATAAAATAAGTGTGTTGAATAAGACCTAATGTCGAATAAAACCTAACATATCTATATCATAATCATTCAAACAATAAGGGATATCACAAGTCTTTGATATAGTGTTACAATCGAGTGGGCTAATCACAAGTTACGGTAGATAAGACGGCTGTCACCATGGTAACTAGTACGGTAGCTGCAGGGTTACATGTATATGTATGCAGAAAGGCGGAGTTGGAGAGTTAGAAAGAGAGCTAGAGACGGAGAGACCTCGCGATATATTTGGGGAGCATTTCTCTTGGAAAACAGGACATACAATTTAATCCCTAGACCCCCTGTTAGATATTTTATTCGACTTGTAAATTTACCACAAAGTCATAGTCAAAGTTTATTTCACAACGATTGCACACATGCCTCACTAATTTGATATATTCCTCATTTCTACAGAAGCCTATGACAGTCACAGAGGCAGTGAAGACACGTCTGAAGAGGATATTCTCCCGTCGGAAGAACAGCAGCGTCAAGACCCAGCAGGTCCACCCTTCTCACATCCACCCGAACACCGCCTTCATCGTGGACCTGGAGCAGGATTAACCCTCGTCCTGCTAGACTTTTTTACACAATATTTTCAAGTAATTTGAAGTCTTAATCAGGTCACAGACCCTTGACTTTTTTTTTTGCTCTGCGGCGGCGTAGTTACTTCCGCATTCGTTGCGTTTCGCTGCGGTGTGCTGTGTTGAACGAGAAACACCCCCAAATCGCACATACACAGGGCACTATATAGATGGCCATAGATGGTACTATATGTGCAACCCATATATGCATGGGTCCCGCAGCTTTTACATTATAGAAGACGTGCCTTTCTGTTAGGCATAAGAAAATCGATGTTGTGTTTCCTGTTACGGTCCTAAATGTGTCTTTGTTTAAATTTTAGCCAAAGCCATCCAACAAGGGCAGTTAACACTAGAAAGATAACATTTGCAAAGCAAATGCATAATGTTTCCTTCGCATATGATCTGCTCTGTTAATTTTGATGTGTGGGAGTATGACAGGGGCTAGCCTGTATATACGCCCTAGCTAGCTAAATATTTGCCAGCTGAATGACCAATAGGTATGCCCGACGCATTTCTGATCATATAATGTCTGGTACGATTGGTTCAATTTCTATTGCCTCTGGCCAATCAGAATTCAATTACGTAATACTATGTATACATGGATAAATCAATTCGAGTTCATGTTTAGCCTACATGCTCAGTAATGATTGGCCAGCGTAACATTTATTGACCAATGTATGTGCAGCTACCATGGCGTTGAATAAAATTACAGCATTTATACCTCTGGTTGCTAGGGGTCGCTCTTAACCATGCAATGTACAGTACTAAAGTCTTGTAATATTGGCAATATCACTCTAGCATGCCCTGCTTTTCTAATCCGCTTGGTCTCGACTGAATTTTGTGATCAGTCTGGCCATATTTAACTATGGTCCACACCTACCGTAACTATATGAGTTAAATCAAATTTAAGTTAAATTTGAATCAAATTTGACTGCCAACCGCGCCCCGAACACTACTGACCAATCACCAGTCAACCATGGCCGAACCCTCCGTCCACACCCAAATGTTTTAAACATTTTGAAACATTCGGATGGTACAAATAATTAGTAGCCGACCGAACGCAAGCCAACTACGGCCGACCTTGTCCCGACCTACTCCTTGATCCTAATCATGCTTGGGTTGAGTTCGGCAGTGTTCGGGAGGCCATTTTCGGCTATGTGTGGCGCTTTAGGTTTCCTAAAACGTCTATTTACATGCCGTCACTTTTACACGAATGACTCTCTACACCCCGTCTCTGTACCTCTTACACAATCTCTCCCTCAGGGGGTTTTACGTCATACACCACGTGACTCTTTCCAACAAAACCTGTCCAACCGGTTACCATGTACATGTAATTATTCTAAAGGGGCACACACCTTCTCAGTCTCTAACACAGCCGTAACACCAACTCCCTGGAAAAGGACACTTTAGCAAGTGAGGATCTGGACTTCTTGAAGCTTTCTTGAGGTACATGTATAAGTACTTACTTGAAGTTGATAAGTCTCTATTGTCAGCTCTAGATTTCTTTCAGGCATGTCAAAAGCGAGGAACAATAAGTGCATAGGTCCTTGCAAGGAATGAGTGTTTTGTTGACACTATTGCTTGAAGTTGGGTAGTATGTTTTGTTTCAGATTATAGAAACCTGTCTATAATGCGTTTCATAAAGTACCTGACAGTGTACAAGACCACTGTGTGTGTGTGTGTGTGTCTGTGTGTCTGTGTGTGTGTGTGTTTGTGTGTGTGTGTGTGTCTGTGTGTGTGTGTGTGTGTTTGTGTGCGCGCGTGTGTGTGTTTGTTTGTGTGTGTGTGTGTGTGTTTGTGTGCGCGCGTGTGTGTGTCAGTTTGTTTGTTTGTGTGTGTGTGTGTGTGTGTGTGTGTGTGTGTGTGTGTCGTCGTCGTCGTCGTGTGTGTGTGTGTGTGTGTGTGTGTGTGTGTGTGTGTGTGTGTGTGTGTGTGTGTGTGGTTTAGATCAAAAATTCATGAAACCGTTGGTAGGTCTTCATGAAACAATTAGATGTTGAGCCCCCTGGCGGTTTGTTCTAGAATCGTTTAAAACTAAAAGTACATACCGTGCATTATGCCTAGCACCTTAGCTGCGTTATTCCTGACACTATATACCTGCAACGTGCTCTGTATGCATAGCCAATAGGAGAGAGTATGTGCGTACATTGCCCTAGGCAATAACCTTTCCGTTAATACTTGCCAATTCTACGATGCCAACTTCCGTAGACAGCATTACCTACACTTGATTCAATACTGTTAACTGGGCCTTTCGACTTCTGTAACCTGACGTCAGTGCACCTACTATTCATATCAGATAGCAACACGAATTCGGAGACCTATGTGAAAATATTTAGAGCCTTTTGTAAGTTTTGTTGTTTTTGGACTTATTCTTCGGTACCACAATAGATAGTTTACTTAGTAATCAGTCTAAGATACGAAATAAGCAAACGTTTTCCGTCAGCGAAATCGCATTTTTGTCCCTCACAGATATCAGTACTCTATGAGGGTTGATTCAACCAAGGCCATGATGATTTGATTAAATGGATGACATCCACGCGCGTATGAATTTTCGTCCGTTTCCAAAAAAAAAGTTTTCGACCATACTGTAAATCGTACAAATTGAGCGAATATGTGTTATATGTTGCACAAAACGTATTGGAAAACGATACTAAAGTGGAATGCCGAAATCAATTCAGGTAAAGAATAACATGTAAAGAAATGAAAATGAAGAGTCTATTATTATTCGCCATACCACACTATGTATTTAGGCATTTGTTCAACTTTTAGGACCAAATAGTTTTCATAACGAAGGAAACTTTTTTATTTGCAAAACTTTTTTTTTATTCGCACGCTCGCGTCAGTTCTGGGGTTCCCAGAGGATGTCATCCATATAATCAAATCAACATGGCCTAACTATATTTAAACTGTGAATGGCCGGAAAATTGACTTTGAATCCAGTTTCACTGCCATGAAATCGCTTTGGGCGCCCTTAACGTAAGTCCCCGTATTTTTCTTGGCGTTCTATACCTTCTATTTTAACGAGACTGCTAAAGAATGCAGCCTCCTTGAAGAAATACAGCCTGCTTGAAGAAATGTAGCCTCCTTGAAGAAATGCAGCCTGCTTGAAGAAACCATCGCCTCCAGCGCGATAAGAGAAACGAGTACACTTATATAACATAGAGTATACCTCAATCTTTATTTGCAGACTACACGCTTTTAAGAAATATTGGTATATTTGAGGGTCAACGCAAGGGTTATCACCAACTCACATTTCTAAAACCGTCTAGTATTCCACTACAGGGTGAATTGAGGAATCAGAGCGTAAGAAACCTATGAATACCTGATATGTGACCACAGTAAGCATTACATAGAAACCAAGTTTAGTTATCTCTTACCTAAGACTATACAGAACGTTCTTGGTAAAGTCAGAATTATGACCTCTTGAGGCCGTCCCGTCTAAAAAGGTTGTTGCTGTAGAACTCAAAGGTATCGATCCAACAAACGTTTAAGAAAAAAGAGAATATAAAGTAACTTCAAGGCTTATATTGCCCATCTTGAATTTTAAAAAGTGCAAAAAACAGCCAATGCTCTGTTTTTGCTCTGTTTCTTCTTCCGTTCCACACAACGACGTGAATCAGACCGTCTTTCACCATAGTAATGCTTAGGTCACATTTCCAAACCGGGGCCCGGCCGGGCAGTCTTTTGGAACGAAAAGTACGATACAAAAGACAACAGAGCATAAAAAAAGTTAAAAGGATAATCATGAGTACAATTTGTGTATATTCCTGATAAGAATTTTTTATTTTTCGTTCATACAAACAGCCCGGCCGGGCCCCGACTTGGAAATGTGACCTAAGCATAACTGGTGTTGCGTTACATGATGTTGCAATTTTACAGTAGGAGGGATTTAGACTCCTGTCACCATATATGTGAATGTGTTTGAGCAAGCCATATGATTATGCATTTGCTTTGCATATGTTACCTTTTTAGTGACTACATGTATTTTTTTCGTCTCTTGAAAGTGAAGTATCAACGTTGTCAGACGTGGGTTTCCTAAATATCAGAGTTCGATTCCTGAATTGAAAAAATGATTCTGTCAACAGCCTTGGCATTCCCTTTACCGCAGACTGTCGGGAATCACATTAGGGTCTGGTAGGAGATGTACAGCGTGACGGAAATATCAGAGGGTCTTGGTTCTGCGCCAAATGTACATATAACATTTCAAAAGGCGTCAGAGGCAGGGGATTGGAATCACTCTCGAACACCTTGTAGGCGTGACTGACATTAGATCACATGTCTGTGCCGAACCCGGGACATCTGCGGAGATAGGCTCTACAATTCCACGTGTAAATTGACTAAGGGGAGATACCACACCATGATGTATTACCAATCTATGTTCCTAAACTATCCACTTGCAAACTCTTCTAAGGCTACAGCAAGTAAATTTTATGGATGTCATCCTCCGCAGACTCGAAATCTAAAACGATAGGGCGAAATAAAAACAAGGCGGGCTAAAAAAAAAAAGATTCCTACATTTTCAAATTTTGACATCATAAACCTCGTAGCGTTGAACAAGAAATGATACCTATATGTGCATCAATTATTGTGCAAATGGTTTTGATTCAGTGGGAAGGAACATCACATATACACAGCCACCATCACATATAAAAGGAATAAAACACATCCCTGCATCAGTTTAGTAGTGAAAAAGACAAACCAATAAATCAGAGCCTTTTCTTGTCTCCTCTCTTCATAGTTACATGTATCTGCCATCCACCTTCCGGCACGGCAACAGACATCTTTGCCAATTTCCGGCATGTTGACCACTGTCAGAGGGCAACAAAATTTCTTGTTTTATTTCAAAATCAGGCGAAAATTAATGCGCGCGTAGATGACATCCATAAAAATTACTTACTGTGGCCTAATCTTCTAATCCCTGACATTCTGAATGTATCCTGAACTTTCTTCGCTTTTTGTGGCAATCTTTATTTAAAGCTTACTTGAGAACTTTTATAGCCATCTTTATAACGTTATAAATGTTGACAAATGTTACATACATAGTGATTGATATACATGAGAAAAGAGTCGTAATTTGATACAATAAGGATGAGTATATGACATTGACAACCAGATGGCGAGATATCAAAACTGGACGGTCCGCTGCAGCACCCTAAAAGGTCGCAAGGGGGCTCAAAATCTGTTGATGTTTCATCAATACCTACCCATCTACCAAGTTCAATGATGATATGATTCATTCATAAGTTCTTGATCTATTGTGATAAACCACATACACGCACAGGTGCAAACATACACAGAAACGCTACTAACAATACAACCTTCTTGGCGAAGGTAAAAAGCCACAAATAGGCTGAAAATCATTTCGACTACCAAGTTTCATGATAATCTAATCATAACTTCTTGAGTTATCGTGCTAAACATACACACACACACGCACACATACAAACGCTATCACAAATATTACCTTCTTCTCTAAGATTTAATTTAGATTCAGGTAAGCAATATGATTCCAAACTTTACTCTTCGCTGCACCACTGACGTTGGTCCATTGTTCGCTGCACATATTGTGTATCTAAACTTAGCCCGAAGTACGAAAATTCCATCACCGCCTGTGTTAGGTGTAAGAAGCGGCAGTAACAGTCCCGTACTCCGGCCTTCACCTTAGACATTTCCCGTCGGGCGGACAGGATTAGACTTTCCGAAAATTGATCCGTGCGGAGGAAATTGAAGAAGTTCTCGGTGGCTCATCTCTGGTTTGATATGTCATGCACGATCCGTCACCTCGGGAATGGGATGCGAGTGTGTGTCTGTCTCTCTCTCTGGCCATAAAAACTTTCAGTGAACTTGGATAGAAGTAGCCTCCTTCGCAAACTTGTGCGGTGGTGGCGTTAATTTAAAGGCATCCAGTGCAGTTTTTTGATCTTGGAAACCCTATTTTTCAGAGCCAAAATTCTACTCATTTACATGTATCTACATACTGAGTTGAAACCACACTATCCCAATATATAGTGACCCTCATGGAGCAAACATTCCCCAAATTCTGACGGAAAATGGTTACTGGAAGGGCCCTCGGCTGATTTTTAGGGTACCACCCAGAAAATAAAGGACCCACCTTGGGGCTAGCCAAAGTATGAAATGCTGATTTAAATGTGCCAATGTGAAGCAGTATGTGTCAATATCATAAAGATTGCCTTATTCAGAATATTTTCAGTTTAGCTGCCCTGAAATCTCATAAATTATTAGCGCTCCCCTTTAATTTTAGGGGAGCGCTGAAACGCAATTTTTATCATCATCATCATCGCCGCATTTGAGCAAGGTCGGCCTAGGTTGACTGGTATTCAGCGAGGTCGGTTACTGTTCAACTGCGCCAGCTGAAAATGTTTAAAGCATTCGGGAGTGGGCGGGAGGTTGGGCTATTGTTGGGGACTGACCAAGGTTGGGTGGTGATATTTGGAAGTAGGTCAGCAGTGGTCGCGGCGTGGTTGGCTGTCAAATTTGACTCAAATTTAACTCAAATCCTATTGGAAAGTCCGGCGTGGCCTACCCAAAACCTCCACTGGTTGGAATTAGGGGGAAGGTTCAAAATGTGTGACAAAGGCTTTGAAATAGAACTAGGAAGAATAAAGAAGGTTCAGTCGAGGGGCGAGGTTTCTTTGATCTCAGAATTGATTTGAGCGAACCCACAGATCGGTGACCTCAATTGACCTATTATGATTGTGTCTCACTGGCTGATGGCGTTTCTAGAGCGGCAAAATTACTACATCAATGATAGTTAGCCGTTCTGATGTTTTCTTATGCCTGGGTCACATTTCCAAATCGGGGCCCGGCCGGGCTGTTTGTATGAACGAAAAAGTAACAATTCATATCAAGACTATACAGGAATAGTGCCCATGATTACTATCAAAATAAAATTCTGTGTTTTATTGTCTTTCATATCGTACTTTTCGTTCCATAAGACTGCCCGGTCGGGCCCCGGTTCGGAAATGTGACCTCAGCATTACTCAGTACAAAGCCACGCATAGGCCATTTCTAGGCACTGAACTAATTAACGTCCTTCGTGGTCTGCAAAAGAGAATTCAAAGCCTCCAGACATAGTTTTAGACATAGCTATAGTTTTAAACAACTACCTTTCATTGTGTAGATTTTAGTTATTTTATACTCTGTTTCAATGTTCTTTTATGTTTGTAATTTGCAATTATCCACCGGTCATACATTTCCAATAAACTTCTCTATTGATATAACGCTAGCTGCAGCAGCATCTAAGTCAGAAACATGTAGTGTAGACAAGCTGTATATTTTTTGCTGTATCATAACGTAACATGAAATTGGCAATATGATTGTTTCAAGCACTTGAATGCGTTAATCCAGAACAAGACGTATAGGCATGTTTTCTGCACTATAACCTCGTAGGGTTTTAGTAAGACAAAGTCGTTCTCTAATGTGAGCTGACAGCCAATAATCGGGACGCCTTGTACTGTATGCCGTTCTCATCCCCGCACAAATTACGACCAAGGTTTACAGCCCAACCGAGTCCCGCTTTGTGCATAAACCCCTGCCGCTCGGACCGCTCGTGTCGCCGTCTTGTAACGAACCGAGCTTGTTGTTCATCAGCTCTGGGGTCGATCGTCGCTTTGATGTTCCGGACTGCCTCCCACGGGAAGATAGCCGCCGTCTTTGAAGTTTGATGGCCCGACGTAATCACAGCTTCTGTCAGCTCTAGTTCTGTACCCAGTGTTGCTCATATAGACGACTTAGACGGTAGATTGTAATACACCCACCAGTCTTTAATGTGGCTGCGAAGGGCAAAATGAGCTCGTAAAGGAAAATGTAAAAAGTTTCGATCAAGTGCAAGGACGGTTATCAGAATATATCACAGCAACACTTTGAAACACTTTCTGTATAGGGTGCGTCGATGAAGGTTAGACATCCAAGTAATGAGTCAAATTTGTCTCAAACTTAACTTAAATTTGATTCAAATTTAACTTAAATTTGACTCAAATTTAACTCAAATTCGACTCAATTCGTATAGAGTGTGGACGGCAAGTTGGGCCATGCCATGGTTGGTTGGCGGTTCTGTAGTAGGCTAGCATTTTTCGGGCGTGATTGGGAGTCAAGTTTTCCTCAAATTCAACTCAAATTCGACTCGATTCATAGACTGCTCCCGAACTTCAGCCAACCTTGGTTGGTTTATGGTCAGTGGAAGGTTTTAAATGTGTGCCAGTGGTTCAATGTTATCTAAAAGCCTTCGTCGAACGCTACGGTCAGAATCTATTCCTCTCACCCCCCACCCTTAGCCCCTTCAGGAATAAACCACTTTGTTCGCTACAGCCACCTAATCAATCCGGTCCCTCCGAGCCGCGGAAATCATGCCGGTAGAATCACCCCGCTCACCTCAGGTATTCATTCTCAGGTTTTGGTCGATTGAGCTACGTTTGACGCTGTGGAAAACTGCTGACAATTGCAGGACGCTGTATATATCATCACCTCATATAACCCCGTGGCTGACTCTAGCTAGCGTACATCAGTAGGAAAGCCAACCACCTGTAAGAAAAACAAACTATCCCCAGTAGTGTTTTTCTAAGTTTGCTGTAAGTGGAGGCTACGGAAGGGGTTTGCAGATCATTTTCATTGCCACTGAAATTCTTTTTTCAAAGCAAAATTGATCAGTTTGAAAATTTTTCTACTTGAATTCACTCTTGTGGAGATGTTATAACACTTGATTTGACTTAGTTATGCGGATTGAATAAGTATTCCCATAAACGCCTTTCACAGCCACAGACCACGTGACTAGGCTGAGAGCGCATGAGCTCGCATGAGTGAGGTTCGAGGAATACGCTGGCCGGTATTTTCGAGTTGTCTTTCCGCTACCAGGGACTCTACTGTCACATGACAGTACGTCATACCCGAACTGTGCATTGACAAGGGGTGAGGCTCCCTTCACGTGTGTCGTCACTAGAAAGTAGAGCGTGTACCGGGAAAACACTTGAGAGCTGCCCGCCTGGTACAAGTAGGACTGCCGGCGATACAGACGCACAGAGATCGGGGTAAGCTCTCTCTTACCAACCTTGCTGTTTTGTTTTGACTTTATTGACGGCACAGTAACATGTGTATGTATATACAGTCTGAACATTGGAAGCAGAACGTGGTGATTTTCATCGCTTCCGGGTGTTGGGTACACTTGTAGATTCTTACCGCAAACGTGAAAGATTTCCCGGTAGCTTTAAGATCTAATTTTCACCTGACAGTGTGCGTACGTTGCCCACTTAACCTAAATCTCCAAGCTATAGAACTTGGAAGTAACCCAGGTTAGTTGTGACGAGGCAGCGTTTAAGACAGGCTCTAGGATATACTCTGTTAGATAGGGGAGGGTTGCTGCTATCCCCATACTGACTGGTCGCAGTGTTTGTTTAAGGAAAATACCTGAGACTTGTCCAAGCAAGGTGAGGCCGTGTCCAGTACTATAGTAGGATAACATTACACCGCCGGCACAGAATTTAAGCCCCTGTCACACACAGCTTGACTGGCTGAGTACTGCCGAACTCCCCCCAACCATTTTTAGGGGTAGGTCGGGAGCAAGGTCGTCTGTCGTTGGCTGGTGTTTCGAAATCCCCAGAAACCAAAATGTCTACTAAGAGTTTGTCTTCTAGAAATTACAATATCTACTAAAAGTCTGTCGTCTAGAAACCATAATGTCTACTGAAAAACTGTTTTCTAGAAACCAAAATATTTACTAAAACTGTCTTCTAGAAACCATAATGTCTCCTAAAAGACTGTTTTCTAGAAACCACAATGTCTACTAAAAACTGACTTCTAGAAACCACAATGTCTACTAAAAGACTGTTTTCTAGAAACCACAATGTCTACTAAAACTGTCGTCTAGAAACCACAATGTCTAATAAGAGACTGTTTTCTAGAAACCACAATGTCTACTAAAAGACTGTTTTCTAAAAACCAAAATGTTTACTAAAACTGTCTTCTAGAAACCATAATGTCTACTAAAACTGTCTTCTAGAAACCACAATGTCTACTAAAACTGTCTTCTAGAAACCACAATGTCTACTAAAACTGTCTTCTAGAAACCACAATGTCTACTAAAAGACTGTCTTCTAGAAATCACAATGTCTACTAAAACTGTCGTCTAGAAACCACAATGTCTACTAAAACTGTCTTCTAGAAACCACAATGTCTACTAAAACTGTCTTCTAGAAACCACAATGTCTACTAAAAGACTGTCTTCTAGAAATCACAATGTCTACTAAAAGACTGTTTTCTAGAAACCACCATGTCTAAAGAAAGACTCTTCTAGAAACCAAAATGCCTACTAAAACTGTTTTCTAGAAACCACAATGTCTACTAAAAAGACTGTCTTCTAGAAACCACAATGTCTACTAAAAGACTGTTTTCCAGAAACCACAATGTCTACTAAAAACTATCTTCTAGAACCACAATGTCTAGACTCTAGAGATCTACTGAAAGACTGTTTTCAAGAAACCACAAAGTCTACTAAATTAAACTGTTTTCTAGAAACCACAATTTCTACTAAAATACTGTTTCTAGAAAAACAATGTCTACTAAAAGGCTGTTTTCTAGAAACAACAATGTCTACTAAAAGGCTGTTTTCTAGAAACGACAATGTCTAAAGAAAGACTGGAGTCAGTCAAGGGAGGGGTTCCTCCGTAAGCCCGCTGGAATGATGATGCACAATGAACTAGCGATACAGTATGCTCGCCCAGGCTATTTTCAGTCAGTGGTCCTTACTTCTGTCAGGCCAAGCGTAAAACTAGAGGCATGACCAAAAACGTCACTACAGGTCAAATTCTTCAATCATGGAGTGGAATAACACCAGATGAACACAAGGTTTTTTGCCCGTAGCGTCTCTGTTTTGACAGTGTTGCTGTTTTGTTATGGTCCAAACATTTCAAACACGAAGTCCAGGAAACAGGAAAAGACAGTGTTACGACTGAACACAAGATCAGGTATGAATGGGATAGATTAGAGATTATTCATCTACATTTAATGTCATGCAATGGTCGCAAATTTAAAGGCTTGTAAGATTTTGCTTTGAGTCAGTTGTTCTTTGACGGTGGACGTGTTGAAAATATAAGCACCTCATTGAAACGCGAGTGAATGGATACTGAAAAAAAGCTTTAGATATGAAACCGTGCGCAGTTTGGAGCTCACTTGCACCAGTGGCGATATTCTTTAGCGAACTTTAGGGAGTTGTCACAGCATTTTAGTGAGCCAGTTCGCCCCAGTTCTTCTGTGGCGGCGACCGTGAAGGGTTGAGCACCACACGACAATGCACGCTGCTATCGCTGGGTTGCATTTGCCACAGCAACTAGACATGAGAGAGAACGCTACCATGCTACGTAACAAATCTTTCTACTATGTTTGTGTCCTTCTCACATAATAAAATGCACTTCTGACGACGCAAAGTATCTGTTCAAGGCTTATAGAAAAGGAATACTTTCTAACAGCCACAAAGATAAACTTGTAACGCATGTAGTATAATTGTAAAAAAAAATTAGCGAGGTCATGAAATTATTTTATTTCGCTCCACACCATGGTACGGATGAAATGTATTGTTTTCTCTGGTGTTTCTTCTTCTTCTCCTCCACCTACCATTTCTTTAAATGGATTCGGTGTCTTCCTTTTTTGGGTCAAATGACCTGACATTTGGAAGGGAGCTAGAGTGTGAACCTTAGACTTTTGGAAGAGTGCATTTTGCATGAGGTTTTTTTTTCGAAGAATCTGTTCTTGTAGGGGGTCAAAATGAAAAAAAAATTCATTTCAGAGTGGGGTGATATTGTAAGGGATGTTCCATTCTGCAAATGGTTGATATGGAACGGTTGATTTTTGGAAGAGATCGGGTAAAATATGTTGTACAAATGTTGGTCTTTCTAGTTTTGTAATGTGCTTCCTTTTATTTTATAGGGTCATCACTTACATAGATATTGCTGTACATTGTCTCAAGTAAATAAAGGTATACATTTTACTATTACCGAACGCAGAAGTTGTCTATTAAGCAATATTATGCAACACAGGTGCAATGGCCAAGTGGGTAGAGTATTCGCCTTGCATTCGGTAGGTCGTGAGTTCAATCCCCGGCCGAGTCATACCAAAGACTTTAAAAATGGTACATACTGCTTTCTCTGCTTAGCATTCAGCATTTGAGACGGAGTATGGGAGTTAAACACACACCACTACCAGTGGACTAGCTCCCTGCTGTGGTGACACAATTGTGTGGCCCAGGGGCTAAAGAAGCGGAGATGGGCACCGCCATATGCAAACATGCTAATGATTGCGGGGTGAATTTTTTATTTTAACTATGCAACACAGACTCTGTGAGAAAGCTGTGAGTAATTATAATGAATAAAGACCTTTATTGTACATTTATGTTCTACAGAACTAAGTACAGGTCGCATGGGTACAGAACATGAACATAAACATATACATTACAAATATATGAATATATAAAAGTGTAAATAAATGTCTAATTTCTATTCTTTTCAGCTTCATCTCGCTTGGTAGTGATTGTATGGATATATGCGGCTGTGAAATTACTTAGAGTAGGTTTATCAAAAGTTAAAAGGAATTATACAAATTTCTCTTTACTAGTCAAATAACTAAAGTGGGGAAATATACTTAATACATGGCTAAAAAATATGAGTCTATCTTTACTATACAAGGGGCAATCTATGGTGAAATGTATTTCATCTTCGATTCGGCCTAAACTACAGAATTGACAGTCTAAGTAATGTCGGCAGCGCCACCGTACACGGGTGCAACCTTCGGTCAGTAGTGTCAGATTTCCTGATCTGTTTTGTAAACATGACACGTTTTCAAGCGGCAGTATTTAGTCAACATGCATCAGTGGAAACGATCCGCCAGACAGGTCTCAAGTGTTCATCTTTAGAGTCTGCATTGAAGAGGATAGATCTCTGAGAGAACAATCTACTAAAGTTCACCCTATCTGGTACACAGAACGATACTTTTCATAAATTGTTGTCATGTCCAACTCCCATATCTGCCTACATAGGTCTATTTCTGTATACTTCATTCCACAAGCGGGACCAAATCATCAATACATAACAATATTGTAACATGTACATGTCTATTGTATCAATACTAATTTGTAGTATTGTAAGATAGTTTAGTTTTGTAGTATTGTTGTCTTACTGCCACACATTGTGCCATGTACGATTGTCGGGCAATAAAGTTCATTCATTCAACTGATGAAGGTTAGACATCCAGGTAAACAATGCTCAAGGGCAATTCAAACTCTACTCTACTCGATGAAATACCGAGATTATTTCCGAACGTTTCGAGTGACGTCTGTCATTCTTCTTCTGCGTCACTAAAACCAAATGACAGAGCTTGTAGTAATCTCCATATTTTATCTAGCAGCAAAGTATGAATTGTCTTTAATAAATGGATGAAGACCTTTATTGTACACACATACCCACTGGGTTAAGTACAGGTCACAACAAAAGGATGGAATATAGATAACGTTACATATATACATCGTCAAGTAGCTACAATCAAGTAAATTCGATTTCTTCTCGTTTCTTAGTAATGGCAAAAATGTAAGAACAGATATGTTTCAATACAGAAGGTTTGTCTAAACTCGCTCATTAGAAATATAAATTTATCTGTACAGCTTAGATGTATGAAGAAGGGGAACATAGATTGTATCAGATTATAAAGTTCTGCTATCTTGTTGTGGTATAGTTTAAATTCTATTACCCATTTTTTGTCATCTTCGATTCTTCCTAGATCTATCAAATCTACTAATGTGTTATAAAATAAGTTATAGTTCAGTGTAACGTCCTTGTCCTTTATCTGATTTATCAGATTTAAAAAAAAACACTACTGTTTACAGTCATCGATTTTCGCCTCTACACAATTAGTTGGCGTGATCCACCTTATTGGTACACTTTCAGTAATAACGGTTTTATATGGATCGCTTCCTGAGGCGGTCTTCTACACAGAGACCTTGGCATTTCCGATACTTTATTCAGATGCACAGGAGCAGGCCTCGAAAATAAATTTTCTTCCTACACAGCACGAAAACAGACATTTAAGCAAACTGTAAAATGTAATATGTAAAGAAGTGTTAAAGTTGAGACTTTACGACTTCGTAAAGGCTGCTGAAATGTCAATTCCGCCTTTCCGTCACCTTTCAGTGTGCTTAGATACGACGTAAACATATTTCATATTATTACGCTTCCTTTACAAATCCTATCGTCCCAGCACTGTCCCAATTGTCCCGCAGAATGAGTATGAACTGTCCCAACCTGTTTTTTTTTAAGTATTGTATGACTTCAACTGGAAGTCAAATGTATTTTACTTATGTTCACTCCCAGACGCACTATAATTGCAGAGTAGACAGGAAATTCGGGGGGACTTTCCGGATCCTAAAGTCAGGACGTGTGCCTGATAAACAAAAGAAGGGCGGGCTGACATTCTGATGTTGATTATTTTTCTATTGTCCCAAAAATGTCCCAAAGTGTCTTTTTAGTTGTCCCAGCCAGTGGTCAGTGGCCTTTGGAGCTACTTTAATTTCGATCCCTGGCTTTATTCCACAGCAGAGAAGCACGTGTGCACTTTTACACCCATCTCTGTTGCTTGCGGTCATGTAGGAAAAATCGATAAATTCCAATTTTCCGTCATCATTGCCTGAATCGCTTCAGTTCCATTAAGAAGAAATAAGTTTTTTTTTCTTTACAACTTTTTCTTTATTCCTTGGGGGTATTTCAGGCTTCTGGTATCGTTATCATCTTCAATACGTGTAATGTAATGCATTGGTATCAAATATGCTGTAACCAGTGATTATCAATTCCCAGTCGGCATTTTGTGCGAAACTGAATCTAAAGCCAGTGCATTTTCCAAAGTTGAGCTGTCACACTTAGACGGGCATAGCTTCCCGAACACTGCTGAATACCCCCCTACCATGGTTGGGAGTAGGTCGGGAGCAAGGTCTGCTGTGGTCGGCTGGTGTTCGGTGAGGTCGGCTGTTGTTCGGCAGCGACAGCCGAATGTTTCAAAACTTTAAAAACATTCAAGCGTGGTCAGGAAGTTGGGTCATGGTTGGCTGATTTTCGGGAGTAGGTGAGCATTGTTCAGGGGTCAAATCTCAATCAAATTTAACTAAAATTTGATTTGATTCGCGTCGAAAGGAAGATGTGGTCTAAATCTGGTCGGGCTGCCTACAACCTACCGCCCACACCCTGGTTGGTTCCTGGTCGGGCGAAGATTGTGAATGTGTGACAGGCGCTGTACTTAATTTGTACAGCAGGTCCCTAGCAACGAAGGTCATTCTGTTCTAGAATTCGTGCCGTGGTTGGGGACTGGTTTGCTGGTGGTTGGGAGTAGGTCAGCAGTGTTCTGGAAGTGGTTGGCTGTCAAATTTGACTCAAATTTGATTCCATTCGTGTTGAATGGTATGCTTTATCGGATTTGACTAGTCAAGAACTTCAGCCAACCTTGTATGGATGTAGTCTCCACCTGACTCATTTGCAGGCTGAATTAATTGTAGAAAAGGGGATATCATTGGCTAGAGATGTTGGCCACCAAGAGAAGCTTCATTTGCACATGCAGGCCGATTTCTACTATCTATTTAGCCTGCAAAAGAGTCTGGTGGAGACTAGATGGACGGATGGTCGGTGGAAAGTTCTGAATGTGTGACAGGCTAGGGTCTTGGCGTACCCCCAGCCGTCTTATACTATTCCCCACCAATTCTTCTCGTGCCTTGCGATCCACTCAGGAAGATTAGGTTAACGTATTGCAGGTATCGATTCAGCCGTGTTGTTTCCTTACATGATATCCGTTAGGACCTGAACCTGACTGAAGGCGTTTTAATTACTTTTTCTAATTATGTAGCATTTTGATTGGTACCATATTTATCAAGGGGGTTAGTCCTTACAAATCCTTAACAATGATCAACGGTTTGTTACAAGAAAGGTCCATGTTCATGAACAGTTTTAAAAGTAGTGACAAGCATGCAAAAAAAAAGGCAATCAGCTGGGATGGCAGACTTCGCTCCCTTACCCATACACACAAACGCACGAACAGACGCACACTTGTACGTACTTATACAGATACAGACGCACGCACACGCGCACACACACACACACAAACACACACACGCACGCACGCACACACAAACACACACACAGCACTCACAGCACACACACAAATTAAGACAGACTAGTCTTAAACTTATCTCCTTCAGTAAAATAGTATATAAAGAGGAGACATATGTACACACTACCAACTGATCTTCGCAAAAACAAAAACGGCATCTTGTCCTTCTAGCCAACCCCCGTTGGAAAAGTCTGTTAGTAATAGATGCGTCTTTTAATAGTGGTTCCTGATATACTGACGATAAAACATGCTTGTCACGATTTGATAGCGTCCAGTTATTAATGTATCCATCTCGCCTCCACGGACGGTAGTTGGGGCATATTTAGGATCGATATTAAGTTTTAACATTTATAGATCTTAACTGGATTAGTTTTCATGTGAAGTTTGAAGTTTATTCGCATGGGGGTGCTATTTACCTATTACGTGTACTGCACTTCGTCGTTACGTGAACTCCTCGAGAGCCTTTGTTCAAGAGAGATTTTTTAACCCTCCTAAAATGTGGTGACTCTGCCATGGGGAATGAGAAGGATTAAAAATTACACAATATTAAACATTTCATGGCGAGGTCTGAGATCTCCAAATTTTTGTTTCTAGTGAGTCTGGGAGGGTACAAACTAACTCGCTGTGCATGTATACCGTGTGTGCAGGCAGGCAGTGTGACGTAACGGTGAGGACCAAGTATGGCGGAGCCCAAGGTCAACGTCAGGGTCAAACCTGAAGACTTCGCAAGAATGGTGAGAATCAAAAAAAGTTTAATATGTAATTTTTTTTTACTGTGACTTCCTTTTTCGTCTTATAATTACACACCTTGTTTTTCTATATTCACCTGTTTGCGATAACAAAACGTGTTATGTTTTTGGTTTGGTGCATGGGGCCGCCATGTTTTTCCCATGATGCCGAGGGAGAGGTGTATGATGGGAAGGAGCGTGGCTACTTGTATTTGTTATTTTTTCTGGTGATATATGCTTGTGAAGAATCATTGGAATGCATACATGGAGGGTTTTTTTTAGTAGCACAGTCTTGTGATCTTGTCGGAAGCTAAAGGACGGCATGATTCTAAATTACGGGGGTTAGTATGTTCGATAATTTATGTTCTTGATGTCTTGACGTTCTTAGACTTTGTATTAAGCGTGTTCAATTTGTTTTTATTCCAGACAAAGAAGTTGACGCATGAGCAGATTATGGGTACGTATTAACCATACAAGGCTGAAAGAGAGAACGTGCGAATTCTATAATAATTTATATGTTGAAAACGAGACATACTTTTTACTCGATTGTACATAACATGAAGATGAACGCCAGTGATTTTAAAGCAAGCTTTGAACTGAAACTGGAAACTTGTCTTCATGAACTGGAACTGGACTGTGCAACTTTGTCAAGGAATGAGGCATTATATTTCGTGTATTTTTACATAATTATGTTTACCTTCGCAAAAAGAAAACATATTCTTCCTCTCCCTCCACTTCTTCTCCAAACAAATCATATGCCAATGACCTAGACCAGGCGTCTTTGTCCATGGTAACTGGTGTTGTAGCAGACACCTTGTGGTGTTGGGTACCATCATGTATCAGGACAGAGCTAGAGAGACTCGTCACCATTGTTTAGGCTAGACCATGTAAAGGTGAACATTATACATTTGCTTTGTAAATGTCACATCTCTAGTTCCTTACATTTCGTGTTCGTTTTGCAGAGTTCCGTGAGGCGTTCAGTGCTATAGACCAGGACGGGGACGGAGTCATCAGGTCCAAGGAGCTGGGGAAACTGATGCGGGCCATGGGGGAGAACCCGACCGAACAGGAGGTGGAGGAGATCGTGGTACAGCTCGACCTGGACGGTCAGTCAAACCCCTGTACTTCTTTAGAAGACCAACTCCCCTGGCATCTTGATAAAAAGGCTAAACGTTCTGTCCAACACTAAGTAAATTGGAACTTACCCAAATTTTCAACTAACTCCGTCAGTCTTGTTCACGGAATGGACCCGTCTACTGCAGCTTCCGGGACGTGACGTCGGAAACACGTGATTGCAGCAAAGGGTCATACGTGTCAGATAACCTGTGTCGCCCCCCGTCTCTGTTCAGTGTCGGACGGTTGGCCCTTGGCAACTTTATTTGTCTATTTGGCCAATGTTTACTCTTTTCAGACACTTCTGAAGCCAGGTAGAGACTAGCCAAAAACACGTAGAAAATGTGATACTTTTGTAATATATTAATGCTCCTTTTGAATGTCCAATAGATGTTATCGGTGTCTAAAGCCCCTGTGAAACATTCAGAACCTTCCCCTTAGCATATAGTATTTCGGCAGAACGCCTCATATAAGTTCGTAATCGCGTATATAAGGTTAACATTCTGTATGTAGTTTCCAAATGTTATATCGGAAAAGATATCGTCTGTAACAGACAAAATTCTGACTAAAAATCCAACCCAAACCGTGAAAAATCAGGGTTTTGCGTACCCTCCACAGCATGCCAAAAACTGGCGGTTTGGGGGGTCTTAATGGTCTTTGGGAGCTCTTTATAAGCCAGTTCTATAAGCCTGCTACGGAAGCTAGGTTTTGCGCAGGCACAGTACGTTCTGTCGACATGCTCCAAACATCCAACTGCGAATGCGTTTCGCGCACGTTCTGTGTCGTAACCAGGTGTCTTCCTGTCACAGGTGACGGGACTATTGACTTCCCAGAGTTCCTGAACGTCATGGTGAAGAGGCTGTTCGCATCGGAGGATCAGAACGAGTGGCTGAGGAGCGCCTTCCGCGCCTTCGACATGGACGGCAGTGGGTACATCAGGTGGGTACTATCAACTTGTGCCACGATATGTTTGATGTGTTACGTTCACCAGTCCAATGGCCAAGAGTGTTCGCCTTGCATTCGGTAGGTCGTGAGCTCGATCCCCGGCCGAGTCATACCAAAGGCATGGTACATACTGCTTTCTCTGCTTAGCACTTAGCGTTTGAGAAGAATGTGGGAGTTATAAACACACTACTGCCAGTGGACTAGCCCCCTGCTGTAGTCATTGCACAGTTGTGTGGCCCAAGGAACTTCAATTGTGTTAATAATAATGCCTCTTTTATACGCAAGTTACGCAACGGAATTTTTATTCAGCAAACATTTCGGTGACTGTCTCTTACCTTTCTTGGGGCAATTCTGACTGGTACAATAGCACGGCACAGATGTCACTTTAAACACAACGTATAACATGCCTTTACTGAGGGACGAATATAATGTGGTGTAATAGACGTTGGTTAGCTTGAGGAATGAATACACTTTCCTTTATGAAATCGTAGTTTTGTTACATGCTAACCAAGTGTGTATTTTTCCAGCCTGCCCGAACTTGAGCACGTGATGACGGAGATGTGCGACAACATCACAGACGAGGAAATCAAAGAGATGTTTGACCTTTTTGACGTCAACAAGGACGGAAGGCTCAGTTTCCAAGGTGTGTGCAAATTATGTTGGACAAAAAGACGTTGAAATAGAACCATTTAAAACGAAGTCTCGCGAGAGCACACTCGCGAACGAACGTGATCTTGCACGAAAGCGAGGTTCAGGTCCGTACGGCCGTTCCATCTGACAAATCTGACACTGAGTCTACAATGAGTAGTCAAAATGACCTTGCTTTTTAAGTACTCATTCTATATTTCTCAGAACAACGGTTCGATCCTTGTCCTGTTGAACAAAAATATGTTACTTCTTCTAGTCTCTGCTGAAGCTTTGAGTATTTCTTATTATCCGATTCAGTATTGCAGAATTTATGAATATTGTTTCTTCTGTTCTTCTCCAAACGTAAGGTCAATAACCTGGACCAGACTTTTGTTACCATGGTAACTGGTGATGTAGCAGACGCCCTCTGGTTTTTGGTGACATTATGTAGCAAGACAGAATTGGCGGAGGGGGATGGTCACTATATCTATATTTATATGAACGTATATATATATATGAACGTGAAAAAGGCCAAACAGAGCATGTGGGTAAATGATTACATTTCCTTTGCAAATGTTATCTCTCTAGTTACATTTGTATGTGCTCTAACCTGTTGTGCCTGTTTGTTTTTTTTTTTCTCACGATCCACTCCAGAGTTTTCAACCATTCTGAGACTAGACGACGACCAATCGTGGGGACTATCGAAGTCTTGAACAAGACGCCAACGCCGAATCAACTGCGCTTAGAACAACCTGTGATTGCACTACATGGACACTGTATACGGCAAATATTCAGCGTCGATGATGTTCATGTGATACATTTACCGTTAATTGACCTATAATTTCTCCTATATCTTTTGAATCCTTTTGTTTTGTTTGTTTGTCTGTTTGTTTGTTAAAAACTACATCGCACCAATGACACTGAAATACAAGATTCGAAGTACCCTGATATAAGAAAAGTGTTACTTTTGTCAAAACGTCTTCGTTATTGGTATCATGCAGTATTATATGCCATGTATGTATGTACGTACATGTATACCAATATAAGCCGTGTTAATTTCAATAAATCACTTGAGATGCACATTATACTTTTCATGTACACATACTGTAACCTGTATGTCTACCTACAGTCTTAAATGAAATTCAATCAAACTATTGTATCCCAACTTCGGTAACTCAGTGATTCTATTTGCAAGTCTATAGTATTACACTAGCTTACAATAGGTAATATAATGACAGGTATTTTAAGTTTTTCATGGGGTTATATGGTGTAATAGTCGCATGCCCATAGCAATGTGTATAACTATACACAAAGATTGAGGTACATGTACCAAAAGAACATTGTAAGATAAAGACATTCATAATATATCAGCGAGGTAAAGAAAAAGGTGAGGTAAAGGAAACAGATGTATATTTTTATGGTATTGGTTTATTTATCTATTAAGACTTTATTTCATTGGCCGTAATGTTATATTTGTAACTCTTTTCTTGGAAACTATAGCACAATGTCGCTCTAATATTATTTGAGGTGTCTTAACAGGGTGTATTTGTATGCTGTGGTGTGACGTCCATGAAACAACGATAGCTTAATAATAAAACCTTCATTTGTGAAATGTCAGAAACTCATCTTTATGCTTTTTAATGAGTTTTCAGTGTACGTGGTTAAGACAAAATCTTAAAGTTGAAGCATGTATACACAATATAGAATAGGCGTATTGTATATAGGTTGAGCTGTGTATGAATGAATGAACCCCGGGCAAATATATTACACATTCTACACGAATTGTACTCGGTCATTGTAAACAAAAAGTGCATGCCTCAGAAAAGTTGCGTTATGAATTATAATATCACAAATTAAATCATATCACGACCTGAGCCCGAAGAAAGCGATGTTAGTTGCCATGGTGTTGGCTGTGCGCATCTGCTGGTTTTTCTCCAGTTGTTTCCGGAACTCCTCCAACCTCTCGGCGTTCAAAAGGTCATTCTTTACTACTTTTGAGCCTGGCTTGTCAGGGGGTGGGTGGGAGCCGTCGGTCTTTGTGTCCTGGAAAGTAATCAGTGTTATCAGTGCAATTTTCCGGAATACAGTGCAATTTTCCGGAATACAGTGCAATTTTATTAGTATACAGTGCAATTTCAGTGCAATCGTATTTACTAATTGCACTGTATACTAATACGATTACTTTGTACTCCATAGAATTGCACTGTATACTAATACGATTGCACTGTTTTCCGTAAAATTGCACTGTGTTCTCTGGCACCCCTGGTTATACTGTGATAAATCTTTAAAGGCATCCAATGCGATTTCAGAGCAGCAGAATTGGAAATACTCTGAATAAAGCAATCTTTATGATATTGACACATACTGCGTCACTTTTAGCAAATTTCAATCAATATATAATACTTTGGGTATCTAAAACTGCAAAAACAAGCCCCAAGATGAGTCCTTTATTTTATGGGAGGTACCCTAATTCCAGGGCCTTCCAGTAACAATTTCCTTTAGAATTTTGGGTATTTTTGCTCCTTGAGTGTCAATACATTCAACTCTGTTTGTAGAAAAGTGACTAAAATATTGACTTTGAAAACTAGGGTTTCCAAGCTCTGAAAACTGCCCTGGAGGCATTTAAGTCCTACCACAAACTCAGACCTACCTGTATGTACCTACCTGTATGGACCGACATTTACAGCTACAATATGATGATAAATATCTTTATATCAATTATTCATTAATCTGTTAATCTGCAAATGTTACATGATAGTTTCTTTGTTTTCGAGCACTGCCTAGCAACTTGATAAATCTCAAGCTCCTGTCACACATTCACGAACGTCCCACGAATTCAGTCGTTCCCGAACACCAGCCAAACAGGTCGGAAGGTGTTCGGGAGCACTCTGACCAGATTTAGGCCACACCTACCTTTTTTTATATGACTCAAAACGAATTTTAGTTAAATTTGATTCATGAACACACCGCTGAATTCGATGAATTACTTACAGATGGTTGTACTCGTATTTTGCTGACTTACAGTCGAAAAACAGCCAACTATGATCAAACATCCCGAGCGCCCCACGAATGTTTGAAACATTTTGAAACATTTGGCTGGCGCAGCCGAACCGTAGCAGACCCAGCCGAACGCCAGCCGACCCACTCCTAACCATGGTTGGCTGGCGTTCGGCTACCATTCGGAGGCCAAATTCGTGAATGTGTATGTGACAGGGGCTTCAAATAATATAAGAGAAAATAAAAGAAACAAAAAGAAAATAACGATATGTTTGTTTTACCGTTTGTTTGGAAGTCCCTGCCGGGTCTCCAGCGACACTGCCGGGCCTCCCAGTCCCTGCCTCAGCCTCCAGTCTCCCGTCCCCCCTGTGTGTCAGCGCGCTGGCGCTACGGAATCCTCCCGGCGACTCCAAGTTGATGCCCCGAAGACTCACTCGAGACACTACGCTGGCGCTACGGTATCCTCCCGGAGACATGGCGGTAGCAGGCCGACTGGTCCCGAGGGGTACCGCGCTGTTGGCTCGACTTTCTCCCGGGGGTACCGCGCTGGGACTCCGGCTGCCATCGGCAGGTACCTCCCAGGCACTGCGGAACGCCTTGGACAGTTCCACGGATCTTTCCTGTCGGAGCTTGTTTCGACAGGCTGAGCAGTTGTCTCGCACGGACTTGCGCTTCCAAATAGGGACTCTCGGCTGCTCCGGCTGGGCTTTCTTGATCTGCCATGCGTTGTAGACGGGAAATCTCTCACTCGGATGGCCAGTCCTTGTGCATGTGGTAGACGCGGCGGGGTGGTAATATTCACCGTACATATAACCTCCGAAACTTCGGGAGACTCCGGCACTTTTCGTCGCGCGAGTGCCGCCGACGGTTGCCGATGCTGTGTCGAAAGATCCCGACGGGTGGCGACGGCCGGCGAGCGCCGACTGGGTCCTCCATGGCTGGGTGGTGGGTGCGAGACTGTTCAGAAACTGGTTGGTCGTCAGAACTCGCTCGCGATACATCTTAGAGTTAGCTTCTAGATTTTCTGGTGTCAGTTTTAGATTTGGAGCTGACTTGGAGCGAGCAGACATGCCAGGTGCAGGACATACCGCCCGCCTTTCCTCCTTCCCACAACTGGTCGTGGATGGCACTGTTGCCATGTCCTTGGTGCTGCTTTGCTTTCCTGGCGCCGCCTTGCGACCTCGAGATGCATTGCTCTGCTTCTGGTACGATGCGTCATATTTGAGATCGTCGTTCTTCTTTTCCGCTGTTGTCGTGGAGGTTGAGCAATCTGCAATGCCATCGTCTGCGTTTTCTCTGTCGAGTTGTGCCTTTTTCTCTAACCGGGACTTGTTGAGCGCGGCCCGTACTATAGCCTTGAACCGGGCGTTCTTTTCGGGGGCCAGGGCGCGGTGTAGGCCCGTACCCGCCGCACGAGACTTGTTCACCAGGGCGTGGATCAGCAGGTGGAACTTGGGGAGGGTGATCTGTGTTTGGAACGGCACCATCGGCAGGTCCTCTGACATGGTGTCATCGTCCGAGTCATTTTCCTGCTCCTCGTTCTCCTTTTCTTCTGTTAAACCGATCAAAAATTAATTAGTGTTAACCTTATGGTCTGTTCTGTTAATTCGTACTCAAACACATTCATATATATGGTCAGACAGTAGTCTAAATCCCTCCAGCTATAAAATTGCAACATTATGTAACGCCAACACTAGATACCATGGGGACAGACGACTGGTTCAGGTCATTGACCCTTTTGGTTTGGAGAAGAAGAGGAAATGTAGCAAAAACAATATGCTTTCCTTCGGTAAACATAATAAGAAAAGAGTAGCTGCGCTACCTTCTTTCTCGTCCTCCACCTGAATGACGGGGACGCCATCTTTGTCCGCGGAGTCGTAGATGGACGGCGGGCGCACCAGCTCCACGGAGGCACGGTAGATAGTGTTCTTCAGCTGACGGGAAACTGGCCTCTTCACCTGAACACATGGAAATCATGGCAAAAAATAGCCTCTAACAGCTTTAAAAACTGACAGAAAAGTCAAATAGACAGAGAGCTTCCTTGGTAAACTATCCAAGCTTTTAGGACTCACCCTAGATTTTACAACTCTTGCAGACAATGCCAAAACATTCCTTCAAGTCCGTGTGCTCTTAAGATGTCAATTCCAACATATTATCACTTACCCAGAACTTATATAATTATCACTTCATCAGAACGTTTTTAAACGTCGTTTTTTTTCTTTTGATATTTGTAATGGTGTCCTTTTATTGTTATCATTCAATCACAGATAACACTCGAATGCTTTCAATATTTCAATAAAAACATTCGTCTGGTGCACTGCTAGCCGAACAGTAGCTTAACTCGCCTAACATCAGCCGGCAGCATTCAGGAGGCCATATTCGGCTATGTGTGACATGGGTTAAAGACATCCAATGCAATTTCAGAGCAGCAAAACTTTAAGTATTCTGAATAAGGCGATCTTTGTGATATTGAAACGTACTGCTTCACATTTTAGCACAGAGTCCTTATATATTTTCGGTGTGGTCCCTAAAAATTAGCCCAGGGCAGGCAATTCAAGTAACCGTCAGAATTTTGACATTTTTGTTCTTGAGGGTCAATATACATTAGGGTAGTGTGGTTTCAAATTAGTATGTCGATAAATGAATATTGGCTTTGAAAAATTGTGTTTCCAACTTAAAACTGCATTGGATGCCTTTAAGGCTGGTACCTCTCCATTGTGTCCGAACATGGCGCCTTGGAGATGAGGGAACTCGTGGATGGACCGTTTCCTCATGCCGCTGCCGTTAGAGCTCGGGATAGTCGCCCTCAGCAACTTGATCTCGTTCTTAATCTTGTGGGCCGCCCTAGCCGCATGGAGGTCCAGCTTTCTTAGATCAACCTACAGCGAAATTAAAGGGATAGAATATGTTAGCAATGTATACAAATGCATAATGCTAGCCTTCACAATCACATGATCTAGCCTAACAAACTCCTACTCTGATTTTCTTACTCACAATCATATAATGTATATACAGTGACCGGCCCCTCCAACTCTAAGTTTCTACATAATGTAACTCAACACTACAGGGTGCCTGCTATAGCACCAGTTACCATGGTGACAGCCGTTTGGTTAAGGTCATTGACCTTACCATGTTTGGAAAAGAAGAAGAGGAAACAGAGCAAAAACGACATGTTTTCTTCTTCGAACTAAGCATAGTTGTTTTACAGAAGCGAATATGGCGCCAGCCTTCCAATTTCCATCTATATATAGTTATGGATGGTGAACTATATAGATTCACTCGAGTGACATTCGTGAAATATATTGACAATCAAGTCCGCTAATTAAGCCATTAAACAACTAGTATTATCACTGACCACTAAGCGTAAAATCAACATCATACGGCCCCAAAATAGCTGCTTAAACCGGGTAGCTAACCTTACAAATTGTTGAACATATCCTCAAATGTTACTACGTACTAACGTTGGTATGTGCGTAGATTTTTTACCAGTGCCCATACTGACATATACGTCTACATCATATGTGCTATATTATTAAAACACAATTGAACTCAAATCTTATCGGAAATATAAAATGTATTGATACAGGGCCATATCTTATCAAGCAATACACTTGAGGATAACAGTTCTGATGTAGGACTTCTAAATCCCCCCTCCCCCAAGTTTTCCCATCCTTGGTATCATCAGTATTTACCTGTAACCGTCTCTCCGCCACTTGGTTACGGGGATGAGTCAGCACTTCCACCGCCCGCGGAGCGAGCTTTCTCCGGTCCATTACAACGGACTCAGTACGACGACAGGAGTAAAAAAAACGGCACCGTTCAAACACCGCCTCTCTCTCTTGCTATCTTGTTTCCATCAAAACAGCTGAGTTTGAGCGCGCACTATGTATTCTGGAACAATATCGGTGTGTCTATGACATAAGAAAGCGAGGATAGGGCGAATTGCACTGCTCAGTGTTCCAAGAACATTACAATTTAGAAGTGTTATTTTACCGTAGCTGCGGTTGTGAGGTGCAGTCTTTTATAATAGACAACTAGTGGCAGATTATCATAACAAAGGCTTTTTAAGCGCAGCATTAAGCAACGAGAAAGGGCATGTCAATTCTACCTTGACGTTTATTATTTTCTTGCATGCGACTAGAAATCTTGCCTGTCCATCACTTTTGCGTTCGTTTATCAAGGCTAGGCGTGGCAAAACTAGAGATCGCTGACATCACAGTCCTAAGATATAATTCTCATTGCACTTTATAGCGAAAACGCATAGCTTTAATGACATTTATTCGTTGTGAATTGTAGAATTCCACCTGTAATTGCCATTATTCGGTCTTCTCAACAGCGAACTCTGGCAGTTCAAAAGCAAACTGCAGGTAATTTTTCCGTGTTGTTTTGCACACTGCACCAAACACATGCACACGGCCCCGCCATGTGATCACCTTTCTCTTCGAGGAAGTCAGCAACATTTTCCGTGCCCTGTAAAAAGGTTGTAGCTCTGTATTTCAAGCCAACATGTCCGTCAAAGCCGTTTGCGTGCTAGTTGGAGAGACCGTGAAGGGGACTGTGACATTTACTCAAGCGGTGAGTGTGCCTTGTTGCCATGGTTGGCCAAGCCAAGTCGCTAGTCGCGCTCCCGTTTTTCAGAAAAAATTGCGATCTTTTTGTCCTTTTTCTCGCGATATTTCGAACTGTCATCCCTTGTCAATCCTCCTGTTGTTTAATCAGAATGTCAGGTATCTGAACAGACACTATGGAGACCCAGAACTTCGTATAAAGTTGTGAAAATGTGTCAAAAGCTGGAGGGATTGGCAAGGGCATGTGGGGAGGGGGGCGTGTTATTATATATCAGGTGACTTGTGGGCGTGGCTTCAGTAAGTTAGAACTTAGCTGAGGTTGTAGTTGTACTATGCACCTCCGTTAACCTTGAATTATCATTACAGTATATGACCCCATATTTCATTCCTTGGCAACATATCTCAGCTCCAACATTTACATGTAAAAGGGACAGTGTCAATCAATTTAAAACAAAAGGCAAAAGGTCACGAATGCAGTTGTACAATTGTCTGAATGAGAAATTTTGTGCAAGTCACTGTTTGACATTCAGGTATTTTTATGTTTTCTTAGTCAGGTTCTTGTTTTGCAGCTCATTGTTTGATTACTTTGGACTACATATCTTTAGAGTTTATTTGGGGTCTCAATTCGATTCAGCAAAAAATTATCCTGAAGCAAGCAAACACTTGCAATAAAAACAACAAAATTTTTTACTTTTTTTTTAACCAACCTCTTAAATTTTAGTGAATATTAGACAAAAAAAGGATTTTTCAACGAAGAAGTGAAAATTCCGAAACACCGGTACCATTTTTACCTTCCACTACCACGGACCAAAACATCAAGGAAGTGTTTAGTGTTATATGTTTCATGTGTATTGAAGATAAAAGTTGTACCTCCCCTTTCAGAGCTCAGACTCCCCAGTAGAAGTGACAGGAACTATCTCCAACCTGAAGCCACCAGGCAAGCATGGCTTCCACATCCACGAGTTTGGAGACACCACCAATGGTACCTGATACTTCTGACTTTAAAAAAATATATCAATGTAAATGAAGGCTTATATTAAGTACAGTGGATTCATTCCTCAAGCTAACCGACATCTCGCACACACAGTCGTCCCTCAGTAAGACACCTGGAGCCACATAGTTCCTGTTTAGAACTTTTATTCAGCCTGTCACACGACCGGTTTCGCTTGTGTGGCTTCTTCAAGTGTACAGAGGCTAAATTACCCAAGTGCATGAAGTTCTTACTTATATACAAATGTGAATGATGGCTGTTTTTGTTCACCACATGTACAAAACATACAAATTATTTCAAGGCTGGCTATGATGTCATGGCGATAGATCTGGGACACTACTAGTCAGGGCTCGAAACTAACGGTGTCCCGATGGCCAGTGACCACTGTAATTTAAGGTGGGACAACTAAAATTACAATTTGGGACATTTTTCGGACAATAGAAAAATAGTCAACATCAGAAGGTCAGCGCTAATCTTTTGTTTGGCTTAACTACCCAAAATTTCCCATAATAGCGCACCTAGTGCCTGGAAGTCAGAATGTAAGCAAAATAAAGCTGACTTCTAGACTAAGTTCACTGCCTGAAAAACAGGTTGGGACAGTTCATCCTCACTTAGAGCTGTGTACCTAAACAAATTTTAGGTACAGGTACAGGTACAGGTACACAGGTTTAGGTACAGGTCCGGACCTGAACCTGTACCTAAAATATTCGTCCAATTTACATGCTCTTCTGAACTCTTTCAATAGCAACAAAAACATGTATACACTTGATAGTTAAGGTTTAATTTTGGTTTATGGAGAATGCTCAGATAAAATATAGGCAAAAGTAAGGTATTATTGTTTTCATGAACACACTGTCCTTACATTGGAACCCATTGGCGACCAGCTATTTCCACATTTAAGGTCACAAATAGGCATAAAATTGGTGTGAAATTGTTTAGGTACAGTACCGGTACGGAGGGATTAGGTATTTTGGACTTGTACCTAATCAATTTTTCCGGTACAGTATCGGTACTGAGTATCGGTACACAGCTCTATCCTCACTTCGGGACAATTGAAATTTATTTTCGTGACACTGACAGTGCTGGGACAATAGGAAAAAAAGTTAAATTCGAGGCCTGCTAGTGTCATGTAAATGTATATCTGGAACTTAAGATCTTTTAAGTTCAAACTTTGATGAATATTCATTGTAAAAGTGCCAGGCGCATTGTTTGCACATGTGTGTATCTATTGTAACATTGTTGATTTGTTTGTTTATTCCAGGGTGCACCAGTGCAGGAGGCCATTTCAATCCAGCAAAGAAGAACCATGGAGGTCCTCAGGATGAGGAAAGGTGGGTTCATCACTACACTGTACGATTGCACATTTATTTTACAGGGCTCGAAATTCATTTTGGGAACACCACATACCACCTAAAAAATTTAGTGCACAAAAATTTTTGGGGGTGCAGTGTGCAAAATACCTGTTTCCCCAGTTGCCCCGGGCAGCCAAATTTTACTTGGGGCAACCTATTTTTGAACCCAGGTAGCCCAGTGTGCTACCTGAATTTTAAGAATCGCCCCCCCCCCCCGAAAATCATGCCCACTTTGCTTGCACCACTGTATCTGGCAGATGCTTTTTAATTTTAGGTATTAATGGCTATTACTAGTATCAGTTAACTTTAAAAGGCTTATGTATGTAACATTACTTAATTTGAGGAAAGTAGTAACTTTTTTGTGGGGCAACCTTAAATTCTGATGGGCAACCTAATTTTTGCAGTACGTTGCCCACTGGGCAACATGGTTCAAAAAATTATTTTGTACGCTGGGGTGCATACATTAAGTTAGAATGCCAGCAAAACTACTACTAGGACTAGTAATGTCTCATTATTATTTATTATTTTTCTCATTATTATTTATCATTTTTCTGACACTTAAATGTTAAGAATATGCTCTATACTACAGTACATTTAAAATCTTTACATACATAAATATTTGGGTGCACTGGTGCACCCAAAGAACACAGAAAAAAATTGGGTGCACATCTCCACATTTTGGTGCACTATAACGTGCACATGCACTCAGTATTTCAAACCCTGTTTTATGAATTTTTTGAGGGATAAAGAAATGATTACAGCACGCACAAAAGAGGTTAGTGCCGGTAAAAAGAAAAAAAAATGGCAATCGTTTCTAAACAGCTTTAACAGTTTAAATGATCAATACTTCCTACTTAGTTTCTTAGTGGTGCAGGTAAAATTTGTCAAATGCCGGTGCAGTGCTAGTAATCACATAGGATGTAACACCTGTATTGAATGTTATTGCAGCCCGAGTATAGCATAATAAACAATACAGTGAGTATACAATGTTGTTGTTTTCCTAGGCATGTTGGTGACCTGGGTAATGTAGAGGTGGGAGAAGATGGTGAGGCCAACATCAAAATCACAGACTCCCAGCTCCAACTGACCGGTCCTAACTCCATCATTGGTCGTGCTGTTGTGGTAAGTGCTACGATGTAACTTTCATATACTAACTTGAAATTGAAGTTCCCTGAGTTGGTAAATTACACAGTGAAAATTAATCTGTTCTCTGAGACTCCAACACAAAAAAAATTCTGTGCAGGAGTGTCTTCCCTGGATTTCTGTTCAGTGTTTGGTTTTGTTTTGCCCACAATCATGATAATGATTACTTCTGTCATTATTAGTCATTTAGACCTGGATCAAGTGAAGAAAGTCGTGTAAAGTGCCTTTCCCAGGGCACAAGGTCGGGATTCGAACCCGAGACCTCTTTGTTCCAAACCAAATGCTCTTTCGTTACACCAACTCCACCTGACACAATCCGCGAGAAAAGTTGCATAGTACTTGTTTGTTATGAGAAAAAAAAATTCTGAAGTGTACATTAATTTTCAAAACCCTACAGGTGCATGCTGGGGAGGATGACCTTGGGAAAGGCGGATTCGATGACAGCCTGACCACGGGGCACGCCGGAGGACGTCTAGCGTGCGGCGTCATCGGCGTCACCAAGCAGTGACTCGCCCGCCTGCGAAGCCCTTCAACTGTTTACAGAGTGAAACAAAAGCTATGACTGTCGCACCAGACACTATGACTCAAGTGCCAGTAACAATGCTACACTCAGATCTACCATGAAAGTTATCTGTGTTAGTAGTTACATGTTTAAGGTTAAAACTTTTGTTTGAGCTTTTGACCAATTACTCTTCAAATTTCAATAGACTATAAGTCTTCTTCAATAGACTGACCCACCAGTGAGACTTATCATGTGGCAGTTCTATGGTACAAAGAATCAAGTTCAATCAACTGTACTAGTAGTACAGTCTGGAGGGTTTACAATTGTGCAACTGTAAGTAAAAGTGATTTTGTGTTGCCCTGTAGGCAGTTGATAGAGGCTAACATTGCTCTTTTTTGTTCCTTGTTGTTACTGTCTTCGAGCTGTTTCACTATGAAGCTAGCCTGCCTAGCCTAAAGAGCTATTTAGACCTAAATGACGTAGCAAGAAGAAGCTATTTTCAGAGATGTTAACAGCCCCTCACAGTCTGTGTGGTTTGTATTGTGAATATCAGAATAAACTGGCTACAAGCTCTGGGCATTTGGAAGTATTATTCTTTTTTTTTTCTAAGGCCATGTTGATTTGATTATATGGATGACATCCTCCGGGAGCCCCAAAACTGATGCGCGCGTGCGAATAAAAAAAAAGTTTTGCAAAAAAAAAGTTGTTTTCATTATGAAATCTACGTGGTCATGAGGGTTGAACAAATGGGACAGAATATGGTTTGGCGAATAATCTAGTCTTCAAGGTCATTTCCTTACAATTTTGTCTTTTTCGTTTGATTTTGGCATTCTACGACATTGGTATAGTTTTTACTTATTTTTTTGTAACTTACGGTATATTTTTGCTCATTTTGCAACTGTTTTGTACGATTTACAGTATGCATTGGTTGAAAACTTTTTTTTTTTTGGAAACGGGCGAAAATTCATGCGCGCGCGGATGTCATCCATATAATCAAGTCAACATGGCCTTACAGTATATATTTGCTCATTTTACAACTGTTTTGTACAATTTACAGTGTGGTTGATTTTCTTGGGGGGAAATGGCCGAAAATTCATGTGCGCGCGGATGTCATCCATATAATCAAATCAACATGGCCTAATTGCTATAATGGTATAGGGTAGATTCCTTTTACGAAACATTGATTATAAAAGAATGGCCAGAAAATATACTTTGGAAGTCCAGTTTTGCTGCCCTGAAATTGCATTGGATGACTATAAAGTGTGTAACTTATTTCTTGAACGTTTTGCAACTTCTTCATTTTGTCCTTTTAAGAACGCTTCTTACCTTTAAGAGTCCAAGTCAACTGTTCTTGGAAGACTGGTTTAGGCATTCAAATGTGAACTGTTAATGCGTTTAACCTTCGGCCAGCTAACATGGTTTTGGGATTGGGCAACAGGAAGATGGTTAAACCATATACATGTACACGTAGCATGCCTTACTGGGTGTCTGAAGTGCAACAGAGCCTGGGTAAATAGTATTGTGTGTGAACTACAGTCAAGTTCTGCCTACAAAGAATCTTTTGGTGACCTTTGACATGCTGGCATCCAGCCAAAAGAAACCTGCTCATCAGGTTGTTTTAAGGGTCATAGGTCATGAAGAAAGCAGACAACATACTGGAAGAACCAGGTGCCACTCACAGAGTGTTAGATAGGACACAAGTGTCATCATGGCTCTGTTTGCAGTAGCTGTCCTTACAGGAGTGGTGACTGGGACTATCCACTTCATACAAGAGGTGAATGTTATCAGTTTGTAACATTAACAGAACAGCAATTTTGCTAATATTCAATATAGTGAAAGTAGTAAAAGGGAAATAATTGGCCAGGAAAGTCAGCCTCCCTGACTGTGCAAGCAAATTCTACCAGATTATTCTCCCTATTTGGCTAAGTTTTTACTGTATTTGAACCCATATTTTACTGATTTTGAACCCACAGTGTTTCTTGTGGGGACTAATATGATATAAGTGGAAACTTAGGAATGTTTCATATTGACAAGTATTTTCCTCCCCCTACAGTCCCCTACCAGCCCTGTGGTTGTACGTGGGGAGGTGAGAGGACTGACTGAAGGACTACATGGCTTCCATGTGCACCAGTCTGGGGATATGACAAACGGTTAGTTTTTTGTTTTGAATTATGTAACATATTACCCTTGACTTATAAGAATGTATGTTAGATGAGCCATTCTTTGCAAAGGCTTAGATTTCTTAGGAAGCATCTGAGTATTTCTCAGTTGTATATACAGTTGCGATTACCAATAAAGCTGCTTTACTGAAATCAATTAGTATCCCACTTAAACGTCAGTAACTAACTGTTGAATGACAGTAACATTTGCCATGGGGGATGAATATGAAGGTTATTACAAATTGCATGCTTATATTCTTAAAAAAGACCGGACCGGATACCTTCGATAAGAATACATGACTAAGCAAGAAGATTCCTATAACCACTCTAAGCCAAATGTTTGTATTTTTCAAGTCTGACCCTCTGACTTCCAGGTTGCAGCAGTATGGGTTCTCACTACAACCCTTTTGGCAGGAACCATGGAGGGCCCACTGATGTTAACAGGTCAGTGTAACTGTTATTAAATACATGTAACTGTACACTGTTTATTCTTTCGCAAACAAAAGGACTGTGAATTTATAATTGACAGAATTTCAACTGTGAATATTACAGTTGCAAAATGCAGGAAAATAAGAAGCAATGTGCAGGTGGCAAGAGAAAGAACACAAGTCGTATAAAACAGTTTTAAATATTTAACTAATATAATTTGTTGGTTCTCAGGTTTTTTTCAGAAATAATATGGAGCAACAGAGGGAGATAAATAAAGGGAACCAATTCATTAAATTAGTGTGGTCTTTACGTTTTTCTTTGTCCAGGCATGTTGGAGACCTAGGTAACATCATCGCCGGTGCAGATGGCATTGCTAAAGTGGACATCACAGATGACCAGATATCCCTTTCTGGAAAATACTCCATTCTTGGAAGAGGCCTTGTGGTAAGAGAGACTATTCTGATTGAGTCATGGGGATGCTCCCGCCCTGGTTGTTCATTCCTCAGAGGCGTAACCAGGTTAGGAGCAGTCCAAGTGGCCTCAAACACACCTGGATATCCTCACCATGCATCAGCGTGTTTAAATACATTGGAAAACAAGAGATTCCCATTCGGAGCCCAGGAGACTGGCCAGGACAAAAGAGAAACGAGCGGATGAGTGTCACGGAACACGTGGGGGGCTCGATCGAGTGGTAACAGCATCTCAATGAAGGGAGCCAATTTAAAAGCAGTAGTTAATGTTTTAAAAGCTGGGAAATGTGAAGGTAAATATGATGCTTTTGCTTTGCAAATGTTACAGCTCCTACGTCGATGAAGGTTAGACATCCAGGTATAATACGATATGCCAAAAAGCAGTTACTAAAGCAACTGGATAAAATATGATTTTGGAAACGGTCAGATGTTTCAGCTAGTATCCACTAGCTTTCCTCAGTGACTGAGAGACCAGAGAAGAAATGCAGGTTTAAAAACACAAACTATTGATTAATATGCAAATAAAGTGAAGACAATTTTCTGGAATTTGAAAAGGGAACAAAAGTCAGACAAGTTCCTAGTTTAAAATTTGTTTCTGCCCATGCAGGTCCATGCAGATGAGGATGACCTCGGCAGGGGTGGGTTCTCTGACAGTCTGACGACAGGTCACGCAGGTGCACGTGTGGGGTGTGGGATCATCGGGGAGACAACAGACGACACTCAACAGGACAAACGCCTGGAAACACCCACCAACACACGGAAAAAAAACAAGCCCTTGGATGGGTTAGAGTGGTTATCAGTCTTTTAGTGAATGGCTTAAAGGCTAAAGGTATAGGAAATGCGTTCTGACCGACCATAGAAAAAATTGCCAACTCTAGTCTTTTTTTTGTGGTCCCCTGAATTAGACATACATTTTTTGAGCTGATCGACCTTATCTAGCTCTATGATCTGATACCTGAAACATTGTACAATCGGTTTTCCAACATTGACAAATAATAAGAAAATATAAGTGTCCTTATGCAAGTTTTACTTTGTTAAACTGTATTGTATAAGTTGGATCACTAGAGATTGCCAAGGTCTAAAGAAAACAGAAAAAAAGGGACCGACCCTAATTATTTTAGGACTGAAACAGGAAACATAGTGAACATATTTTTTTAATATTTTTTTTCCTTGGCCTACGTGCGTTGTCCTTGCACGGTACATCATAGGCATCTTTTCTTGAAATACCAATCATGTACATGTGTACCAGGGTGTAATCAATGTAGTTGACAAGGTAAACACTGACTAGCTTCTGAAGCTGATAGTAAAGGGTAAAGTTTGTAATTTCATAAGATTATGACACAGGTAAAATATAATATCACTTCTCATAATGGTCATGATAAATATCTTTCAACTTCCTTCAAGTTATTAACTTTGTTGTTTTTTTTCCTAGGCATTATGTTATGGGTGAAATTTTTGGTCAAATAAATATCGAATTAATGAAAAGTAAAAATGAGACAGATTTCTCAGTCACTGTTGCATTTTACACATTTCCACTTTATTCTTGACCTCCAATCTGTACAATATACATCAAAGCAACTTCGCACAATTACCATAGCTGTATACAGTAATAATATTACTGTTCCAACCATGAAATGAACATAAAAACTAAAGTCGTTACTATTAAATGTGTAAGATTAACTGCATGTTTTTACTGTAGCATGCTTTGTAACATTCTCTCAAATTAAGCTCTATGATTAAGCCCAATTAAAAATAACAAAACAAAATACACTAGCAAGTTGATACAATGGTTCTCAAAGCAGGTTTAATTGCTAAGGTTACAGTCATATTCTTCTCAAAGTTGCTTTTCGCTTAACATATCATCCTTACTAAATGATATCTATCATTCTTTCTTCAGACTCATAGAGAACAATATGTGAGCCAACTAATTAAACAATTTCAATTTAGGTGCCACACAAAGTAACCTCTACCAACACAGATGAACTTAGACAGGGCTCGAAATACTTTATTTTTTACCTGTGCAGGTGCAGGTGATACTTAAAATTACCTGCACCAGAGATATTATACCTGCATGTACCACTCGTTTTTCTTTCCTTTTACTAAAAACAATGTCACAATCCTAAATCTCATGACTGTTGTACATTAGGATTTAGAATGCAACAGTTACTGTGAACTGTACTCAAGTCTGGAAAGCATCACAAATACTGCAGTGCATGGACTAGTGCAGTTGAGTTGCAGGTAGACGTCACAAATACCTGCATAGCTCTGATTTCACCTACACTAACCTGCATTTGCTCGTGGTATTTGCAGCCCTGAACTGTCATCCTATCAGATACATGTACTTATTAATAATTAATAAGTTTATCACAGTTTCAAAATGATGTGTGACCTGGAGCTTTTGGCTGTACCTTGCTTTCTACAATACGTCTATTATAATGTCTTTACCTCTCCCTCTCAATGTATGCAGTGCACATAAACATCTTGGACAACTTTTTAAATGCATTTTACTTTTATGAAGCTCTTGTGTCTGGGAAAAGTGACAGAACAGTATTATATCATATTATATAAAACCAGAGATTTAGTACAATGTACAAAAAAAGGGTGTACCACGTATGCAAATGTTACACTAGATTGGATGATCCCTCTTAAACTAAGTTTAAAAGGAAAGAATCTACCCTCAGATTTGCATTTTTTTTGCATTTAATGCATCACATCTGCCTTGAAAAAGTTCCTAATCTCTGTATAGATTGATTATGCTTTTTACAGGCTTTTTTATTAATTTTTACCTTCCAATCATGGCAATAAACAGCAGATTATGTGGGGAAATAGTTTCTGTAAGAATGTTTCTGCTTTGTGTTGTACTGCTGTATATTATATAACATAGGAACTCTTGAAATATATCAAGAGATACATGTACTGCAAGCACCGAGAGGTTTGGTCTGTAAGAAGCCAATACTAATACTTTTTTCAAATATTGGCAATTTTCTAAATCCACACATATCTTCAGTACATCAGTATAAGGTATGGTAGGCAGTGTCCATGGGCAATTCTAAAATAAATTTTTGTTTGCAGTTTCCATAAAATGAAGGAGAGCTGGAGTTAATGAATAATTCATTCCACTGTGTGCTATATGAATGCATGTGTACCACACTCAAATGCAGTGTACTTAACATGTACCTAAAATATCTGCGGCCCAAAAGTAAAATAGCAACCTTGAGAAAGAAAAGCCTTACTTCAATTGCTATGACCTACTCTCATTATTCCTAAAGATTGATAAAATGAATGTATGATCCATCACCCATACTCTTGGTAACCAACACATACCAAGTGTGTCTGTCTCTGATTGGCTAATGTCTATCTCTGATTGGCTGATGTCTTTCTCTGATTGGCTAGTGTCTATCTCTGACTGGCTAGTGCCCATCTATGATTGGCTAGTGTCTATCTCTGATTGGCTAGTGTCTATCTCTGGCTGGCTAGTGCCCATCTCGGCTTGGCTAGTGTCTAGCTCTGATTGGCTAGTGCCTATCTCTGATTCGCTAGTGTCTAGCTCTTGTGTTACACCTTGTTGCAGGTGCATCCTGTTGTGACAGTCATAGCATAATGTATTCTTAGCTCTGATTGGTGAGTGATTGAAACCAATTTTGTTAGAATAGCACTGTCTTCTATTCTGATGGGGCAACTACAAAACAATGTGAAGGGCTTTGTTGGGAATGTATCTTTCCTGAATTCTTCATATAATATTTCATACCCACATCTGGTTAAACCAGGTGCTGACCAGGCCAGGACAAAAATAGGCATGGTCTTGACTGAAGAGAAAAGCATTATTGGTACCACTCACATTACCAGCAGTCATCCTGCACTTCTCAACCTACATGACTGGGGGCACCCCTAAACTAGTGTATTTATCAATTATCATTCATTGAGGTTTGGTACTCTCTCCGCATTTATAATATGTAAAATATGTACTTCGATTGACCTAGATGTTATATTCAAGGTGCTATATCATTTCAAATTACCTTATGATAGAATCACTTAGTCAGCTTATAAAGTTTTGACTACAACCAAAGAAAACTGTTAATACTACTAATAATAGCTTAATTGGGCGATAAATTAATTAGCAATTTCAGTCAAACCATTGGTCAGGAGTCATTATGCATGCATTCTCAAGCTGTCATTGGTCAGCAACTGTATCTTATGTTTGCCCAGCAACATGCATGCACATCATTGGTCAGAGAAAAGTCCTTCTCAACCAATCTTTATGTCTGGTAGTTAAGTAGCACAAACCTGAACTTTACTAGATAATTGATTCAGTGTCTTTCCATTACTTAGGCAATGTTGATTTGATTATATGGATGACATCCTCTGGGAACCCCAAAACAGACGTGAGTGTGCGAATAAAAAAAAGTTTGGCCAAAAAAAGTTTCCTTCATTATGACATCTACATGGTCATAAAGGTTAACAAATGACTAAACACACAAGAGTACGGTAAGCAAATAATAATACTCTTAATTTTCCTTTCTTCACATTTTCTTCTTTTCCTGAATTGATTTTGGCATTCTATGACATTAGTATAGTTTTCCAAAACTTTTTAATTTGCAACATACAACATACATGTATATTCTCTCATTTTGTACAATTTACAACTTTTTTTTTTAAACGGACAAAAATTCATGTGTGCGGATGTCATCCATATAATCAACATGGCCTTTATATGGAAACTCACTGTGCCAGATGTTTGTATAGTCCTGTATAATTTGATTCAGATTTTACTGGTAGTCTTCTTAATCCCATATACCCATTCTAGCTTCAACATAAGATTCTTGCTCATTCAGTGATCTCTTGATACAATTAAATGCAAGAAACTTTTTCTTGTTACAATGTAAGGGACATAGGAATCAAGTGTGATCATGTGTTTGCTTAGAATACAGTACCAACCAATTCATCTACATTGTATAATGCTAGACCCCAGCTCTCCTTCACTTTATGTCAAACCATTTGGAACATATATACCTTTCAAATTTGTCAAAGAACCCTCTAGGACATCCCTGCCCAGGTGGCTGGCATTAGCAAGCACCACCTGCTGAGCGCACAACACACCAAGGGAACTACTCAAACCTGGAGCAAGTCTCACTTTTTTGGGGGGGAACTGCGGGTATACCTCTGCTTTCATTGAAAAAAAAGCTGATCTTGTTATCAAACTTGTCCCTTTGTTAATTGTAAACAAGTTGATGGAATTGACTTCTTCCTTCAATGTTAACTTCCAAATTTCCAAATTTCTTTGTTCAATTTTTATTCATGACTTTTGAAAATAATTATTATTACACTGAAGAAAAATTGTTTTTGCTCTGTTTCTTGCAAAAACACATACAATGTCATGTCCAAAGTCAATGACCTGGCCCAGACAGCTGTCACCATGGTAACTGGTGCTGTATCAGACACCCTATGGTGTTGGATTACATTCTGTAGCAAGTGGCAGGACAGAGTTGGGCTCCGTCACCAAACATATGACATTGTATGTGTTTAAGAATAAACAGAGCAGTAGTTTCATAGGCTAGCCCATGTGAAGGTGCACATAATGCACTACCTTTCAAGGACTCTTTTCTTCATTAACTAGAAAATTGTAAAGATAATACTGTCTCTTGCTCCAGAGTAGCTCCCTTGCCATGCCTGTAGCCCAGATACCATACCTGCTTCATACTGACCGTGTATTTTCCATCCTTCCTTCCTCCTCCTCTTCCAACAAGGGAGGCTCCCAAAGTAGTCTGTCCATCATCCCATTTCCATGGCGACAGCCAATCACAGCTCCAGGTCCATTTGGACGGTTCCCAACACATCACTTACCGTACCTAGTTCACAGTAATGACAGATTTCAACAATTCAGTATTAACATTGCAATGGTGGCTACAATTTTCAAACAGTCCAAAACTCACTACAGGGAAACTTTATCCATAGCCATATGTAGTAGACTTGGCAAAATTCTAAAACAAAAGCAAAGAAGGGCCTAACACTATTGCTTTGCAAATGTACATGCTATTTGCTACTAAAATGTTCAATTTGCAGTGAGTTTTGGTAACAACCCTTAACGTTAGCCAGTGTCAGTTTAACTTTGCTATATGTACACCGAAAGGCAGGTGTACATGCCATAATTACCAGCTTAACAGCTACCATATTTTTTCCCATTTAACAGTCAATCAGGCATGAGAGCTGAAAAACAGAAAATCTAGTATATGGATAGAATTTTTTCAGTATACAAACTACCATTGCCAAAACATAGCCAAGAGAAGTCTATCAATGTACAATTTGATTTTCTTACAATTCTCATGCCTAACAACTGCAACTTATTCTACTTGCAACAGGCTCACATTTAGACCCTGGCCTTTTCTATTGGTACCCTAAGTAATCAGGGTAGCTTGAACTTGGCTCTCCATAGGCCAAGCCTCAACAATCAAGTATAATTGGTATGTTGCAAAGGTACCAGTGTAGCAAACTTTCACAGGTGGATGCCATGTGCCCTAGTACCACTTTGTTCTCTCCTCAATGAACTTTGTTTACTTCATATCCAAGACAGTGCCCAAAATGAACCCTCAAGAACCGATCTATCACAAAATAGAGATTTATTCGTTAAAAAAAAATTTGCGGGGAAACACTGGCTTTAAGGACAACACATATCCAGGAGACAAAACGTGCAAACGTGTAACAACTCTGCACATAAAATCTTCTCGGACACAGACTTAATTGCAGCATCATACGTGGTCCTGATATCAGAAATAATAAAAAATCCTTCCAACAAAACATGCGTCTTTGTCCATACTTGATCATCACTACCCATTGCTCAACAAAAAGGTGCTTCCACGCACACAATGTTTTCATGAGAAGTACTTTTGCACATAGTTTACTCCGCCTGGACTTCCTCTTTGGTTGGGATCGGGTCGGGCACAATTTCTGGTTTGGGAACAGAGTTGGATTCTGAAGGGTCAGGATTAGAAGCGTCTAACACTTCCTTTACAAGAGGGACGTCCTGTGTTTTTACAGGAGGGATGTCCTCTGTTTCGACAGCTGGCTTATCTGCGATCACGGGAGGGACCTCAGAAATAACCGGTGGTTCTTTGTCTACTTCTTTTACTGCAGGTTCAGGTTGCATTGCAGGCGGTACAGCCGGCTTTTCAGCCAGTTCCTCCTCATTCACAGCTGGGGCTTGTTTCTTTTCCTCCGGCACGACTTCATCTTTCACTGGCGGCAGGTCCTCAGGGACTGGGTGATCTTGTTTGATATCATTTTCCTGGGGTTTTTCTTCAGCCTTGTCTTCTGCGTTGTTTTTAGCAGATTGAGGCATTTGGGCAAGATTCAATAGCCTTGACCTTAGGTTGTCTCCTTTTCCACCCTCCTTGGATGGTTGTTTATCGTTACTTTGAGAATCCTGTCGGGTACGACTTGTGCTTTCGCGCTTCTCACTTTCTCGTCTGTCTCGGCTGCCGCTGTCTCGACCACCGCTGTCGCGTCTTTCTCTACTGCGATCTCGGCTGTCGTAGCGGTTCCTATGGTCATGATCACGATCACGATCAGCACGGCGGAAGAAACTCCCTCTTCTCTCTCCACTCCCACCAGACTCTCCCTCGTCCATCTGGTTGCGGTCATCACGGTGCCAGTTGTGCTCACGGTGATCGCGGTTGTCTCTGCCGCGGTCGCGGAAGTCTCTGTCCCTTTCACGGTCATCACGATCATGGAAACCTCCCCGTCCCCACCTCTCATCGCGACCTCTCTTCCAATCCCTTCCCTCTGGTTCAAATGGTTCTTGTCCATCGTCCATGGGGCGCTTCTGTCCAGGAGGTCCCTCTGCAAAACGTTCGTCTATGTCCCCTGCCCCTAGGTTATTCATAACAGGATCTTTATCCTCGAATCGTGAAACTCTGCCTTCCCCTGGGCCTCGGAAGTTTGGTCCCCCTTCACCGCCCATCCCTCCCATGGGGTTACCCAGAAGAGGACGTGGTCCACGGAATCCTCCCATTGGGCCCTGCGGTCCTGTTGGTCGAGTCTGTCCCTGGAATCTCATCGGCCCCTGTTGGTTAAAGGCCATGGGACCGCCAGGCCCCTGCATGCCTGCAATCAATTGTCCGGGGACACCTGGTCGCATCCCCATTCTGATGGGCATCCGCTGTCCTGGCATCATATTTCTGATCCCAGGCCCCATAATGCCAGCTTGTGGCATCATCCCTGGTGGGCCCTGCATGCGTGGACTTGCGAGGAGAGGTCGGGGCTGTCCACCTACAGCCAGTCCTGCTACCAGCGGACGGGGACCTCCCATACCTCCCGGAGCCATGCCGCGAGCGTTGGGCATGTTAGATGGTGTCATGGGCGCTCCTGAAGACATGGGCATCTGCTGGGCCATCGTGGTGTTGGCATTGGCTACCATTCCACCGGGCCCGCTGGCACGGATGGGGCTTCCTATGTTCATTCTTATCCCTGGGAGGTTCTGCTGTTGGCCAAATGGCAGCCCTTGCATCTGATTAGGTGCCTGGCCGCGGCCCATAGGTCGTGGTTGGTTCAGCCCGCCCTGCATCTGGCCCGGCATGCTGGGAGTTGGGCTGCGGAACTGGTTCTGCATGGGCCCGCCCGGCTGCCTGGGGCTGAACGGACCCGGGGAGGTCTTCTCATCGGGGAAGGGGCTGCTGTCTGGTCGTTCTTTCGTCGGCGTCACTTGCCCTGCGTTGAAGCCAGCGTTCTGCTGGGATGGATTGATCTGGTTCATGGCGCCAGCAAGAGCCTGGTTTAACCCGGGGCGGACAGCCTGGTTCTGCTGCATGAGCCCCATCCCCGTGGGTGTGTTCAGCAGTGGGGGTCGTCCTGACGCGGAGCCGGCACCACCCATGCCCGGGGTGAGGTTCTGCATGGGTCGCATCAGACCAAACCCAGAGTTCTGTTGCTGCTCTCGCTGCTGGTTTATGAGGCTTGTGACGGTGCTGACTGCAACGGCCTGTGCTGGGGTGAGGGGGTTTGGCCCTGAGGAGGTTGTGGTTGATGTCGGAGCTCCCGAGCTGCTCGGCGGCACTGCTGGGGGCGGAACCATCTGAGGCATGCCGGGGGGAGGCTGGTTGGGGTTAAACCCGGGTGGCATAGCAGCAAAAGGCGCCATCCCTGGGGGCGGGACGGCTGGGTTAAAGGCAGGAAACCCGGGAGGTGGTACGCCTTGTGGGAAACCCATGGGTCGTATCAACCCGGGCACCATGGTGGGGACTACAGCAGGGTTAGGCATCACAGGCATCTGTGCCATGGATGTTGGTAGTGAGGGTACGGAGGCGGCCGTGGCTGGCTGGCTGGCAGCGGGGGGCTTGTCAGGCACCAAGGCCAGCAGCTCGTCTTGGGACATCTCTCCCAGGTCCTTCTTCTGCTCCTGGCTTTCCTGGCTGCCCGACTCACTGGGAGCGACATCTGCAAAACGGGTAACAACATTCATCAGACAAAGCTGCACAACATGTGTTTGTCCAAGTTTTACATTACTTTCTATGTATTCATATATTGATTTACTAATTCTTTCTAGCTTGAATTTAATATACTGATGGTACCATTTTCTTCTTCAAACATCAGTGCCCAGCACAAGGAAATTATACAAAATTACAGTACAATTTTAAATTTAGTTAGACAATGCAGCTGACTACTGTGTCATACATAAAAATGAAATGCAGTACCCTTCTTTTGGTCAGGGGGCAGTGTTTCATTGTCAACGTAGCCCCCCTCTGCCAGGCTCTCCATATCTTTTCCCTCCAGTTTCTCCCAGGGCAGGTATGTCGTCCCCGCATGGTCGTCCCAGTACTGCTTGTACTCCTTCCCTTTCACACCTTTCCCTGGAGCCCACGCCATCTGAATCAGAAAAGTTGAGATGAATCATTAATCTTAATTTGTAAAAAACAAACATTTCTTCTGCAGTAATTTCAGTACAACAATGCAGTGTTCTAGCCATTGTCTGTCTTTCCGTCATTTGAGGGAATTTTGCCGCTTATGGCGGACCGAAAATTTTGCTCCATGTCATCTTTGACCGTCATAAAAAGATTTCTCGACAGACACCGACAGGATGACCTACCTGTACTGGTTGCTGCCTGTTGCCCACCCGCAGGTTCTTGAGTTTGCTGAGAGCAGTGTGTGCGTCTAGTCTGGTCTCGTAGCAGACATACGCACATCCCCGAGGTGGAATCAACTGAACAGAAGATACAGCAAAGTTGATCAATACAGGCAAACATGTCTAAGACAGCACCTAGAGGATCCACGGAATCTGGTCTTCTTGAACACAAAGCACATGGACAAAACAAGACAGAGATGCAGATTTCAGAGCTCATGTCCTATAGTAGACTGTCCCAATGACCTAACAGATTACATAGCAGGTGCCGTCTTTGATCCATGGTCATCTTAAAACCCAATTTAAAATCAAAATTTCTCGCTAGCTATCATCGCATAAAAACTGGGTAAGTATGTAGTTGAGTATCCCTGATAATTTTATCACCAAAGAACTCACATCAATGGATTGAACAGGCCCAACTGCTTCAAAAATGTTGCGCAGCTCAACATCTGTTGTCTTTTTGTCCAGGTGGCCAACCCACAAGGTAGTGCTGCAGACTAGAGGGAGGAAAAATCATACTTTATGTGGAGCATGAATGAAGATACTGTATCATTTAGAACAATTAGGTAATGACAGTTTGAATATACATGACATTGTACACATTAATCAGTGTTCTAGCCAGCGTCCTTCCTGTCATTTGACGCAATTTTGCCACTTGGGACGGACAAAAACTGTCCCATTCGTCATGTTTGACAGATAAAAATCAACGGGTAAAATATGGAAAGAGATGTCATTAAACTAAACTACGTCTACCAGCAAAAGTTGCTATTCAAAATGCAGGAAATAGAATGGTAGACGGTCAAGATTTCTAAACTTTTGGAAACCCCTTGAATTATTTCAAAATTGAAATGACAAAGAAAAATTCAGGCTGGCTAGAACAAATGTCACTGGACTAAAACAGGAAGATATAAAAACAGCTTGAAGATCACTATCTGTACTCACTGCAAAGGGACTTTTTCTTCACCGGAGGCAATCCCTTCTTCTCTCTTTCCCTCTCCCTCTCTCGATCCCGTTCCCTCTCCCGGTCTTCTTCTCTTTCCTTCCTGCGCCGCTCGGCGCTCCGAGAGCGAGACCGCCTACGCCTGCGGTCCCGAGACCGCGATCTGGACCTCCGCGACCTGCGGCGATCTCTGTCGCGATCACGATCGCGGGAACGAGACCTGCGGTTTCTGCTTCTTGAACTGGAACGATCCTTTGAAGACCTGGATTTCACAACGGTAAATGACAACAGGAAAAGATTAGAAATTGCATAAGGAAAACTTCAAATAAACAGCCTTTGACTTGTGACAATTTGATTGCTGAAGAAATGTATAATTAAGTCTCTTTTTCTCTCCTTCCAGTTGAACGTCTTCCCCCCTTTTTTGAAGCAAGATTTTTTAACAGCTGGATGCCCTTCCTAGTGCCAATCTAAACCCTAGTAGGGCCCAGGATCCCTTTAACTGAGGGGGGAAGTGCCTTTCCAAAGGGCACAACGTCTGGGTCCAACCCTGGGGATTGAACAAAGGTCTCCTTGCTTGACAGTCAGATGCTCTACCACTACACTACACAGACGCCACAAAGTATTATGCACACAGGAAAATATAAATAGGCTTTTTTGTACGCCTCATACCTTTCCTGATCTCTACTCTCCTTTTCCCTCTCCTTGACCGGAGACGAGGGCGGCCTGTCTCTCTCCCTGTCCCAGGATGGCTCCTCGAATATCTGCGGTTGTTCCTCGCGATTGTGCTGCAGCTGCTGCGCTGGTGGCGGGACGTCGTTAAACGGCGGCGGCCTCTGTGCCTGGCTCGCCTGTAGGAAGGATTGCTACGTTGAGGACGAAGCAGCAAGCGATTAACAAAAAGTCACTGATAACGTATGCAACAAAACTATAAACAGACTAAAGTAAAATCAAAGTGGTGCAAAAATCAAAACAAAAATGATGCATCTATGTAGACAATCAAGAAAAATGTAACAAACTAATTGTGTTAAAATAATTCAACATGTTTTATAACATGAGCACATTGCATTATACAAATAAACGGGTTTTTGCCTTCTGTCTTCCAAAAAGTCTGTGGAAACTCAGACACCCAGTCTACACCAAATGGAAGATTCCATTCCTACCTGAGGGGGTGGCAGCCCGGGTGGGGGGAACCTGGGAGGCATACCAGGTGGGAACGCCCCCTGCGGAAACTGGCCCGGAGGGGGGATGTTAGGGGGGAACCCCCATGCCAGGGGGCATTCCCAGGGCCATCTGTGGAGGGGGGCCTTGGTTCTGTGGCGGCTGCATCTGGGGTGGTGCACCCTGGGAAGGCGGTTCCTTGGGAGGCTGTGATAGGTGAGAGACCTGTGATGATAAGTAGTACAGGAATTTGCCTTTCCCACAGAACTTCTACTTCTCTTTTAATGAAGGGAAAATGTACTAATGGAGCAAGTTTAAACTGTAATTTGCCAACACAAGTAATTGTATGTACCCAACTCTTCAACTCCAGTCGTTGTCACAAAATGAGCAACCCACCACATATGACTCGGTAAGCAGTGTATCATAGGTTGCAGAAAACGGTGGATTGCTCATTTCTTGAGAATGACTAGAGTTGCACAGTTTGAAATTCGGATAAGTCAACTTCTTGTGTTGGCAAATCACAGTTTAAACTTGCTTCATAATGACTTCTACCAACACAGATGAACAACTTTTGTGTGTGTGGAGATTTGTGACACCACAGCAATGGGTAACACAGTGGTGGCAAAGCATCTCCAGGGCATTTCTCTGGCACACAGTTGGAAGTACTGAGCATATATAAAAGACACCCAGACCTTGGTAGATGTGCAATTGACACTTTTGACATAAAGCTGACATTTCTTAAAAGTGTGACTACATTGTATTCCTCCATATTGACAAGCTGATCCACAACTACAGCCTTTAATGCATGTACAGTCAAACCTGTCTATAGTGGTCACTCAAGGGACTGGCCAAAATTGACCACTATGGCCAGGTGACCACTATAGAGAAATGCCCCCCCCCCCCAAGCGACACATGCTTTCAGTACCATTGAACAAAGATGTATTTATGTCTTCATTCTCAAACATATGGAAACATTCATTGCACAGGTAAGTCTCTTTTCAAATGTAACATTACATGTTATAATTCAATTGTTGTTCTTTTGCTTTAGTTGTGGGCTTGAAAAAAAATTATATATCAAAACTGCATGCACTCGACATGATACTCAGTTGATCTACTGGGACTATGAAACCTTCCCACTAAAATATACAAAATCACTGGTTGCCATTTACTGTTCTTGTGTACGTGTAACATCGATGTTTACCTACAGAAAACTTGAAAGCGAATCAAGCAACAAAGTTTCTGTCGACTCCAAGCCATGTTTCTTCCGACTGCAAACTCCTTTAATCTAAGCTCCTTCGACCGATAATTCCTTCTCACTCGCTGTCAGTTGAATCACATCCACCTTGTGGAATAAGTTCAACGTCTGTCTTTCCGCTTTTGCCATCGTTTCTCCGCAATCGCCACGTTACTAGTACCGTAAGTCGAAAAGTGGAAGAAAATGACATCGCCACGTTTTTGTTCTTTGGTGAGTGCTTCGCATGACCGACATCGCCACAACGAATTCCAACCATGTAAACAAGATTTTTTGTACCAAGATGCTGTCCATTTAGTTAACAGTAAAATAATTGTTCATCTGTTGCCGTTTATGTTCCGTTTTTTGGTCATTTTTGAACATGAAAACGTAGCGAAAACTTTCCTTTGTTTACGGCTTGGGTTTCTTCCGGCGTGGGTTGTCTGCCTCTGCCATTATGCCAATGTGGTGGTCAACAAAAATAGTGCTCCTTTCAGGCTTACATATTTTGTAGAATATTCACTACAGACTTAAGTTTACGATGGAAATTAGTTTTAATAATGTATTTCAAATATTTTTGTAATGTAATCACGCCATTCGATGCTATAAAATTTAATAAAAGTCGGTACAACTACCTCCAAACCAATGGAGTCTTCCGATGACCCCAATTGACCTGATTGTTGCGAGCTGCCTGCGCCATTTTGAAAAATCACGAAACGCATTTTCTCAGCCCAAATTTCTTGAATTATGCCCGTGAAAAAGGGAAGTTGGCCACATATTTATGCTTTTCAAGGAATCGAAAAATCAAATATGGATATTCGTAAGTTTTTTGTAAGGATGATTGCCGCAATCTTCGCCGAGTCCACTGAAAGCACCGCGGCACGCACGACATGGTGTTTCAGATATCAAAGACGTCAACACGAGCGACCGCAAAAATTTCGTGTCAAAATCAAGTTTTCCTTTATTTCATACACATCTGGAGTCTAATTTCAGTTCACATTTTAATAATGTAGCGGCCAAAAAATTATCATAAGGCTTGATTGAACGTCCTAACGGCCGTAGCCCGAGGTTGGGTGCACGGGTGGTGTTACGTACGTGGTGCTTAGCGGGTAACGGCCGGCCAGCCGTGACCGCTATCGGCGATGTTGACAGCCGGCGGGACCGGAATGGGGTGACCGCGTTGAACAGTGACAACTATGTACGCGATTCTTAATGCTTACGTCAATGGGAAAAATTCAAGGGACCGGCAAAAACCGACCGTTATGGCCGGGTGACCGCAATGCCAAGGTGACCGCTAGTACAGGTTTGACTGTACACTACCAATCATACTACAGCTAGGAATTTAAACTAAAAATTCTTAATAGAGCAAACAAACCAATCCTTAGTTCGTACTTATAAACCTGCTTTTCTCAGTTTTACTGACAAAAGGTAGTGGACGCTACCTGAAACGTCTGACCATTTCCCAAATCATAGGTGCTTGAGGAACTGTTTTTGGCGTATCTTATTAAGGCCACACCAATTAATTTGTTGTTTCTCAGATTCGCCTCTTCTATTTTTCTGATTTGCAAAAACATTCTGGTTCTGAATCAACTCAAAAATTTCCTTATATTTTGCTCCCAACAGTTGAGGAAAGTCCTTTTCTTCCTAGTTGCAGTTTATCCATCTATCAATGCAGTGGTATGATTAAAAGTTCAAAATTCGTTGTTCCAATCGTAGTAGTTGAGGCTACAATTATAGTATGCCTATACCTACTTTTATTTTTTTCGTCCTGTCGCTTCATATTTTTCTGAAAAAATCCAAGAACCAACAAATTAAATTGGTGTGGCCTAACTGGATGTCTAAGCTTCACCGACAAATCAATCCTTACCTGCTGTATCTCCTTGTCGAACTCATCTTGTTGCTGCTGGAGGACCTGCTGCTTGAGGAAATCTGGGAAGGGCGCGGGGGCGGCAGACGGCAGGCTGGAGGCCTGAGATGTCTGCGCCTGGGCTAACTGTTTCTGCAGCTGCTGCAGCAGGTCTGCGTTAGGCAGGCTGGCAAGGATGCTCTGAACACTGTAGGGGGGAGGGGGGCATCATGATGAGTGACATTGATATAAGGTTGCAGAACACAGAGTGAGTGTGAACACAGTATTAATAGGTGATCCCCAGAGTCTATGATGTGCGGACAAAACTCTTGAATCCTGGCTAGATTGACTTATGTGAGAGGTAGCCAGGAGTAAACTGCGCTATGTCGCAAAGAAATGGATCAGCTTATAGACCGTATAGTTGAATTATGAAGATACTCCTGTTTATGTACCAGTTGCAGTTCTGTTGACCTCTGCAGGTGGCCAAATATAAGTGGTTGTCAAAATGTTGAAAAGCCATAAGTTTTTTTTTTTTTGTTTCCAGATATTTTGTAGATTATACTATACATTTCAACATATTAGTGCTGGCTCTGAATAATGACTTCACAAACATCATAGTAAAACTGATGACTGACCTGTGTTGGTGCTGAGGAGGGGTGGGCTGGGGAGGTTCCTGGGGAGTCTGGTACTTCCCTGTGTCTCTACTGTCTTCTTCATCCTCATCTCCATAATCAAAGTCATCCAGAAGAGCCTAGGCATAGAATGGTTGGAGGGGGTTACCCTAAGCTACATGGCATTCAAAACTGTCCACATTCATTCAAAACAGTATTCACCAAGAAAATCTGAGAAGATCATCTGTGTTGGTAGAAGTCATAGTAAAGCAAGCTTAAACTGTAATTTCCAGCACAAGAAACTGGCACGAGGTGTTACAGGCCTGGACACTGCAACCATCCCTCAACAAAGACGGGGCCCGCTACAGACTTTCTGAAACCTGTGATCCACTGCTCACTGAGTCACGTGTGTCATCTGCGTAACGTGATGTCACAGAAGCCAGTGGGTTGGTCAATTCTTGACAACGACTTGAAAATGGGCAAGTCCATTTTGTTCAATCATATGAAAATTACAGCTTCAACTTGCTTCATAATTCAAAACCTAAAGAAAAGTACAACATGGCAGTGTGTGTGTGTGGAGATTTGTGACACCACAGCAATGGGTAACACAGTGGTGGCAAAGCATCTCCAGGGCATTTCTCTGGCACACAGTTGGAAGTACTGAGCATATATAAAAAGATACCCAGACCTTGGTAGATGTGCAGAATGAAAAGAACACCTCAGCAACACAGTTTCTAACATATGTACTAGACAGTGTTTAGAACAGTATGTACTGTACATATTAAGAAGAGCACATTGGCAGAACATACTGCAGCTACACAAACCCCTAACATATTGTTTCGTTTCAGATATGTTTAAGTATTTAACGATGGGAAATGTTGAAATGTTGTTTCGGAAAAGATATCCTCTGCAAACAGGCAAAGTTCTGATGCAACATTAACCAAACGACCAACGGCAACGGAGAAAAATCCGGGTTTTGCACGAGTGCATCTTATTCTTACGTTCTACAGACATGCTTTTAGAAGTATAATGTAAGGATGACTGTTGTACCTTGTTAAAGCCCTTAGGTTTAGGTGGGGTGGCAGTGCTGGGGCCTCCACCAGGGGCACCCATCATACCAGTGGTGTGTGCCTGCATTGGGAACAACACTGTTAGGTAATACTTCCTCATGAGAGCTCTTTTGACTCTAGTACCTAGAAGTGGTAAACAATTTTGAAAATTGAGACACAACTTCACCAGAGTTCAAGGCATCCAAAGCTATTTCAGAATGGCAAAACTGGATTTGCAAAGTCAATTTTCTGGTGATTCTTTTAAAGTAGTAAGTTGAATCAATCCTATCCCATAACATACTGATATCTGTGAGGTACAAATGTGATGTCACTGACAGAAATGGTTTAGGTCTGTATCACAGGCTGGTTCCAGAAATTTATGGGTGGTACCCAAAAAGGGACTTCTCACATGGCTTGTTTCTGGGCTATTTCAAATATGCCTCAAGTATGAAACTTAACCATATATGTCAGAAATGCCAACAATAAATTTTTAGAAATGTGAAATAATAGCACAACTATGTTAAAAAGTGGAAATAAATAGCCATCAAATGAAAATTTTTAATTAAAATATTTCATTTTTTGTGCAAAAATGTTACATAAGGCCCCTTCAAGAGCAGACAATATGGCTTCAGTTTCCTATCCTCTAAGGCCATGCCAATTTAATTTGTTGGTTCACGGATTGGCCCACTAAAAAAAAAACATTTCAGCCTCTGAATCATCTCCAAAATGCTGATATTTTGGCACCAACAGTTAAAGTCCCTTCTCTTAAGAGTTGTTACACTTTTTCCATCAATGCAGTGGTTTGGTCAAAAGTTTGAAATTCAATCATGTTGACTTCATGGCTCCTTTCATAGCATTTGGGGCTATCATAGGATGCCTAGGTCTTTTTTTCTTTTGCCCAGTCGCTAAAAAATCTGAGAACCAACAAATCAAATTGGTGTGGCCTAAACATGAGGAAAGTTAGAGACAGAAGAGTAGAAGAAAACAAAGGAAGTTCACGTGACCTGCTGCAGGGTTTTCTGCAGACTCTGCTGCAGTTGGAGCAGCTGCTGCAGCTGTTCTGTCGAGGGAACAGCCTGCTAATGGGAGAAAAAACAACACAAAAGGCAAAATAAAAACCACCGAATTCAGGGGAAAAACATCATTCATAACTCGTGCTTTATAATTATAAAAGCCAACGTAAGGATGGAGTTTTACATCAATCGGTGAACACAAAAAAATTTGTTTTGTGTCTTATAGTTGCTGATAGGTTCTGACAGGCTAGTCCTGACCACTATTCTATAATACCACCAGCCCTTATTAAGTTTAACACGCAACAATTACCATAGTCTTCAGCTTTTTTTCATGTTTATCTCAAACTTCTATGATTAATAACTAACATGTCAAATGAACAAATCAGTGGCTTCCAAGACAATGTGAAACATTACTTTTTTTAAATTGGTGTTATAAAGTTATAGTGATATCATAAGTGTTACTGAAGTCGAAATCTTAGGAACTTCTCATAGCTATACTCCAGTGCATTTCCCAAATTATTTTCCATGTATCCAAACATACACATGTATGCTAGCTGGGACAAAATTAGCAATTCAAAAGAAAACCTTCTGATTTTCCTAGCAAAACACTTGTCACATTTTCATCTACAATGCCAACGAATTCTTCTGACAGGAATTCTAACTAACAGTAGTTCTTCTACCCGAAAATTTGGGGCAAGTCCCAATGTTAGTTAGTGTTGGAAGTTAAAGCTTAGTCTTTATTTCAGTGGTTCTTCTACACTAAATATAAGTGTCATACCTGTACAGGAGGTGCCCCGCCCAGCAGTAGTTGTTGTACAGCCTTCAGAGGGTCAGCAGTCTCTGGGACAGCAGCTGTTTCTCCTATAGGTGCCATGGAAGTGGAGGAGGAGGATGGCTGTGGTGTCGTGGCTGTTGGGGAGACAATTAAACACTTAGAGGCATCCAGTGTAGTTTTTATGTCTTGGAAACCAGATTCAATTTTCAAAGTCAATATTTCAGTCACTTAGTAAGTTAAAACAACACTGTCCCAATGTCAACATTCAAGGAGCAAAAAATGCCTGAAATTCTGACAAAAAAACAGTTACTGGAAGGTCCTGGATTGACTAGTAATCTTGTAAAGCTAAGAGATTTCTTTCTTAACGATTTGCAGGCTGGCTGTTTGGAAGGTAGCAGGTTTCCAGAAAACGTTCTAATAAATATTGAAACAACAGCAAACAAAGCACACACAAAGCAGCGTAACGCATCTCCCACTCTAGCAGTTCTCACCTTGGGTGTGCTTTCCCTGCTCTGGTTCTGCTAAGTATCAAATGAGAGGAGACATATCATCTCATGGTACATGTACTACTGTATATACACAGACTACACTGTCTGGGCTTGAAATACCACCTGCATATGCAGGTTAGGGCAGGTAAAATTAGAGCTGTGCAAGCATATCTGATGTCTACCTGAACGTAACCTGCACCAGTCCATGTGCTTGGTTAATATGTAGGTGTACATATGTGGATTTTTGTTAGCTGTATTGACTGTCACTATCTATAGCTATGATGCGTAAACGAAATAACAGCTGAATGTTGGTGAACAGTTTTTTGTATGATCCATACTTCCTAAATTCTGAGTGGTGCAGGTAAAATGTGTCTGGTGCAGGTGATTGTCAACATTACCTGTACCAGTGTACCAGTATGCAGAAAGAAAAAAAGTATTTCAAGCCCTGACTACATTCCAGGGACACAGAGTCATCCTAAATGGTCTCTTCATCTAACTGATCCTAAAAAAAGAGTGCTGTATTCAAAACACACGACTAAAATGAGAAGAAATATGTTTCTATCAAAAAAGGGGCTTAAATACATCACAAGACAGCAAAGGGAACTTGAGAGTTAATAGACTGACCTGGCTGCATCTGTTTGGCTCTTTCAGGGTCAGCCATGTCCAACAGAGGCTGGATCACTTCCACTTTGAACACATGGTTCTTCTGCCACAGGTTCAGCACACGGACAACCCGAGCCTACAGCAAAAAATAACAAGAAATATACAAATTTGCAAACCTTAATGAGAAAAATAGAAAGGTAACATTTGCAAAGCAAATGCATAATGTTTACCTTTTCAAATGGTCTGCTCTGTTCATTCTTACTCAAACACATTCACATGTATGGTGACAGGAGTCTAAATCCCTCCTACTATAAAACTACAACATTATGTAACAGTTACATGAGTTACTCACCCTATCCTCCGGGGGACATTTGAAGAGGTGCTGAAACGTCAATGTGACGTTCTTTGCAAAGCGAGGCGCGAATACGTCCTTGTCGGCTCCGAACTGGTGTCGCGACTGGCGCACAATGGAGTCAATCACATACAGACCCGGTACTTTGTACTCTGGACGACACTACATACAGACAGAAAAGGACCACATTTGATATAAACTCAAATAACACTGTACAACACAATCTTACGGTAACATAGCATGCATAGTCCAGTGACTAGTGACCCTGCCTCTAGACTAAGTAGTTGCGAGTTTAAATTTTGGCTGTTTTTGCTCACCGAACACGTAATCTATAACGCATAACCATGTGCGATTACACAGACATCTACATGCATTTTACACGAGAAATGAATGCAATTTAAAACAATAATTGCACGTCTTCTGCACGCAATTGTACTGAGAAAAGCATGAATTTTAATTGCATTTTGCACAACTTACATGATTGTGTGTAAATAGGAAATTATTTGAGATCTGTACTGATAAACTTATCAGTCATAGGACATTGTAAAAAGATCTTACACTTGCAATGACAAAAGCATCATGATTGTGGTGTGTGGATAATAAATTAAAGACAGCGTATACGTAGCCTTACCTTCTGAATGAACTTTTCCACACTCTGAACCACATGCTTGTAAAACTGTGGGAAGAAAAGAAGTTAGCACCAGGGAGTGTTGTTTTTGCCGCTAGTCATAATATTATATCACACAAAATTGAGATGACAAAACATTTCAGGCTGGCAGGACAGCTGTAAACGATACCCAATGGAAAAAATATTGCTGATATGAAAGAACAAATATAAGCATCCCTAGCAACGGTTATCTTTTCCATACCTTGATGGCTTTGATAGCCGCCTTGGTGACAGCTGTCATCTTAGCCCGAGAGATTGGTGGCTTGCACTCGTAAATAGAGGACAACTGCAGTGACAAAGAAAAAAATCAATCAGCAAAAAAAAGAGTTTATACATTGTAGAGGCATAAATACAATTATGTATGTTTCCCAATACCTTTGTGTATGAATTATCATTGAAAAGACTTTCAAAAGATGTGCACTCTTATACTTTATCATTTTATGTCCAGGCCTTGAAATTTATATTCTATGGGAATAGTCCTACAAGTCCATCTAGCCTAAAAATTCAGATTTTCAGAACAAAATTTAGCTCCAAAGTAAAATTTCAAACAAAGTAGAATGCCAGCAAAACCTACTTATGAACCTTACTGCCTCTCTTCAAACCTGGAATTTGAAATTCCATTGCTTGCTAACTTGAAAATACTCAAGTTCACAGCCAAAACTTAGGGCAAAGCTGCATAAAAGTGCAACAAGCAAAGTGTTCCAAGCCCTGGTGCCATAATATTCAATTACTGTAGTTTGTACATGTACATTTTCAGCTTTCCACCTCTGTACTTGAAAATGATCATGTGACAGACATCATCCCTCACGACATAACTGACATACTGGCCATGGAGGGGGCAGCCAACAATAACAAACAGGACAACAGAATATATTTGCATCTAAGAATGACATCCCGTCTATAGTTTTCAAATGTTATGTCTGAAAATACATTGTGTGCAACAGACAAAAATTCTGATGCAACGTTGACAAAACATTGAACACAAAACATGAAAACTCAGGGTTTTGCACAGGCGTTCTGCTAATGTGCTATCACTAGGAATACTGTACTGTGGTATCAGTGATAGAGGTGTGTAACTAAGCAAATTTTAGGTACAACTGCAGGTACACAGGTTTAGGTACAGGTCGGGACCTGAAACTGTACCTGAACAAGTCAACAGTTCTTCTGAACTACTTCCATAATGACAGAAACATGAATAAACATTTACAGTTTTACATTTATAGTACAGTTACAAAACATTGGCAAAACTATTTAGTAAGATGTTTCAATTATCATCTCCTACCCTCCAACACAAACCTGACCAAAGTGACATCTAGAGGAAGCAGAACTAATATGCAACAGATCTTTTAGGGCAATTAACACTGTCAGTCTGTAACACAAACATGCTGTCCTGCCCATGAGGGACCAGCTATTTACACATTTTAGCTCACAAATAGGCATATCATTAGTGTGAAATTGTTTAGGTACAGTATCAGTACTGAGGGATTAGGTATGCTGGACCAGTACCTAATTAATTTTTCCGGTACAGAACAGTTCAAAGCCTTTAAGAGTCTGGAAGTGTACAACTACATTGTATCAGAGATTGTTGGGGGACAGTTGGGTGGTGGTAAGTACGTTGTAATCGGGAAAGTCAAAAGGTTGCAAAGTTGGAACAGCCTCGGACTGAGTAAGTCTGGATAATCACAAGCAAAGGTGGGGCCATCTTCAGTCTGCACAGCCACAACTGTGTGGCTGGAAGGTGAGTGTTGCTCACACTAGTACTGCCTGTGTCCTTTTCTACATGGAAATTTACCACAGCGTTAATAGACAGCTGCAGGTAGCTCCAACAGATTTACCATGTTCATGGCTGCACACAATGCCAGCTACAACCCCTACACCAGGGTAAAAGACAGCAATCAAAAAAAGATGAAAGCCAATCTTGACAACATGAGACTAGAGGACACCTAGCCAGACCTGCTAGGAGACCAAACTCACTTCTTCCCTAGCCCAAGAGCTATCTACCATCCAAACTCTGTGACTCTGACTAGCATGTCCAGATATCAAAACCAGAAGTTCTGCTGCAGGGTCCAAAATCTAATCATTTCTAGGTGTCTTCAAGACCTACCCACCTACCAAGTTTCATGACAATGCATATCAAGCTTCTTGAGTTATGCTCTTCACAAACAGACGAACAGACAAACAAACAGGTGGATAAACGCTACTAAAAACTGTTAACATGTCCTTTTTCTTGCCGAAGGTAATGATGGTTGCACGGGTGTGCCTATCAAAGACCAAGCAAATCAAGGTCTGTGCCTAGATAATGGGCATGGTCATGAGCTGACATGAGCAGTGAAAAAAGTTCCATGTCCTGCTGGCAGAAATAAGTAATAAAACACAAGTTAATGTTTCTCAGAAACTGAGGAGTTATCAAAATGCTAAAAGCATTTTTAGGATTCACTGACTACAGAAAGACCCATTTCAAATTTTCTAAGTATAGAAATCCTCAACAAACTCTAGTCAGTGGAATTATAGATTTGACCTCTAACATTCTAATGCCCTTGAATTTGAAACCATGACATCATCTGGGACAGCTGCCAAATGGAAATTTACTATCAGAAGGACTGTCTGTGCCGGAGCATATAAACTTATTATCTATTCCAGTGAACAAAAACAACCCTACATACCAAGCTTACACCAAGGTTATACAAATACAGGCTTACATTACAACAGCAGTTTGAAAAGTCTGCTAAAAAAAATCCAGGAATTGCAAATATTCTGGATAAAGAAATCTGTCTGATATTGACATTTAGATTTATTGCCATTCTTTCATTTTCAACATCGTTTCATCATCATAGTTGAAGCTACATAATAGTACATGTGGAGTCCAATTATTTTTTTGGTACCTAACTTAAACCAGCAGGAGTATGATGCCATTTAACAAAGATATCCATCAGCAACATTGCATGTTTACCTCACAGATATCAGTATGCTATGGGATAGGCACATGGTTCGACCAAGAGGAAGGCCTAAGCTGAGGTTTAAGGACATGTGCAAAGCCACTCTCCAAGACTTCTCCATTGAGTCCTGGGAAAAGGTAGCAAGCGACAGAAGTAACTGGAGAGCAGCAATACACAAAGGGACAGAACTGTTCAAAGCTGCAGTGCTAGACTAGAGAGAGCAAGAAGGCAGAGACGCAAGGAGCAGACGAAAGGGACTCGCAGAGGAGAAAAGCACAACACAGGAGTACTGCTGCCGATTCTATGGCAGAGCCTGCCCTGCAAGAATCGGCTGTACCAGCCACGAGAGGCCAGCCAGCCAGACCCGCAGAGAGCGACTGAAGCTGCAGATCATCTGGCAAGACAACAAGGGCCCCAAGACACAGGCTAGGGTTGATACAAAAGAATGACCAGAAAATTGACCTTAAATTTAACTTAACTATTTTAAGAGTCCAGTTTTGCCACAATATTTCATTGGATGGAATGTCCCCAAGTCAAATATGCGGAGAACTATGTCACCCGATTTACATAAGGGCAAAAACCTGATGGTACGAAAAGGACAAGCATATGAAAACTAGTCTATGTACATCAATTTTTTTCCTTCGTACAAATCAGCCTGCTTTCAGGTATGTACATTACCTCGAGGGCCAGTGTACAATCTGAACGTATGTTCTTGACATGCTTTAAGAAAGGCAAATTTACACACACTGACACAGGAAGAATTTGACATGGGCAGTTTTCGTACACATGCATAGAAAGTGTTTGTACCGTCAGGTTTTAGCCTGCATGTAAATAGGGTCCACACTTCAAACCCAATGACAGTGGGTGGCCATTACATTGCAACAATTGCTAGCTTGCATCACAAGACAAGGCTATTGCATAATTCATTGTGCATCATCACACCAGACCTGAATCCCAATCCCTGGGCAGGGTTCTTACAGACTGTTTGAGCATAGGGGGACCTTACACTGTGATTTGGACCCCCTAAGTTGTGATTTAGCCCCTATACTGTACTGTCTTTCAACCACTCCAGCGAAGGGGAGAATCTTGTAACCCTTCATAAATCTTCAAAACAATTCAATTTGACTTGAAAATGAAGCTATAAAGTATAACATGGAGAAAATCTTCCCTCCCACCCTTCCTTTCCCTTCCTGGTCAACCTACTCTGTCTGGACATGAAACAAATGCAACTCAAGGCCACTCAAAACAATACTTCAATACCTAGAAGTAATTACTCTAAATTGCAAAACTGATCTATTGGGAAAGTTTTCTCCTGTAAAGGCTAAGATTATCCTTTAAATGAAAATTAAGAAAATGACAGCCATAGCATGTCCAGAACTCAGGCTGTATACAAAAGCCATAACTTCTGCTGCAGTGTCAGTAGAACGTCACTAGGGGGCCTGTATCCAATCAGCTGTATCCAATCAAAGATGTCATTTATTTCCCCGATAGGGCCAATACCATACACAAATCACATCAAATATGACAAAAATCCAATGGATCATCCACAACTTCTGACTTATGAAGTTATGTTGTCCACAACCCCACAAAAATGGTACTGAAAACACAACATTTTCAGTGTGATCCTTTCTAAAGTCTGATCACAAGTGGTGCAGGCAAAATTTGTCTGACTCTGGTGTGGATTTTTCAATGTCATGTTACCAAAACAATCTTCAGGTATGCAGAAAAAATGATGTCTTTAGAATCCTGGTAATACATAGACTTTTCTAAAGAATAAATTCTACAGAGGGTCTGAGCCACAAGATCTATTTTGGGACAGCAACGCAATCTAATTGTAGCCTGAGTGTCATTAGTTTACTGGGACTCCCATACTCTCATTTGGCACCCAGGCTAATCCAATTGTAGAGGGTACAAGCTGGGAATATCACATATTTATCTGGCTTGATGTGTCTTCAAAACAATGTTTCAGAAAAAGCAATTCCAGAGGAGAAATTTGTCATCATGTGTATGGTATGTACAACACGGCTATGTCATGATCTGGAAGCACACTTCCACTATCAATAAAAGTAGTTGTATGCCAAAAAGTATGCCAAATACCAGTGGTAGTTCAGTACATTGAAGTTCTACAAAACAGTTTTGTATCACAAATAAGTGAACACTCATACCATGAAGACAATTGATCAAAAGTTAAAGCAAGCTATAGCTACCTTGAAGAACTCTGAAGCCTTCCTACGAGAGTGTATACAAAACTACAATACATGAGAGATAACAACTCCATCCATCGAGATCACATTTATCAGTAGGAAACCAACCAAAATACTAAAGTAAAGTAAAAGGAAGCAATGGCAAAACTATCTAAGTTTTTGCTACCTGATAGATTTTCTTGCCAAACATGGCACACACACAACCTAGGCTTTCCTGGATTCTTGGGGCTGAAATGTTGGGGCCAAACTGTCCAGGGGCCAAAGAAGCTGACCTCCTTTACCATACATTATAATGTGTTCCACCAAGGCTTTCAAGCAAGGAACATATCAAGAGGGTCTGCATGGGGGGATCATGGCAACGGTTGACGGCAAATTACGCAGTGCTGACACAATTAACAGTAAATTCAGGGCGGTCAGCAACACTTAACGGTAAATTGACAGGCTATACTAATAACGCTTAACCATGGAATTAAAAAAGCCCATAACAGTTAATGGAAAAGGGCATGCAGGCCCTCATATCAACACAGCAGAGACTCTGAATTAGGCTGTGTACAGTACCTGAACAATTTTAACTAAAGTACAGGTTTGAACATGTACCTGAACAAATTTGGATCATCTGCAAGTTCTAAATGTAGTCAACTAGTCTTTTTCAGAGGTAGATTGCTGTCTTTGTACACCAGGTACACCAGAAGTTCAGGTCTGGACCTGTACCTAGATAAGTTTTTTTACAGGTACTACATACATTTACATTTTCAAGTACACAGCCCTACTCAGAATACAATCATTATGAAATTTCAAGGTCAAGAACAAATAATACATAATTCATACAACAGCATTCTTCATCCATTCATATATACATGTATTACCAGAGTTCAATAAATTTGATTATGAATGAAATACAATATGATAACAATAATGTACTGTAGTAGTAGTAGTGCTTCAGCCTTCATATATTCAAAACTTCATATACAGTACACACTACACAATCATGGATAAAAATAGTTATCATGAAGGAAATATCATAAAGGTCACAAAAATAATTTACACATTAAAACCAAACTACCAACATCAAATCCAATCATTCAATCATAATTTATATAACCTAACCCCCTCCCCCCGAAACCACGCTGAATAAAATATAATTTGACGCCACGAAATCCAAACATCGCTTCTGCAAATGGTTTTGTGGTAACATAATAAACGTAGCAGATCAAAAGCGCTCCTCGCGTCATGCACAAGAATCGTAATTTTGCCCATATACAGGCACGTGGTTTTTCCAAGCGGTTCATATTTGCGATCTTTCAAACATCTTTCTCCATAGATAGTTACATTTTTTCCCGAATTACACAATCTATGTATGTTTATTGCATGCAAATATTTTGGCAGCTACAATACATGAAAAGCGTCGTTTTGAAGAATAATTTCCATAAATCGGACGCCACGCTAGGGGCCACATGAGGAAAACGCCTCCGTCCATGTTCTTTATTCCACCGGCCCGACCTCCCCAACTTCCCCTCGCCTTACCTCGTTATTAAAAGACCGTACGGCCTCCATCCCGGCCATGGCTGCTCCCTGGGTCTTCTAGAACTTGGTGATATCTGCAAATACTCGGAATTTGTTGTACTTTTAATCAAATTTTCCGATATATCGAGAAAAGCCGGGGACGAAATTGGACGATCAGGGGACCCAACATGGCGCGAAGTCCATATCCCATAATACTTTACAGAGGAGAAGTAAGCGAGGCGCTGATTGGTTGTTTTTATACGAACGCAATACCGAGTCCCTGGGGTTTTTCTTTCCTTGAAGAGTATATACGGGATATCTATACCTTTAAACATATTCAAGATATCTTTGGTTATGTTTTCATCTTGACTATGATACACAACTTTTTTGGGATGAGAAGAGACATTAACAAATCATAAAACACTCAGTAAGCTTCCGACCAATGAAATGGGGTTTTACAAAGTTCGCCAAACTCTCATTTGACCCACAATGCATTGCCGAAGGTCAAAAGGTCATGCAATGCGGAAGTAGTGGTTTGGGGTATGTTTGCTACCGTTTGGGCAGGTGCAGTGGAAGCTACAGGTGCTTCAGCTGCAGGTGCCATGATGCAGCTGCAGCTACAGCCAGCTGGAATGCTCCTCTTACAAGGATAAGGGTTCAAACACTTGAGAAGCGCTCGGAGTGACCCACCGACAACCCGCATATCCGGCAGAGGACAGCCACAAGCAGACCGCAAGCAAGTGTAAACATACCGGCCTGTGTTCATCTAATACCATATTGTGGGCGGATGCAGAAAGTTAGCCTGGTGAAAAAGACCGTTGTGGCTCCAGCACTAACTGTGGCCACCCGCCTAGCCGACATAGGGAGAGTAAGAACCGCCTGCAACGACCAACTGCAAGAGGAAAGCCCTGTGCCAGCTAGGCAAACTAGCAGGGGCCGGCTGGAACACTAGTCTACCTGTTATACGTCAAGAATGGTCACCAAGCTAGCAAAAATTAATTTTCTGACAAAGTTGACTAGAAGCAATTTTGTCGTTTTCCTTTAGTTAGAATTGAGAACACGTATACTAGTATGTTTGACAACTTAACTGGACCCATCGCGATACACATTTCTAAGCCTTAGGGTAACACCATGGCATTCCGTACATTTTGGAGATCAGAAAAGCTTCTCGTTGGGGTCATCCTGGTGTGTTTCCTGGGCAGCTGCCTGTTCTCTGTGTACAGCCTGTCCCAGTCTGACCACACCCTCGACCAGGTAGTCGGGCCGTTCGCACTGCCAAAAGTGGACCTGAAGAAGCGATTGGCACTACACAGAACCACTCTGCCAAAAGTATTCCCCAACCACAACAAAAATATCAAGGAGAAAAATGAGGAGAAACGTCCAATTTTTGTGCCGCACGTCGGTCTTGTAGTGGACAGCCAACAGCAGAAACAAGACCAGAATATCGAACAACATGACACCATTGAAGCTGACTCCAAACAGGGTTTTGTGCCTCGAGTGGGGCTGGACTCTCTACAAGTCGACAGTAACGGTAAAGCCGACACTCCAGCGGCATTCAGAGAGGAAGACTTCGCTCCGCCGAACTACAACCTTCACGTTTTCTACTACCCGTGGTACGGCAACCCTGAACAAAACGGGAAATATCTCCACTGGAACCACAACCTTATTCCGCACTGGAACAAACAGGAGGCTAAGAAGTGGCCCACGGGGAGGCACGAGCCACCAGATGACGTAGGGGCAAACTTCTACCCCAGTCTGGGAGCTTACAGCTCATCTGACCCTGCTGTTATTGAACATCACATGCAGCAGATGAGATATGCAGGGATAGGTGAGCCTTGCTGCTTGTATGAAACAAAGACTACTAGATACAGAAGTCTCCCTTTTTAGTACACAATACAGGGCTGAAAATACTTGCATATACATTAATTGGTCAGTACAGGTAAAATTGGAGCCCTGTACATAGGTATATAGCCTGGTTACCAGACCTATTTTTGCAATACTGTATTTGCAGGGAGGATAAAATAGGTCTGGTACTAGTATATGAACCAGGCTGGCAGGTATTTCTGATGTCTATTTGCACCTAACATACACTGGACAGTCCATTGTATGATATACTAGTACATTGTAAGTGTAAGTGGATTTTTATTTGACTGTCATCTGCGACCTTTGAAGTGTTGTATAAAAGAAATGATGGCAAATGTTCCTGAACAGTTTTTAATATGATCCATACTTTCGAAAATTTTGAGTGGTGCGAGTAAAATTTGTCTCGTGCAGGTTATTTTTCATTTTACCTGCACTAGTCTGGGTAAACAGAAAGAGTATTTTAAGCCCTGACAATATTTATTGAATGTGTCTGCTGCAGGAGTATTTGCAGTATCATGGTACCCTCCAGAGCAGGCTGACAATGAGGGCCAGCCAAGTGACTCTCTCATCCCAGCACTCATGGATGCTGCTCAGAAATACAGCCTAAAGGTAATATTTAGCAAATACATGTACCAGTAACCTTTATCAGTAATTTCATCACTCCACCCAGGTGTGAATGGGTACCTAACTTCGGTTGGGGAAAGTCGTATTGAGGTCACCTTGTGGCGCCGAATGGCAGCCGCTCAGACCCTTGCGACAGTTCCACAAAAATAATTGTGGAACAAACATGTGTATCATGTGTATTATTTGATTGTTGTAATTGTTGTGATTTGTATTGATTATTGTGATACCCTTCATCAATTCAGCCGTATAAAGGCTGCGACTGCACGGGTACTGATTGGACAATAAAAAAAAATAAAATAAAAAAAACCATCAGTATGTTACACCTGGGCCATGATAACGTTCAAAACCCCCCTTAGGCCTAAGAAAAAAATGTATACGTAGTGTTTCTTATTTCCTGACCGTAGAAAAACTGCCGACCCTAGCCTTTATTTTGGTGAACCCCAGCAAGGGACATAAATTTTTCAAGCTGATCGACCTTTTCTAGCTCCATGGTCAGACACTTGATGAAACGTTGTACAGTCAGTTTACCAACATAACACACGTCCTCATGCCAGTTTTACTTTGTTAAACTTTACTGTATAAGTTGGATCATTAGAGATTGCCAAAGTCTAATAAAAACAAAAAAAGATAATTCCTATTGACGAAGGTTGGCAAGTTCCACCAAAAAATAATTATGGTGAGTTCCCTTTTGTGTTGCAGCAAAGTTGCATCAACTTTACCATGAACAATTGTACATGGTGTTGTCTCCACAGGTTGCCTTTCATATTGAACCTTACGAGGGAAGGACAGACTGGAGCCTGCAGCACTCTGTCAGGTACATTGTCGACACATACGGAGCCCATCCCGCGTTCTACCGCCATACCAGAAACGGAAAGTCCCTCCCACTGTTCTACATATACGACTCTTACAATCTCCCCTCCAAAGACTGGAGAAATCTGCTCTCCCCAACTGGCTCCCACACGATCAGAAACACGGCCTATGACGGCATTTTCCTGGGCCTTCTTGTCGAACAAAAACACAGGAATGAGATTATCCAGGGCGGGTTCGATGGATTTTACACCTACTTTGCTACAAACGGTTTCACATATGGTTCCTCCTTCACGAACTGGAAAACGCTCAAGCAGTTTGCAAACCAGAATAAGATAATGTTCATACCCAGCATCGGACCTGGCTACGTGGACACGAGGGTGCGCCCGTGGAACGGACGGAACACGAGAAAGCGTCTCAACGGGAAATATTACAATGATGCATTCCAGGCGGCGTTTGATACTAGCCCGGAGATCATTTCGGTGACTTCTTTCAACGAGTGGCACGAAGGGACGCAGGTGGAAATGGCAGTGCCAAAGAGGGTTGGGAATTACACCTACAGTGACTACACACCAAACTCACCCGAGTTCTACCTCCAGCTCACTCGGAACTGGAGCGAAAAATTTAAAAATCTCCAGTAACAGAGAAGGCTAGACCTGAATATATCTCATACACAGCACATTAGCAGAACATGCATACTGCACCTACGCAAAATCCTGAGTTTGGTCAATGTTGCATTAGAATTTTGCCTGTTGCAGACGATATCTTTTCTGACACATATGGAAACTACAGATGGGATGTTAACCTTATATGAGCAAATATGACCTTATACTAGTATGAGACGTTCTGCTGAAGTGCAATGCATAATACATTACGGATTTCGTTCAGGTGCAGTACGTTCTGCCAATGTGCTCTCATACACTGATGTGTTTTTAGTGTCCATGCAAAAAAGGAGCAACTGTAGGTGTATACAGAACTGATTTGAAGGACTTGTATAGGTTGGTTCACCGTTGTCTGTCCTGGTGCACTGGATTTACTCTTGGTATTGGCTTTTGTGTAATAAGTTACATTTCATTGCATTGCAATCTTAGTATCTAAGATTTCTACTATTCATTACAATTCAAGTTGTATATACTAATGATGTTATGTTGAATTTGTGCAATAATTTTGTCAGTCCAGTGATGAATTTGAGCAGTCATACAGTTGCTACTTTGTATTCTAACAGCTAAATTTTCATTCTCAACTGTCCACTTTGAAGCTTATGTGTATTTTTCCTTTAAAACAACAAACTTTTGTTCGAAGTTGAATGTTGTACTATTGTTTATATATACTGAGTATATATTAAACAATAAGCGCTGTCATATAGAACTCTGACCAAAGCAGGTGTTCAGGGATGAGTTTATGCACTGTTTTCTGCCAAAATATTTATGACAAAGACTTGGAAAGCTCCTTTGTCTTGTCGGACTCTTAGACAAACTGGATTGACACATGTATGGTTGATGCACATACCCATTCAATGTTCATATCTTTTATTTTTTTCCTGATATAGGTCTCAGAATCAGAGCTAAGATTATAACTTACATAGTAAACGAGTATGAACAGACCACTGTACCAAAAAGTTCATTTTTTGACTGGACACAAATACAACTGTAGGTTTCACAATACACAAGACTGGAGTCATTCTTTATACACATGTATATGTTAATATGTTATGCTTTACAAAATGACAAGGGATTTATGTGTACACAATAGTATAAATACTACCAGTATACTAAAACCAAGAATGCTCCTAACAGTAACAAGTCGATCAATGATGCTTTAATTACTGAGAGACAACTGCAGTGTGATAGATGAATCCACATGACTCTACTTTATACACAATCAATCAATCATCTACAAACAATTCTATTAAGTCTCTTGTTCAAATAGAAGGCTAGGGATCTTTTCATAACTTCATAATTTCATAAAGTTCTTCTCTTGGTAAATGTGACCTCATGGTGCCGACTTGGTACCAGGGTTGATTTGTTTCTTGATCTCCTCTGGGATCTGTCCAAACGCCTTGACTTCAAAAGTTTTGAAGTACGTTAAGAGTCCTTGGGCATGTTCAAGCTCCAGATTGAATTCCTGAGACACCCTCTCCGCTGACCACTCCTCTGGATCTTTCTTGTGTCTGACAAGGACCTCCAGAATCTGGGTAACGGTCATCTTCCCTGGAAATCAGAAAGAAAAATGGCTTGGCAAACAAACAATACACCATCCAAATTTGTTACAAACACTTTGATATTAATGTTTATCTTTTCAGAAGGAAAACTATATTGTTTCTACTATGTTTGTTCTTCACCAAACACATAAGGTTAATGATCTGAAGCAGATATCTGTCGCATGGTACTGTAACTTGTGTTGCAGCAGACATCCTTTGGTGTTGGAATGCATTATGTAGCAAGTTGCAAAAAAAGAAAGGGCTGGTCATTATATGTATATAATTATTATAAATAAGAATAAACAGCAGTTTGTTAGGTTTGGGGAATGTTAACATTATGTACCTGCTTTGAAAATGTTACCTTTCTAGTTTGATATTTTATACTACACTACAAAAATGAACTAACAAAGTCATGGTCCACCCACCTTCTGTCACTACCCTAACATCCAGTGAATCACCTGAAGAGACTTGTCTTTTACTGGATGATATTTGACTAGAATCTGGAAGAGCCTCTGTTCTATCTCCTTCAATAGTCTAGGTGCAAAAGGCAGATTCAAAGGTAAAATGCACTTTTTGGTCTAGTAACTTTTACACACAGAAAGAAGTTTGCAAACTTTGCTCTACTGCTATGAATGATAAAAATTCAAAAAAGAGCCTATTTTACTTCTCGTTGCAGAAGTCTGCTTACCTTAGGTACTGGGTCATGTGACTCCACTCTGACCTGCTTGAGGAAATCATCTAGTCTGACATCTTTGGTCTGTTGCAGCTTCACAATTTCAGGATGGACTGAAACAAAACAAGGATTTTTTAATTAAACCTCCTTGAACGAAAAAGGAACTCTCAGTTTTGCATGTACAACTTCAAGCTTCCTTCCCTCAAGTGGCATATCATGTCATACACCGTTTACTGTCTTATTCCTGTAGTAATACTAGTAGTCTCTTAGAATAGACTTGATTGTATTGATCACATTGTTATTGATGCCATACATTGTACCATGTACAACTGTCGAGCAATAAAGTTCATTCATTCATATCTGTAGTTGCTTGCTTTTTTGTTCATTATACATATATGATCACTTAAGCTAGGGAACAGACATTTTTGCACTATTGACAGGATGATCCTGTCAATAACAGAAAGATATGTTTTATTAACAGGGTGATCCTATCAGTAACACAGAAAGATATGTTTTATTATATTAATATTAAGAGGGTGATCAATAACAGAAAGATATTAACATGGTGATCCTGTCAATAACAGAAATATATTATTTTATTGACATGATGATCCTGGCAATAATAGAACGACGTGTTTTATAATTTTACAGGATTATTAATTGCAATGGTGCAATTTTTCTGCTTCCAATTCAATAGCTGAGACAGGTATTCTAACTAGACTACTACATTATGTAATAGAACTACTGCATATAACAACACGTACGTTTCTGTACTCTTGCTATCTCTTCCTTGGTGCTGGGGTACTGAGGCGCGGGTTTGGGTTTGTCCCGCTCCAGAAGTCTGTGCGCCCGAGCCTCCACATTCATGTTCTTCATCGGTCTCAGTGCTGCCTTAGGAGCCTTACTTATCTTAGAGCCCATCGCGACGTCTTGAAGGAGTTAAGGTCACACTGTAACGGAGATAAAGCCGAACGTCCTTCAAAATCTTACGAAACTTGCAAACACATGATCTCTTCCGGTCTTCATGGACCCGCCCACTTTACGGTAATCAGAATGTGCCACTTTTAGATTTAGTGAGCAAAATTCATTTCAATTCTGAATGAGTAAATGATTCAAAATTGTCAACAAGCAATTAATTACATATAAATAGGTAGAATTTGATACTTAAGACATCTTTGTCAGCTTCATAAGTAGTGTAGTTCTTTGAATTTTTAAATATTAATGCCCTGTTTCTAAAATGGTCTCTTCCATATGGTACAAGTATTTTACAACAGTTCATGGGCTGCATTTACGACACTTGCAGTAAATCAGTACATCACAGACTGACTATCACATGATCGTGTCCTTGCCGGGAGCAGGTAAGAAAAGAACTAGCACGCCAACGTGGTAACATTTTAGCCTCTACCAGGCTTCAGAAGCGGATGTGAAGAGCCAAATAGACAGATAGCATACCAGGGGAGTTAGTCCGCTACATGTATTATGAATATAACATTACTTTAATAGTCCTTAGTATATGAACATGGAGCGGCAAACTGGCCAATCTTTCCATCCTGCCGCTTCCGAAGCCTGGTTGAGGCTAGTGAAAGGGAGCAAGGTACATGATTATCGTCGGTTAGTGTTTGATCATTATTTGGCATCGGTAAACAGTTTCAAGTGCGTTCACTTTTTTCAAACATGTTTGCCGGACACACTTCCGTACTGTATCAGTGGCGGACATGTGACTACAGCTGAGTACAGGTCCCAACCATTTCTAAAATGTTCACACTTGACTACGTATACTCTCCAAGCAGAGGTTCAGGATGATCCTGTCTATAGCAGACAATTTTGAACTTCGTCTTGTCAATAGTGCATTTTCTTCTTTTATTGTGATTGATATAGCACAAGCTTGCCTAAAATGCTAACTTTCATAAGAGTTAACGTTACAGTTGACCCTGTTTTCTTACATGCTTGAGGAAGAAAAAGAGAAAGAAGGAACAGCAAAGGCAAACATTGTTTTTGCAGTGTTTCTTCTTCCTCTTCTCCAAACAAATGAGGTCAATGACCTGAACCAGACTGTCTGTCACCATGGTAACTGGTGTTGGGTTACATCATGTTGCAATTTTATAGCAGGAGGGATTTAGGCTCCTGTCACCATATATATATGAAAGAGTTTGAGCAAGAATTTAAACAGCTGCAGACCATATGCATTTAGGTAAACATTATGCATTTGCTTTGCAAATGTTACCTTTCTAGTTTCTTTCTCAATTGTGTTTTACTCCAGGTATGATGTCCAAGATGGGACGTTGCGTCGTGCTGCTTGTCTTACTACTGATCATCAAACTCGGCCATGCCATGGTGTTGGACGATGAGGCAACTATCTTCAGATCTAACAGGTGGGATATCACCATAGAATGATAGATAACAATGAATGTTTTTAAAAGTATTTTCATCCATTTGCATGATTGTAACAATCTTAAGTAAAAGTAAATCTCTTAAAATATAGCACAAAACTTGAGGCCTACAAAAAAATTGATGTCATGTTTCCTGTTTCAGTCCTGAAAAAATTAGGGTCGGTAGGTGGGGATTATCATTTTTTTTCTTTATGTTTATTTACTTTTTCAGACTTTAACGATCCAACTTATACAATACACTGTTAAGTAAAACTTGCATGAGGACACTTCTATTTTCAATGTCAATGTAACAGTTTAAAAACTGATTTTTAATACAACGTTTGATCACTCAGGTGTTAGATCATGGACCTAGAAAAGGTCGATCGGCTTGAAAAATTCATGTCCCTTGCAGGGTTCCACAAAAAAAAAGGCTAGGGTAGGGTAGGGTAGGCATTTATTCTTGGGTGGGTCAGGAAACAACATTTTTTTCCTAAGCCTCAAAGTACTAGAGAGTAGTATAATGATATACTTGTATGTCTTTCCAGCCTACCCAATGACAGGAAGTTTATGGCCACAGTCGGGAACGGTTACGTCGCCACTACGGTCTACAGCGACACGATCTTCATGAACGGACTGTTTAACGGGGAGGGCGGGGCCAGTCACCGCGCACGGATTCCCGCCACCGTGTCGGTTACCGTCAGTCTGGATGGAAGCACCAACCAATCATACGCCCTGGATGTGGCACGTGGTACGTTCAGTGTACAAAACTGTCATTTCAGGTTAACCATGGCAAAATTTCAGATATTGACAAAATCCTATTGTGTGTAATTTACTTCCACTTTCAATATAAATCGAGGCTTGACACCAGGGGTGCAACAGTCCTGGGCATGCTCCTCCAGTAAAATTTTGAAAAAAAAAGATCCTCTAAAATGCCTTTTGAGGGACAAATTTTGCTGGTAGACTAAGGGTTATTTTAAGCATTAATGAAATCAGTTTCCATATCTTTACACACCAATTTTTTTCCACCAAAAGATAACGCCGGATTAGACAAAATTTTTATCTGTCATAAGTGGCAAAATTTCGTCAGATGACGGAGAGACAGATGCTAGCTAGAACACTGCTAGGATTTGGAAATATTTTGATAAATTTATAGTTAAATACATGTATTTAACTATGACTAACTATCTATCTGGCTACATCTTGCTTCTATAACTTGCTTCCAGGAGTGTTCACCCACACGTTACAATCCGAGGTGGCAAACGTGCAACAGCGTACGTACGCTCACCAGTTCTACTCCAGACTTCTCGTTACGGAGATAACGGTCGACAGGACAAACGCCATAGCAACCAGGGAGCCTCAACCAATCAGAGTTGACCTGAAGAGCAACATGGGGGGTCCAAGTGATGATGTAGAGTTCCACGATGGGCCTGACTTTCAGGGAGGAAAGTAAGTTTGGATTTCAATCTCAAGACAGCTGGGTAGCACCTGGTCAATTTGTAGTAAGGGCTAGGAAAAAAAAGTTGTTTCCTGTCTTAGTCCTGAAAAAAGTAGGGCTGGTACCTATTTTTTTTTCTTTTTTTCTACTTTTTTTAGACTTTGGCTGTCTCTAGTGATCTAACTTATACAATACAGTTTAACAAAGTAAAACTTGCATTTGGACACTTTTATTTTCAATGCCAATGCTAGAAAACTGGCTGTACAACGTTTCATCACTCAGGTGTCAGATCATGGATCATAGAAAAGCTAAAAAAATTATGTCCCTTGCAGCGGTCCACAGAAAAAATGCTAGGGTCAACAGTTTTTTCTAGAAGTCAGGAACTAAAATTGAGATGATGGAAAAAATTTCAGCCCAACTTGCATATATATGAACACTAGGCAATATCATCATTCACCAGGTGTCTTTGTTTTTATTTTTTCTCAAAATGATATTCTGCAGGTACATGCTGGGTAAAATCAAGACCCCAGAGCTAAAGGGAGGAGACAAGCCGATAGTCCATGTGGTGTGGACACCAGTCCCTGATAACATCACTCTTCCAGCCGACCAATCAACACAGACCTGGACGTTCATCACATCCATCTCGTCCAATCAGAAGGAGGCACAGCAGTTCTACCACAATGGGATGAACCTTGCAGGTCAGTGTTAGAAATACTCTGGAACAGTGTTCTCAGGACAGGCGGAATTTTTTTGAAGGCCAAATTTTATTTCAGTGTTATGACATCTCTTTCCTACTAGCCTCCTGTGCAGGCCACGGTGGCAGGTATAAACATTCTCTGGGCAGCTGGTTGCAGGATGGCCGGCAAAAGAATGCGTTAAAAATTCTACAAAACACAGTATCAAAACTCCCACCCGCCCGGAGGTCTGCACAGTTGGCTATCTTTACACACTGATTTGTGTTCGTCAATGATGACAGATTGGGCCCAAAATTCCGTCAAATGACAGAAAGACTACTCTGTCACTACTCTGGAAGTCTGTTAGCTGTCACAGTGGTGTCCTTTCTAAATTAGCCTGGGTGCCATCCTATTTGTATGCAGGGGCTGCCATACTCGCTCCCTAAATGGCATGTTGTATCTCTACCGCTACAGGTAAGGGTCGACTGTACAGTAACCACACCCAGTCCTGGCTCAATGTGTGGGAGGAGGGCAGAATTGAAACAACGGGTAACCTGAAGCTCCAACAGGCTATCTACGGCAGCTTGTACTATATCCTCAGCTCCCTGCCTCCTCTCAACGCTCCCAAAGATTTTGAGTTTTTCGGGGTAAGTCCAGGTGGTCTGGCGAATGGAAAGTACCAAGCGGACTACCAAGGGCACATCTTCTGGGACCAGGCGACTTGGATGTACCCCCCTATTCTACTCCTCCATCCCGAGTTGGCACGGTCCATGTTGGAGTCTCGCACACGCGTACTAGACGCGGCGAAGGATAACGCCCGGAAGAGGGGCTACAACGGCGCAATGTTCCCGTGGGAGAGCGCGTACACGGGACACGAGGTGTGCCCGGCGCCGGGCCCGCTGAAGTACGAGCACCACGTGACGGGAGACATCGCGTTTGCGGCTCAGCAGTACTTCCTGTCGACCGAGGATGTGGACTTCCTGTTGTACCAGAAAGGCTACGACTTCATCACCAGTATGGCACAGTTCTGGGCCAGCCGCACTCAGTATGATAAGGACAAAAAGAAGTATGTTATAAAAGGTTTGTATTTATCATCTAAAAGCAAGAATTATCATGATAACCACATGGAGTATGTTCTTATCAAAGTTAACCAGAAAGAAAAATTATCTGGTATGTCTGTAAAAGATATGCCCTGTCCTTGGACGAGATTTTATCATTGGTAGATGCAAGCTAAAATGATGTAGTTATATCCAACCCCCTTTGCAGCATAACTCTCTTTTCTATATTAGAAAACGTTATTCCCCTTTGAAAAAAATCTCCCAAATATTATTGTAGGTTTACGAATGTAAACTTTAAGATGTTAAATGTATAGTACTTGTGTAGTATACAGCATATCCTTAAGATCTGAGTGTCAGAAAAATAACAAAATCGTGGTTATACTAAGTACTTTTCTTTAGAAATTAATCAAACATGATTAGTTTTTACTGACATTCTACTAAGTACTTATGTTATATGGTGCACTCCAACATTTTTTGTGCACATAATTTTTTATGTTGGGTGGACCAGCTCACCTATTCCCAAAAATGAATTTCGAGCCCTGCTACAACATTATCACAGTGGCTCTTCTTTTATTTTTGGATCTTGCAGCGGTGATGCCCCCGGATGAATACCATGAGAATGTGGACAACTCTGCCTACACCAACATCGTGGCCATGTACAGTATCAACTTCGCTTCCAAGTTAGCCAAGCTGCTAGGGAAGACCACACCTAGCAACTGGACTGACATTGTCAACAACATGTATGTCCCATTTGACCAGAAACTTCAGTATCATCCTGAATATGAAGGCTATACTACAAGTAAGTACAACATCTTTTCCTTTCTTTGTATGAAATCAATTTCACCTGTCCTTAATTGCACCCAAAGAGATTTCAGGCCAGTAAAAATGAATGTTCAAAGTCAATTTTCTGGTCAATTTGTTGTAATTTGAATCAGCCTTATCCCATAACCATGATGAGGAAAAATGAAATGTTTCTGACAGAATAAGGTTGGCAATGCTTGTTTTGTATGGTAGGCTGTTTCTAGCTATTTATGGGTGGTACTGGCAGGACATCGGCATTAGGCAACAGGAAGAAGGTTGTGATAAGTTCTTCCATTTTCTCTTCAGTACCACCAGACATCCAGATAAATCAGGCTCGTTTTGGAGGGTTTTTTTGGCCATTTTCCGACAAAATCTGTACATAATGTAGTGGCCCTGGCACCTGGGTGACTCATAAGAATGGTATGCAGAGCAAGAGCCAATAGGCATGCAGCTTTCCTCCATTCCTGTTGCTGATTGGGTATTGGAAATTACATGTTCTGTAAGCTACTTTGTAGTCTATAGATAGGCATAATTTCTTGTCCATCTAAACTTAGCTCAATTGGTAAGCGATATGACATTCTCCACTTAATTACTGAGTGGCAGGTTAAGGGTTCAAGTCCGGGGGTGTTTCTTTTTTTATTAACTTTACCTTTTTTTTATTTCATACTAATATTGTATTAATAGTGCTTCTTTTCTCTGTCCCTCCCACCAGACATCCAGATAAAGCAGGCTGACGTGATCCTGCTGGGTTACCCCCTACTGTACAACATGTCTGAACAGGTCTACAGGAATGACCTGACCATCTACGAGCGTGTGACGGACGTGAAGGGACCCGCCATGACCTGGGGAATCTTCGCCACGGGATGGCTCCAGCTGGGTAACATCACCAAGGCCAACAGTCTCTTCGCTCGCAACTACAAAAACATACAAGAACCATTCAAGGTTAGAACAAGAAATCTTTGACCATCCTTGACATGTTTTAGTTAGGACTAGAAAGGCAAAGAAAACCTGTAACAGATATTAGTATGGTATTGGGTAGCATTGCTTCAACTTACCACATGACAAAATGAAAATTAAAATAACAAGAAAATTGACTTTTAAAATCCAGTTTTACTGCTCTGAAATCACTTTGGGTGTACACATGTATTTATTATGTTCATGCTCAGTTTCTTCCTGTTCTTTTCCAAACAAATAAGGTCAATGACCTGAACCAGATGTCTGTCACCATGGTGTCTGGTGATGGGTTACACCATGTTGCAATTTTATAGTAGGAGGGATTTAGACTTCTGTCACCATATATATGGATGTTTTTGAGTAAGAATTAACAGTCTGAGAGCAGACCGAAGGTAAACATTATGCATTTGCTTCCCAAATGTTATCTTGTTTTTTAATCAGGTTTAGTTTAATATTTTGTTTATCACTTTTTCAGGTGTGGACGGAGACTAGTTTTGGGGCCGGTGCGGTGAACTTCATGACTGGTATGGGCGGCTTCCTACAGGCGGTTATGAACGGTTACGGCGGGATCAGACTGAGGGAGAACCAGCTGGACTACCACCCTACCATACCAGAACACACCACCAACTTTAACATCATAGGGCTGGACTACAGGTGGGACTGCTTACAACATGTGTTCTACTGTAACAGTCTTTCTATTGACCACATACTCACTGATTCACTCACTTAAACACTAAATCACTCAATCTTCTTCTTTCGTTTAGAGGCAGCCACCTTCAACTAGCTAAAGATTCTGCATCTTTTTTGTGGCTAATACGAGGTGGGATTTCCCCAGGCCTCTATCCAGGAAATTTGTGTATGTAAAGTGCCTTTCCCAAGGGCACAAGGCATGGCAAGGTTAGAACCCAGGACCTTTTGGTTCCAAGCCAAACGCTCTGCCGTTAGACAACACAGTCCGACCACTCACTCATGTAGCTACCCTGGTAGTAGCTGTAGGGACAGTCCACAAAATTCCTCCATCTCTGGCGGTTCACAACCATTATATTCTGGTCAGCTGGACTGCCGTCTTTCCTCACCACTCATTTGGATCACATAATATAATTATAAAACAAGTTTTTTTTTGTAATTTCCAACCCAAATTTTTGACTACATGTACAGCTCCAGTCTTTGCCAAGGAATGAGAGATCCACCAGTTCTGTGACATCACATTATACATGTCATGCATACATGTGACTCTGTCAGCAGTGGATCATACAAAGTCATGTAAGTTACAAAAAGTAATTTGTTTGGTTTGATTTGGATGGTTGTTCTGCTACAGACGAAACAAGCTGAACTTTGAAGCCGACTGTAACCAGATCCGAGTCACCCTGACACGACAGGACAAAGGTCACCAGCAGCTGAGACTCAAGGTCAAGGCCACAGGACAGGAACACATCCTACAGCCTGGTAAACTAAGAACTCTTGTTTTGAGATAACCATGAAAACTTTTATATAACAAAAGCAAGTAAACCTGTCCTTGATGCTGAACACAGTTCACACACTGGCAGCCATACCTGTCCTTGGTACTGAACACAATCTACACACGACCCAAGCATGTATACCTGTCCTTGGCGCTGAACACAATCTACATGTTGGCAATCCACACACAAGTATACCTGTCCCTGGTACTGAACACAATCTACATGTTGGCAAGTGAAATAGAAGAATATGTCAACTTCATTTTAATCCTGAAATGTTTTCTTTTTTTTCAGGAGTATCTGTAGTGTTTTCCCGTGGAGCTGCCTCAATATTCCCACAGACAACGCTGTAGTTTAACTGTGCCTTCTTCAATTTGTGGAGTTATGTGTAATATAGACCGCCATGTTGTCAGGACGTACTGCGCCTGCACCAAACCCGATTGTTTCAGTTTTTGTTCGATGTTTGGTGAGTGTTGCATCAGAATTTTGCCCATTGCAGATGATATCTTTTCTGACACAACGTTTTAAAACTACAGACTGGAAATCATCCTTAGATTTGCAAAATATAAAACCTTATATGAGATACTCTGCCTGGAGTTCTATGCACTTGGGTTTTGCACGGGTGCAGTACGTTCTGCCTACGCCTACATCTATAGACCAAAGTGCTGATCATGGGTGGCTTGAAATATGACTTGCAGCTGATTTCTGTTGTGCCATGTTAAGAGAGAAAACTATAGTTTGAAATGAATTGAGACCTATTGTTAGTAGTCTTCCTAGACTGGACTGCAAATGAATTGTTATATGATGATCTGTTCAATGCTTGAGCACTTAAAAGTAGCCACTATAATTGTGAATGAAAAATAATTTCATACAAGTGGTAACCTTGAATTTCATACCAGCTCCTTTTTATTCCTTTGGTATAATATAAAGTCAGAGTGTAGGTATCCATAAAATGGTAAAACAAGGACTAGAAGAACATATTTATTTTCTGCAACTAAGTCTCTTTTTGTAGTTTGAGATTACAGATATTTATTTCAGACTTATTTGGAAAAAAATGTGACATTCTGACAAGCCAAATAAGATAAAAGAAAGAAATATTTGTGTCTCCTATCAAAAAACTATTCAAGATTCTATACTTGATTTTAGCTCAAAAGCACATTGTTTGAATATCTTGGACCTTGGTTATAGTAAACAGTGTTGCTTTCAGCCACAATACAATACTACTAGTATTCAGCAGTATCTATATACATTTGTATGTACATTTCTGTATTGTATGTACATATATGTATGTGTTTTATGTTATATTGTAGTCCTTTTTTGTACTTAAAGGGAAACATCCTCAAACCAGTTCCCTTAGGAAGTATTGTTTCACTTTGCACTTTCTGTATTTCTGATTCTTGTATATTTCGGATTGTTGTATGATATGATTTCTGATGTGTGACATTTGCATTATATATACAGCTGACTTCTGTAGTATTTGAAACTGAAAAAAGTTTCTGGAGATGGAGCTGAGTATACAGCTGACTTCTGTAGTTTTTGAAACTGAAAAAAAAAGTTTATGGAGCTGAGAGAAGTAAAAATTAAGGAATTGAAACTACAAGTTTTGGACTTTCTTGTGCTTGGTGCTGTAAGCAATCCACACACACAGGCAAGCATACCTGTCCATGGTTCTGAACACAATCTATACACAAGCAAGTATACAAATCCTTGGTGCTGAACACAATCTGCAGCCAAGCAAGCAGTCCTGTCCTTGGTGCTGAACACAATCTAAACACAAGCAAGCATGCCTGTCTTTGGTGCTGAACACATTCTACACACAAGCAAGCATATCTGCCCTTGGTACTGAACACAATCTACACACAAGCAAGCATACATGTCCTTGGTGCTGAACACAGTCTACTCGCAAGCATACCTGTCCTTGGTACTAAACACCATCCGCGCACAAGCAAGCATACCTTTCCTTTGTACTGAAAGCAATCTACACACAAACATACCTGTCCTTGGTGCTGAACATGACACTGACAACAAATGAGACAACATATTCCCGACAAGACTTTTTTTCTTATTCGTAGAAACGGATACTGCATGAAATTACATTGTAGGTCTTTAGGACTTGTCCATACAAGATGTGAAAGAAAAATGCAGCTTTTGTTTCGCACGAAACATGGGTTGTAAATAAGGTCAGGTCACGGGTACGTTCCATATATTCTAAGGATAAAATAAAGTTTAAATGTGTATGAAGCTATTTGCTTCGAAATTCAATTATCCAAGTAGATACAGTGCTTTGGTGATATGGCGGGGTACAATTTCATCAGCAGTATATCAGAACTCAGATAAGCATAGCGTGCATGGATCAAAGTATAAAGGCCCCGTTCACGGTACAATTTGTCGCAACAAGACGTGTCCCACAGAGCCAGCGATCAGCACACCAACTGCAAGCAGTACGATGATGGCTTTGCTCCGCTTGATACGTTTCAGCTCACTGCGGTGCTTTCTCTTGTGGCTCTTCAAAATGTCTGTCAGCACGGCATCCAAGTACAGATTCAAGTCTGTGGAGTTCTTCGCGTGCACAGTGTCCATAGCAGTGGCTCCCTTGCTGTCGACGTCGCCGCTGGATTTCTTGTCAAGTGAGGAGTTCGGCTTGGGCTCCAGATGAGTCGTGCTAGCGGAGGAGCTGCGGTCTTTCGCCGGGTAGGTTTCCTTGTCGTGGCGGGGGACGTCGACTTTGGAGACGCGGCGGCGTACTCGGACGTTGTTGCAGTGATTTCCTCCGATCGTGTAGCCCCAGTCGTGGGTCACTTCTTCCTCCTCGTCGCCAGCATTTGGTGGGACGGTTGGGGTCTCGGTGGTACTGTCGACGCCTTCCCTCGGAGGAGGCATGCCAACGGGTACCTGCAATTGATTATACAGCACTTTAGAAAACCCCATCTTTAGGCACATCTTTAGCATACGTAAAGGTACAGGTGAGAGAAGAAACGGAACCTTTTTCTATTGTTTGACGGATTGTGTGAAGTGTCGTAGACGGTCAAGAGTGTATCAATGATAATAATAACAATTGTAACCTTGGAAACGCGGCGGCGAACTCGGACGTTGTTGCAGTGGTTATCTCCGGTTGTGTAGCCCCAGTCGTGGGTCACTTCTTCCTCCTCGTCGCCAGCATTTGGGACAGTTGGGGCATCGGTGGTACTGTCGACGCCATCCGTGTGATTGTGCTCGACACGGAACCGCTTCCGGCCTTCAGAACGGAAAGTCTCCGTCTGGTTGTCAGGAACTCGGGCATTCTCTGCGTGGCCTGCCGGAGGAGTCATGTCCACTGGTACCTGCAAGTAGGTATAAAGCACTGTACAAAATCCCATCTTTAAGCACAGCTTGAAGCATACGTAAAGGTACAGGTGAAAAAATAAACTAAACCTTTATGTATTGTTTAACGGATTTTATGAAGTGTCGTAGACGGTCAAAAGTGTATCAATGATAATAATAACAATACCTTGGAAACGCGGCGGCGAACTTGGACGTTGTTGCAGTGGTTATCTCCGGTTGTGTAGCCCCAGTCGTGGGTCACTTCTTCCTCCTCGTCGCCAGCATTTGGGACAGTTGGGGCATCGGTGGTACTGTCGACGCCATCCGTGTGATTCTGCTCGACACGGAACCGCTTCCAGCCTTCAGTACGGAAAGTCTCCGTCTGGTTATCAGGAACTTGGGCATTCTCTGCGTGGTCTGTCGGAGGAGTCATGTCCACTGTTACCTGCAAGTGAAGTGAGTATAAACACTGTACAAAATCCCATCTTTAAGCACATCTTGACGCATACGTAAAGGTACAGGTGAGAGAAGAAAGGGAGCCTTCATGTATTGTTTAACGGATTTTGTGAAGTGTCGTAGACGGTCAAGAGTGTATCAATAATAATAATAATAATAATAATACCTTGGAAACGCGGCGGCGAACTCGGGCGTTGTTGCAGTGGTTATCTCCGGTTGTGTAGCCCCAGTCGTGGGCCACTTCTTCCTCTTCGACACCATCTACATGTGGTGAGACGGTTAGGGCCTCGGTGGTACTTTCGACGTCTTCCGTGTGATTCAGCTCGACACGGAACCGCTTCCAGCCTTCAGAACGGAAAGTCTCCGTCTGGTTGTCAGGAACTTGGGCATTCTCTGCGTGGTCTGTCGGAGGAGTCATGCCAACGGGTACCTGCAATGGAGTTCGTATGCAAAGTGTCAGTACCTGCAATGGAGTACGTATGCAAAGTTTCAGAGAGTGTATATTTACAATAATAATTGCAAAATTATGCCCAAAGGCTTATTCCAAACAAAAGAAAGCAAACACTCCATGGTTTTCTCTAAAACGTTCTGTGGATATCTTTAAGATATTGACTAATGATGGTTATTCATAAGTTTTTCTGATTTCTAAATGCCGTTTGTTTGCACACATTTAGTTTGCGTGTTTTTTAAAGAAAAAACAATTTGCAACATCTGACTTTTTACTGAAAGGTATTTGTTATGTATGTAACTGTGTCTGTAATTTGAATGAACAACAAACCTTCATTTTGTGTGATTGAAAATGCTTCCAAGGAAACTTTCACGTTTTCCTAGTATCCCTACAAAGCCGACAAAATGTATGACCTGTTTATAAAAAGTAAATTGTTTTCTTACCATGGCATCGGGCGTCAGATGGGCATCAGTGGAGACCATGCCATCCGGACCGTTGTGAATTTCAGCGTCGTTTTCAACGAAGTCGCGCGGCTTCACCTGGACTCCTGTCCATCCGCTGTATAAGTACGGGGAGAGACCTTCTGAATCTCCGCTTCCTGCTTGGACGTCTCCCTTGTTCCCGTACGGGGGAAGGTTGATGGTAGGCTTATCCTCACCAGTATTGGAGAGGGACTGTGTGGTCATAACCACACCGGCAATCTAACGGAAAAAAGATTCATGGTCAGAATAACAACTTGTGTATTTATGGTATTTTGACTCGCGGAAATAAGCTTGAGATGTCAACAAGACTAGTTGGAAAAAATGAGGCAAATAACGGTATGTAGTATAAGAATTACAGCAAGAGCCTAGACGTATCTACATCTTACTCACAGTTGTTTAAAGCCTGTCTAGTGATGTTGCCCCTACTCTACTTGAGTGGCAGGGAGTTCAAACTATACAGTAGTTCTAACTAGAGAAAAACGAGTTTTTGTACATCTCAATCCTTGAAAGAAGACGAGTGACTAATTGAAAGCTCTAGATCTAGGAGAGAACTATTTCTTGAGTTGGAACAAAGATAAGTTTTAAATTTGAACATGTAACTACCAATTAACACAGATGAACTTTCATGACTGAAATCATAAATTGATTTGGTAGAAAACTTACCGAAGTCACAGCAACGAGTATCAACACGATGATCGCGGCGGCTTTCAAGAACCGCAGACGTCCACCCTTCTGGTCAGCGTGGGTGTCTGAGGGAGGGCAGCGCGGGAAGGTTACCCGGCGGGACCGCCGATTCCTTCGCCGGCCACGTCGTCTCGACATATCGTCACAAATATGAACTAAGGACAGGAGCAGCTAAAATGTACGTCTGTCGCTTCGAACAGCCAGCAGGTAACTGTAAACAATTTTTGTCGAACGCCGTTGCTAGTCTGTTTTTTACGTTCTGGAACAACTTTTCGAACAGCGGTTCGTTGTCCTCAGTTGAACTTTAGTGTAACGCGTCACATTGTCCTTTGTCTGTTCTTAATAGTAGGAAGACACAACCGTACGCCTCGGAACGACATACTTTGTACATATTCAAATTTTGTAACTCCAATCGTTCATTTTGTACTGGAGAGTACGTAATAGAAGGACAGACACAATTCTATTGCCCTTGCCCTAAATTTAGATACACGATGTAAACAGCCAGCAAAAATGATAGACCTAAGCTTAATAAAGTATAGCCTTGTATTTTCTACTTTTTGTAAACGATATATTGATATACTGTAGAAGAGCTTTAGTTCTTTTGTTTCTCCTCCTCATGTATATAGTAATAATTCCTTACGCAAAAGTGTGAAACTGTATGCATGTACAGCATTTAGCCAACCATGATGGGCAAATAGCGATCATTCATCAATTCATTCATTCATTCATTCATTCATTCATTCGTTCGTTCATTCATTCGTTCATTCATTCGTTCATTCATTCGTTCATTCATTCGTTCATTCATTCGGTTCATTCACAACAGCAGTGGGTCTCTTAGTAAACTGCACGTCCTGTAGTTTTCAATGGGACCGTCATTGCTTACTGAGAATCTCTTCTTTTGTCCGTTGGATAAGTGGTTTCAAAATCTAGTCAACCGTGACATGCCTTCGTTCTACGGATTGACCTGAACTTCCACTGTCCTTGGGGTCAACTAAGGACACATGAGTCATGGTCTGGTAGTTTTTTTTCCTTTATTTTATGACGTTTACTAATAATAATTTCTATGACGTATTCATGTACTATATATATGTATATATGATAAATATGTTCGAACGTGTCAAAATATTGTGAAAAGCTGAACGTAATGCATGCAATACTGACGTACAGGGCATGTATGTTTTGTTGTTTTTGTTGTCTGCAGTGAGAATTTTGAGTTAACAACGTTAACTTTCTGTATGAGAGCACGTATATAGTTACATTCCACTTCAAACAGAATTTCTTACATCTCATGCTATAGATAAATTCAATTTCATTCTAGTAGGTAATAACCTTTACTGTGTACAAATAGGTAAATATATCAAAACATTTTTAGACCTTAGAACAAATAGTATACAGTATTGTTTTGTACGTTGGTCAAATTTTGTCGTACCCATGTATCTATGTTTACATGAAAATGTAGTTGGACACTTTTACTATGGAACAAGCTACTGCGTGATTGCTTCCCATGGGTTAAACTTTTTAAGTCAACAAACATCTTTCGTCACTGGCTGTACAGTAACCCGGCCATAGCATTTAAGTGGCTCCCTTGAGCCTTGTTTTCTGGTGAACTATTAAGTCAATAAAAAAAAAGTTGAAGACCTTACGAAAGTCGCTGTACTTTTTGTTGTGTCAATAAAGTTCTACGTGTTGTTTGTGCATCCATTAGCCGACCGTGCTCCGGGCTATATGTAAGCGTTAGCTTATCACACATACCAAAGTCACACCGCCGCTTCATAGCAACGTTAGGATTATCAGATGAACATTAGGGTCTTAGAGGACCTAGTGTGTGGGGATCACACGCTTGTACTTTGCTACTGTGAACCACATGTATACTGTTTGATAGATCGATGTAACAATATGTCGCGACAGCTTGTCCCATAAACTGGACACTTTTATACACTTGGGTCCGATTAAAGAGATTATCGGATTATATTTATTCGACGGCAAGGTATATTTTTGTCTACTTTAATGATTATAAATTGGAAAAGTTTGCTGGTTAGTTTCGTGAGATGAAGTTGATTAATGCCACAACTTCAGTCTCAAGCTGGTGAAATAATGTTAGGTTTGATACACAAAAGCGAACTCTTGGTCACACCGCATGGCCACTGAAAGTGTCAACAAAAGTATAACGTCCTGGGGGAATTCTGTCTAAAACATGGAATTCAAAAGATTAACAGGTGTAATTTTTATAAGGTCTACGGAATCTGCACTTGTATTACATCGCCCGTCGTCCTATGTTTTTGCTCTTTTATGCTGCAACTGTTATGCTTAAGTCAAAACAAAACAAGTAATTGGCGTTCCATTTGACCAGGCGCTACCAAACGCTAGGATTGTGTGGCCACCAAAAAACGCTTTCAACAAAACGCTTTGTGCCCGTGAAAAGACCAGGGTGTTCTCATTTCAATCAGTAAGCTGAAGAACCTATGATGAGTGTGGACAGCGGCGAGAGAAGGGCCCTTTCGGAGTGAAGGCCTTTTCTGTGGTGTTGATAGTGTTACCTGGTTACATCAATGGTGCAGTGACTCGGTACATGTTCCTCAATGAGTGTCTGGTTACCTGGGGGCAGAATGGGCGACGGCGATTGGTCGCCTGTGGCCCCTGTGGAGAAAATGGTGGACTGTGATTGGTCGAAATGACAGGTGTGCATGAAGCCTTGGGGCCTTTGAACGATTCCATTTTCACAGTTTCGCGCGAGGTAGGTTTACATTTATATATATTCATAAACAGCTTTAAAATGTTACACTTATTCTATGAAACTAAATTATTTATACGTTTATAACGTTATTTTTGGTGTATCTTGAGCGTAAATGAGATAAAAATCCTGGCTGTTGTAAATATGTTTTCAGTTTGACTTATCACACCCCTATCAAAAATGTGGAATAGCCTGATGACCTCCCGGCACGAGGTCAGGTTCTATCCTACCAGAACTCGCAGTAGTGGGCGGGGGTGGCACCATAAAGGTGATCCTAACACAAACAGACGGCCACAAAAGGTGACAAATCCAAGGCAACGGACTTGCCATGGAGTCGCCGGGACCGCTTCGGCTGGCCACGCTCCTCAGGACCGCTGTCGTATGTTAGAACTCCGCTGGTAAATTGACAGCTCCACCACCAGACATCGATTTTTCCAGGTTACCCCACACTCCACTCGAACAAGTTGTGACACTGTTTCCACGTTCACCCAAATATTTGCCGGGCCGCCAGCCGCAGCTATTGATCGCTGAGCCGTAAGTACACTTCCTTCTTTGTTGGTCTAATTGTTGTACGTTCGGGGCTCCACCAACCAAGGGATTAGGCCTCCCCGGTTTCGAGAGGTTTTTCTCACGATCTACTGAAGTGATCCTTACGACTCAACCGGAAAATCCTTGCAGACTGAGACGTTTTACTCCAGTTTCTTGTCCTAGACTACAACGTTTTTCTTAAGGTATAACTTGTATTAAGACAGTATCTTGTGTACGTTAAGGGCACACCAATGTCGTAGCTGGGAAAAACAGGTGAGATTCCCATATGGGTCACAATTACAGGTGTCCACAGGTGTTCTGTGGTCTATCCTGCGGTGTCTGTATCTAGAACCGTGCTTTATCCAAAACTACGCACAGACGCTGTTCTGGAAAGTCCAGAACAAATCCTGAAACAAATCTACCTTCTCGGATACCTGAAAACTATCCAGTTCTACTCTAACTAATACTTACTGTATGCCTGATCCTTAACCCTAACAGGCATACCTCGTACACTGTATATAGAACTGGATAGGCACAGCTCTGGATACTTTGGTGACAAGTACAGCTGACAAGTACTATATATTAGTACAGCCTGAGCCAGGGTGCTGACAGAATCATTATTATATAGTATATTAAATTTTATTAATATATCATTAATCTAAATAAGAGGGCATATACAATTTGGCTGGTGTTGTTGTCTAGATAGGTAATTTGCATTGATAAGTTATATGTGAACACCTTTATAGGAGGTATGTAGATCTAGAGACTCTGCAGTGCTTTTGTTATATTGTAATGTTGACAGCTGATCATTTGGGTAAAATTTTTTTGAGTTAACTTTGCCAATATAAACTTCCTTCAGGTTTTTGTGTAACTTATATATATAACATTATATATATATATATATATATATATAATGTATACCTGACTGCTTGAATCGTTTATTAAAATAAGACTCTCTATACAGAGTCTTAGAAAATGAGGCGTTACATAAAAGTAATACATATTATACGGGTCCAGATGACCCCATTTGACTGGTACTGTACACCGAGCACCCATATTAGAGTTCTATCATGACTCTGCACTTTTGCTGGCTGTCATAATGCTCATATTACCTGTAGTGTACTTCTGTTCAGATGAATATGTCTGGCGTTCGTGTTTTGATAACATAATGTACTAACTAAGTACACAAACTAGATAAGAGGGAAGTATGGTTACTTAACACGACCTAGCCAGGGATCAAAATACCACCTGCATGTGCAGGTTAGTGCAGGTAAAATTGGAGCTGTGCAGGTATTTCTGATGTCTACCTGCACCTAACCTGCACTGGTCCATGTACTGGGTATATGCATTAGTTACAAATGTAAATTGGAGCTGTGCGGGTATTTCTGATGTCTACCTGAACCTAACCTGCACTGGTCCATCACAAAACCACGCAGCCCCAGCCCCTTGAAGAGCCTTAAAATTAATGTTTGGTGTGGAATTCTTGTACCTAACATTAACTGTACTTTCCAACTGTTCAAGCATGTAGGGCATTGACTTCTACCACAGTGCTACCAAACAAAATTTGCACGCATGTCATGTTGCCAAAATACCGATGCCCCACTTGAACTGCCTGGTATGTGCAGAAATATCCGGTGTACACGGGAATATTCTGATGAGAGTTTAGAAAGGGGACTCAATGGTATGGTAGAACTTAAGACAGTGTTTAAAAAGTCCTAAAGAAATGCATATGGGTGGGATGTTCTTGTTTTAATTTTTATGATCCGGATGGACGGAAGTAGTAGTCTGCTTAATTGTTTTGCCCTAAAATAAAGAAATGAAGACTTGGATCACAATTTAACTGGTACTAGTGGTAGGCTGTACTTTAATTGTTTACTACATTTCTCCACACTGCGATTTTTAAACTAAAGTCAGACTACTTCTTCTGACTCTTGAGTTGAAGTTTTTGAACTGAAGAGGCAGAGAGTAGAGTTTCTCACTCTACATATGCACAGTATTGCTTCCTGTTACCAACTTAAGTCTACCTGAATAGATACCTGAGTACTTCGCAGAGCTTCAGAGTATCCGCTTTACTGATTGATGGAGATTCATTCAAAGCCATTCTGGTCTACGTGGCGTTCGACCACACTTGAAACTGAATACTTCCACCAATACGCTTGCCATTGAAAGGCTCTTCAACTCATTGCTATACCTTTTTGCTGTGGCACAGTTTTTTTTTTGGTTTGACTGTTTTATGCAAATAAGAATGATTAGGACAGGTACTGATTTCTTAAACTTTAAGCTAAAGGCACCCAAAGTCAGATGTCAGGGCAGTAAAGTTTTCAAGCCAATTTTCTGGTCATTCTGTCGCTGACAGGAAATGGTTGCTTGTTTTGTATTGTAGACTGGTTCTAGCTATTTATTGGTGGTACCAAAAAATAAAGGTACTAGCTTATTTCAAACGCTTCAAGTATAAATGACGATGTGGAAAAAAATGGCAGTACGTTAAAATATCAATATCAGAGTGATTCAGACAGATTTTCCCATCCAGAATACGTCTTGCTTTGTGGCCCTCAAATTGTATTAGAATTGCCTTTAAGTTTAAGCAGTCACAGCTATAACAACATCACGTATGATGTCACGCAATACCAACTTTCTTAAGTTACAAGAGCCCTTCAAATCCTCCAGCAAAGAAGATGACGCAGAAGAAAGAAACTTAAGACTCATGTTGTAGCAATGTTTTGTTTCCATTTCAAAAGTTACTCCAGGGATATGCACTCAGCCAAGTAGATCTAACATTAGGGTGTTTGTAAGGATTATTAAATATAGAGCAGGTATTCAAAGAATTTTGTTATTTTTTCAAATGCATGTATCATAATTAAAAGTTGTCTGTTGGATATATGCAAACTCCTATTTAGTTTTTAAATAAGGCCATACGGTACCAATTTAATCGTGGTTTTTGGACTTTCCCGCTTAATTTTTGTTCTGATTTGCAAAACAAAAAAAAATCAGGTTCTTTTGAATCAGCTCCAAAATGCGCATATTTAAACTGGTGTGGCCTTACATACGATTATTTATTAAGAGTTATAATTATGGCCCACTTGAACCTTGATAATGTGCTTTGTGCGTCCGGTCGAGATGTAATGATCTAGACTCAGGTCTCCTTCTGTAAGCAAACCCAGACGTCAAGTCAATATTATATCGTCACACAGACCTGTCACAGTCTTAACCTCCCACGATGGATCAGGTGCAGCACTCCTCTCATTAATTATTATATATCTCATCAATTATTATATTGCACTCTCCAACTATTGGAGGAAGGCACAAAAGGGTTTTTGAGTACACAGTCGGGTACTTTTTGCACCAGAAGGTCAAGGCCTTGAATGCCAGCCTGACTTTCGAGGACCAAAATTGCCTGTAATCTGTTGGCTAGGAGGTTGTTTTATTAGCAAATTAGCAATAATTCGAATTCTCTGCCATTCTTAAGTGCATTTTCATCATCATTATGGAAAACAAAGAGGTTTAATATAGAGACGAAATTCAATACTATACAGGAATCAAATTATTGTACCCTGCTAGGTTTCATGTTATGATAATTCTCATGATTAAGCTTACATAAACTTAAGGTCGTAATATAAAGTTAGTTAATTTGTGTTGACTTTGATTTTGTTGTGACTTTTTTTAAAAGTATTATCTTTCGAAAAGACAAAGGATGAATCTTTTAAAACCGTTACTCAAACATTAGCATAATCTATCAAAGTCTGACACATGTTTACAAAGTGCGCTCAGTCAGCGGAACCTTTTTTGGCGTCACGACTTTGTGAAAAAAACTTCGAAGTTTTTCGGTGATCCCCTGTCAGCGCGAGATTAAGTGACTCTTTTAAACCCGGCACGAAGCCTGTCCGCAGAGGTGGCAGCGCGTGAATAATCCGGGACGATACTGACATTCCACCTGTTCAGCACGCACAGTAGAAGAACAAATACGCACGGTGTTGCCATAGCAACGACCAGTACGCTGTCACTCTTAATTGTCCCCCCTAACACTCAGCAGAACTAAGTTACGTAAAGCGTATTCAGCCATCCAGACGTTGTAGGGTAATTAAATTGACACACATTGTACTTAAAGTCATTAGTTTTCTTCATACAACTGCGTCACCATTGCCAAGCCTTCACAAAAGACTTCAAATCCAATCTCATGAGAGACACAAAGCACGGACAGAATGTTTTTTCTAACAGTAATTTCTTTGCCACAAGTTTTAAAACAAATGTCTGTTTGAAAGGAGAAATAAGTTTGGGGCTTAAGAGATGCTATTGTAGAAAAAACAGAAAACTGTTATGGGATAAACAGAATGTCAAACAACAGGGTTTTTACCAGCATGAAAAGGCTTTACTGTTGCTTGTAATGTAATATTAGGACTGTGGCTAGTACTGACACAAAAAGTCATTGAGCTTGAGAAGTGACCACAGCCTGACATTGCAGTAGTCTACTTTGTTAGTACACTCATACCTGGCAACGGTTCAAAAGACACTTTTACAATCAATAGAAAAGTCAACCTTTTGGTGACAGTGACGTCTTTAAAAATTCAGACTTCCAGAGAATGATAGAAACAGAGATTGATTGTGCTATGGTCTTAAATTATAAAGTGTTATGAAATATTACTGACTGTACATGATCGAGTAACAATGTCAGCAATCACATAATATTACACAATCATGTAAGTATCCACTAGCAGAATGTTAGAAATTGTACAGTTTGTCACTCAACAAAAATTATATAACACAGTGCCAAAACATTATGTCACACTTAAATGTTCTTTGAATTACATGCAATCTTTGCAGAATTTTTTTCCATTTTATAATCATTAAGGTCAGTAACCCCCTCCCACACATGTTGTTACATGTGATCCTGACTCCCATTATGTTGAGTAGTATCGGTTATAAAGCAGAGTTCGTTCTGGCATGTGCAGTCCTATAGAACCATGTGAATGTGACAGACAATACGGTAACCTAGCAACCCGATCTCTGACCGGCTGTGGGCCACTTTCCAGTCCACCTAACGCCAGTATGTCCAGTGAAGTGACCAAAGAAACTTAAACATAGAGCCATATACAGTCTGGTTTCCCTATCACTAGTATCAAAGGTAACCAATAAACTTTCTTGCTTCCAGAGGAAACAAAACAGTGTGTGTTGCATAAGCCGGTGTGTTATGCTCATGTTACCTGCCACAATCGCTTACCTTCTATTTATAGTGTCCGGTGTGACCTGTGCTATTGTTGCACACACAAAGCTGGGCCACACTAGATGCACCAGTACCCGCTACTGAGTATAACGGCTAACTAAGGTCATAAAATGAAGAAAAGGACAAATTTTCATAGCTTTTGTGGTTAGGGCATGGCAGAAAATACTACAACAGGTGAGGTCATAAGTTGTACTAACCCTTGTACTTTTTTCTGCATTACTGCATTCAGGTGCAGGTAACATTGAAAATCACCTGCACCAGACAAATTTTATCTGAACCACTTGGAATTCAGAAGTACAGATCTAACATATTTAATCTAAAAACTGTTCAGAAACTATTGCCATTATTGCTTTTATCAAAAATGCTTTTACACTTAATAGGTCGTAGCAGTCAAATATACCTAAGTACATATACATTGAATTTTGTAATTATGATATTAGCACTGCCCTATAAATGGACCAGTGCAGGTTAGGTGCAGGTAGACATCAGAAATACCTGGCATGCATAGCTCCAGGTTTGCCTGCACTAACCTGCATATGCAGGTGGTATTTTGGGCCCTGCACTGTGAGGTATGTAAAAAGTTCTGTCATGCCACATTGGGTTTCTTTCAGGCAGACAAGTGCAGTACGAAAAGAGTTTACCTAAGGCTATTTGTATAGGCCAGGCTTCTCTGAGGCTTGCATGACTTGCAGTTTGAGTTTTAGAAATTAAAAGGTTTAAACACGAGAATAAGTTCTTACACTGTAACAGTTGTTTTGCTTTGTTGCAGATCCAGTATGAAGGAAGAGAAGCAGACCAGTGCAGATCCATCTACAAAAGTCTCTTCAACATGACTGAAAAATCACAAAGTTAACGTGTGGGAAACTTCCTACAATGGAAGAACATAAGACTATGTGAAGACAAAACTCTGACATTTTTTCTATCATTCCGTCCATTTATAGTAAGAAAAATGTCATCTCAAGGTGAAGATAAGGCGCTGATATTCCGTCTTTCCGATAACGTGCCGGAAGTGGTACGACAAGTTCTGTTGGAGCGCTCGTGGTTAGAGTGGGATGAAGACCTACACGAGGAGTATGACTGGAACTTGCACTGGCGTACAACGAGATTCCGAGTCTCCGACTATAATCAGACGATGTCATGGCAGCGGCTCAACCACTACCCGAAGACAGACGCCATCACGAAGAAGGACTGTCTGGCTCGTAACCTGCGGCGCATGAGAGGCGTGTATGGCCCGACGGTCTACAGCTTCAGCCCGCAAGCGTTTAACCTTCCTAACGACTACACAAAGTTTGTAGCAGAGTACACGAAGATCAAGCAAACAGAACCCGACAAGCCGCACTTCTGGATATGCAAACCTGCGGACATGTCGCGCGGGCGCGGGATTTTCATATTCCGTGACCTCGGCGAGCTGACGTACGACTGTCAAGCCGTGGTGCAAAGATACATGACCAACCCGCTGCTCATATCCGGTTACAAGTTCGACCTCCGTATCTACGTCTGCGTACCGAGTTTCCATCCCCTGACGGTCTACATCTACCAGGAGGGTATTGTACGCTTTAGCACCGAGAAGTTTGACCTCTCCACTATTGACAATGTCTTCTCCCATCTTACCAACACCAGCATCAACAAGTTTAGCCCCTCCTACTCTACAGACAAAGAGCGCGTAGGGCCAGGGTGCAAGTGGACCTTGTCGCAGCTCCGGACGTATTTCCACCAATCCAATCTCGATGACCGCATGCTGTGGCAACGGATCAGCAATATCGTGACCTTGACGCTGCTGTGTCAGGTTCCGACTGTTCCGAAGGCGCCGTACTGCTGCGAGCTGTTCGGTTTCGACATACTGATAGACGAGAATATGAAGCCGTGGCTGCTGGAGGTGAACTTCAGCCCCGCCCTGAGTGTGGACTGCCAGGCTGACTTGATAGTCAAGAAGCCGATGCTGCACGACTTTGTTGAAATCATGAACTTCAAGGAGTCGGACTGTGAACGGGGTGGCCAAGAGTTCCGTGCGAGTAAAATCAACGCAGCCTACAGCGCCTCCTCGCCGCGATACAGTCGTACTCTCCGGCATAGGGGCAGCTTTAATGCTAAGCAGAGTCCCTCGCCAAGGGCGGGCATGGTTTCCACAGGGAACGGGAAAGGCCTGAAGCAGGGGTCGTCCCGTACTAGCCCGACGTTGCCTCCTCTGTCACCGCGCCGCGGCTCCACCACAAGCCTGGGTAGCAGCACCAGCAGTCAGAGCCCCAGTCTCAGTGGAGACGACGCAACTGTAGAAGAGGACGGAGATGGTTGCCATAGAGACGGTAACCATGGTGAGGGCGAGGAGGAAAGTCGACTAGAGCCCATCAAGGAGGGACGTAGAACCGACTACACCTCCCCGAGGACCACGCCTGTCCAGAATCTAAATCGGAGGTTGTCGCTTCCTGAGGTTCAAGGCCAGACTCCCGGTCAGAGGAAGAAAATGTCGTTCCAAGTAAGGAGGGAAAAAAGCAAGAGCCATAAAATCACCACGGCAACTGCAGCGCGCAGGGCACAGATGTTAGAGGAGCAACGAATCAAAACAAAGTCTGCCCCCTCCACAGACCAAGTGGCCAATCCCGGCAGTGCCTCTCCTAAGTCATCAGCCAACCAGGAGGCAGTTTCAAATGATGAACAGGGCAGTGCATCAACCAATGATAACAAGTCTTCTGAAAAGGGAGCCAATGAAAACATTGTGGAAGAAGAGACAGATGAGAGTAGTACAGGAAACAAAGGTGTCTCTGCTGAAGAAGACACCTCAACCGTAACTAATACCCAAGATAAGACATCAGTTACTAAACCAAAGGTGCAGAGCCCCAGGAGAAGGTACTCTTATCCCTTAAACCGACAATCTAACCAATCTGCACAGGTGGGAAATTCAGGTGTGAACAGAACTGATACTGGGCGTAGGGTCAGTCTGTCCAGTACCCCCACTTCCATGACAAGCGGTAGCAGGCCGCGTAGACCACTGTACCAGAGAACTACTAATGTCGCTCAGGACTCCGAGAACAAGAACAGGGCGCAGGGCCCGCTGCCCCGGGTAGGAGATTTCATCCTCACGTATCCGTTCAACGAGGCGACGAAGAAGGCGTCGTGGCCGAACGTGGACCAGCGGTCGATCATTCGTGAGCTGCAGAAGCAGCTGAGACAGACGCTGAAGCACGTCCAGACGTGTAAGACACAGCGCACGACGCAGGATATCATCACCGGGGGCAACATGATGACCAACATGTACGGGCAGGGGCAGATGGAGGACAGCATGAGGTGGGGCCCTGTGGCCTTGACGACCACAGGTCACGGATAATCTGCAGGTGATTATACCATGGTTGAAATAACTTTGTGTTGTATACTTTTTTTTCTTTTGGAAGAGGTCAATGTAATAAGTTAAATGATATGAAGCATATAATTCTAATTAATCCCCATTTACTATTTCAGCAAGCAGTTTAACCCACTCACAGAGTGTTCTACTTCTAGTCAGTGCCTCTTTCCGTCATTTGGTAGAATTTTGCTACTTGGTGTGTTAAGATTATGGAAAGAGAATTGTCGTTAAACTAAACTTAAATCTACTGGCAAAATTTGCCTAAATGAAAATGCAGGAACTTAAGTATTTCAGAGGGTAAAAATTTCTTGGGAGAGCATCATTCCCCTGGATCCCCAAGCCTAATGTGCCTTACATGCTCAACAATATTCATTGATATCTCATGATGTCAAGCAATATTAACCCGACAGAAAATTTAGGCTGGCTACAACACTGGTTTAACCCCATACCAATAGAGAATTGGTAGCCTGGAGCCATTACTTCAGTATTCCCATGAAAGGGCAAGTGTTTTTCTTGCCTTTATGCTATAAATACAACAGCTAAACTGGAGAAACAGCTTTGGCCTCCCACTGAGACTAAAACTAGCGACCTTAAAATTGGGATTTTCTTCAGGTCATCTTGGAGGAAAACATGCATTACTAAAGCTACTACTAAAAACCCATATAGAGCCTTAACGTTGCAAAGACTTGGGGAAGAAAACCTGTTTATATGCAAATCCTTCTTTCAACCCTCAGGAAGTACAGAGTATATCTACCTATCTAGCATATCTACCAGGTTATACTTATATTCATACAGGCTGAATAGGAGATATAACAGACTTACATTATATTCCCTCCTACATGTAACTCAGCTTTTAGGGTGCATTAAATTGGCAACAGGGGTTTAGGTTGGTGAATGAGACAAAGAATTTTCAGCAAATGTGTTTTTAACTTATTTTATAATTGTATTTCATAAGTGTCCTCATGCAAGTTTTACTTTCAAATTCAATTGTATTGTTTAAGTTCAATCACTAGAGATTGCCAAAGCGAAATAAACAAGAAAGAAAAAAATCTAATCAAAATTCATCCCCATTTTGAAACACATGTCCAGCACGAATTCAAATTAATTTGTAATTCAAATAATGATTATCATAATTTATAATGTATACACATTGACAAAAGGCACATTTTATGAACATTGTACTTAGATCCCCAATAGGCCCCAAATAAACCTACTATATGATTTTTTTTCTTTCCAGGTTTTGTCACCTTGAGTATACTACAAGGTCAACCTGCAGAAGTTGGTTACCAGGGTAACATGTTTCCATGACAACCATGCAATAACAATACCAAGCTGCTGCTTTGAAGGAAGATGTCACTGACCCGATGTACAATAGTAAAGACTTTAAGAATTTGTCACCAAGGAACAGTTCTTGAACAAGTTTTAAGGTTGCTCATGCACTCCTTGTGTGACAGTGTTACCCAGAGAGTTCCAGATGTTTACTACTGGGTATATAGCTTGCCAGCTGTATACATGTGAAGGAAGCACATGTATCAGGTGTCTAATGTATACTACTGCTACTTTTAAGTAAGGCTACACCAATTTAATTATACGGTTCTGGGATCTTTCTGAAGCAACAGGGTGAAAAACCCCAAAACAAAACAAAAAAAAAGCCTCAATTATCCTAAGATAACAGGCCTAAATGCTACCACTGAGAGCCATACGACATCACCCAGATGGTGAAAATAAATAAAGAATTTTGAACTTTCATCCAAACCGCTGCATTGATAGATCGAAAAACTACCAAATAGAAAATTTAGACAAGGAATTAATTTTCTCAAACAAATTTGGAGCCAAAGTATGATCACTTCGGAGTTCATTCAGAACCTGTTTTTTTTTTTTTGCAAATCAGAAAAAAAATGAAGTCAGCAAATCCAAGAACCAACTAATTAACTTGGTGGGCCTAATTAATATATTATGACATAATTTTGTGACTGACAATCCGTCCAAAAATGCTGCTGTGTAAGGAGTGTGCACTGCACATGGTTTGCATATTATATATAATGTTACTTCACATAATCTATCAATATTGAGCTTGTTAAGAGATATAGGAAGTGAATGAAATTGTTTGTAAGGTTGAAAAGGGGTCTTTTGTCTGTCTTTGTGAAGACTGACACAGCCGAACAGTAGGCAACCTCGTCAATCACCAGCCAACCTTGCTCCCAACCTACTCCTAACCATGGTTGGGGGGAGTTCGGCAGTGTTCAGTAGGCCATGTTCAGTTATATGTTACAGGGGCTTCAGAAACAGTGACATACTAAACACCTACAGTCAAGCTAAGTAAAGCTTGTGTGTGTTTTAGTGTACACTGCACAATTTCTAAGGTTTTAATAGGAAAACATTCTATGACATCTTTAAACGTTTTGGGTATAGAACATTGCAGTTTACTGTGTATCTACCAGGAGCAAATGTAAAAAAAAGGAGCATTGGTGATATTGCAGTTGTTTGATAAATATACACAAAAGGGGGAGAATTCTGAAATGCTTTAATGTTTTTAAAGGATGTTTGATCCTGGGAAGCTGGTGCTACAGACTATATGCAATTTCAAACAGATATTGATTCATACAAGCATGTACAATGTAGTAGAAAAGTACTACATGTAGGTTAAGCACAATTGTTTCAAACACACCCTTTTGTTTAATGTTCTGAATGTATTTTTGTGTACTGTAACTGTTGCTCTTATAAATACTTCACTGTTCTAGCCAGTGCCCATCTTTCCGTCATTTGAAGGAATTTTGCTGGTCATGACTGACAAAAAAATTACCCGATCCGTGATGTTAAGATATGGAAAGAGGTGTCATTTATAATTTTAAAGTAAACTTTGTCAGAGTACCAAGTAAACTTTGTCAGAGTACCAGCAAAATTTGCCTCTCAAAATGCAGGAGTTTAGTGTTACATTTGGTCGAGATTTCAAAATTGAGACAACGAAAAAAAAGTCAGGCTGGCCAGAACTTGTCTTCATTCAAAGTCTTTAAGTCATCAAAGCAAAACAACAATGTTACACCAAGTTCAGTTGGACATTTCTGTCAATAGTTAAATCTTTGCTTATTAATGCAGTTTTGCATTGAATTGAGGACTGATATTACTAAGAAATTACTAAATATGACAGAACAATTTATGAATCCATCCAGTTTTGAAAACTCTTTATCAGTATGGTACCGTCCCTTCAAAATAATGATTTCTAAGTTTTCAAATTTAAAAGCTAGAGTCTATCTTTTTTCAAATCATTTTGAACAGATGTTACTGAGTTATTTTTATAAAGTTATATAATGAGTAAATCTAACACTTTAAATGTCACTCTGTTTTTGTAATTGTTCTCTATATATGTGTGTGTGTGTTTTGGTCATAGCAATTATGATCATATATGTACGGCTCTAGGATTCTTGCTTGCTGTGAGTTAAAAGATGTTTTGCTATATATGTGTGCCTTAAGAGGGATGATTGGGCTTAGCTATGCTAAACTTGTCCTTGTTGAAATAAAAAATTCACTATGAAGGACCATACTACTGTTGACTTTGTATCTGTTGAGTCTATCACTTATTTATTTCTTATTTATCCGATTTATTTGAATTGTTACTTACGATATGAAGGGAGGCCTCCTCATAAGCATTTTATGCTTCCGGCCTCCCTGCACTGTTACATTTCATTTATATTTTCTTGTATCTGTATTGTTACATTTTGTTTTAAAGTGCGAATAAAAACTGAAACTAAAGCTATCATTTGCAGGGGTCTAAAAACAACCTGTATATATAATTATATACATATATTATATTATAATATTTTTAATGCAAGTATTGCAGGTAAGATTGGACTGACTATTTTACAAACTGGGGTAAGTTCACAAAATCTTGTGGCAGTGCAATGGGGATAATATACCATTGACATAAAGTATGTCCCAGGCAATTATATGTAAGGCCACACCAATTTAAGTGATTGGTTCTTCTTGGATTCACCCACTTCATTTTTTTTTATTTGAAAAAAAAAAACAGTTTCAGGTTCTGAACCAACTCCCAGATGCTCATATTTTGGCCCAAACAGTGGAAGAAAGCCTCTTAAGATTTTTTCATCTATTAATGCAATTTGGTTTTATAAAAAGTTCTAAATTTATTGTAATTAGTTATAAACCAGACCGGTATGTTGACATCATGGTTCCTTTAATAGCTTCTGGGGCTATCATAGGATGCCTGGGTCTGTTTTTATTTTTTCGCCCTGTCGCATCATATTGTTTTTGAAAAATAATCTGAGAACCAACAAATCGAATTGGTGTGGCCTAAAGCAAGAAAAAAATGATTTGATGCTTAGTTCCAAAAATCTATAATATATATATTGCACAAAACGTGACATGTGTTCAAACAACCAATACCACTCTCGCAGGTTCAATATTCCCAAATAAAGACGTTCAATAGTCCGATATACCGACGCCGTAGCAGCCCAGGACCTCCAGCCTCATGCTGATCCAGTTGTGCCAGGTTAGCGCCACCACGCGGATGTACCTGGTAGTGACAGGCGGGTGAAGGGCCTGAACAACGGGGGTCGTCGCATCACTGTTACCTGTGAAAACCTGGTTAAAGGGAAGAAAAAAAAAAACTGGTGAAAAATGGAAAATCGTCGACGGCGGCGGTACAGTCAACATTTTTATTTCACGTTGAGGGAAAACAATATTGTTTCTGCTGTATCTTCTTCTACAAACACATAAGGTCTATGACCTGGACCAGACGTCTGTTACCATGGTAACTGGTGCTGTAGGAGACACCCTACATTATGTAGCAGTACATAGCTGGTCACCATATACTCGTACAAATGCAAATGAATGCTTTTGATTGAGACCAAACAGAACAGTGTTTATAAACTATCTTGCCTCTCTTTTACCATTCAGCTTTACAAGCAGTTGGCATTATCGTAGGGAACACTTCTTGCGACACAAATGATTTGCTTCTGAAGGTAATTAGAACCTTAAATGGGTTTCTATTTTAGTGGTCTACCTTATCCAAGCCGTCCAAGTCCCTGTATGTTGTCCAGGAGTCGCCGTCGTTGCTAAACAGGAGCTTGTATGACGTCACATATTGCGGTACACTTGCAATCAGTAGGGCGTCTCGACCTTGTGTCACCACTCCCGAAACCATGGAAAAGCCCAGATCAACCTAAACCAAAAGCATCGCTCATATCACAAATCAAAGGCATTTTACATTCATCCAATAATTTTAACTTTTTAAAGAAAAATTTGGGAAACCTTTTAAATCATTTAGGAGGGTGGGGGTCATTATGACTCTAAGTGCACAATACATTACCATATCGATGAAAACCAAGCAGAAGACTGGCCTTTTTATGAAAGAAGAAGTGATGCAGTTTTTTAATGCGGGTAAGCGCTAATTCACTATAATTACAAAATATCACTATAATTACAAAATATAGAAAGATGCAAGGTGGCCAATTATTTGAGTCACAAATCGTCATCACACCCACGCCACCCAACCAGCTATTCCCATTTTTGCCCCCGGCCAGCTTTAAAAAACATTTCTAGTTCTACCTGTATCCACTCTCCGGCTGTGGTATTCCCCGCACACCAGGCCGCAGTGCCCGCCTGGTTCAGCCGGCCCAGACTCGTCCTGCACGTCTCACCACCATGTTCAGACGACGCGGTTATTCTGTCGTCCAGAACGTGTCGGGACTCCATTCCCAAGGGTGATCGGCAACCTATCGAAGAAAACAATTAGCCTCCTTCATCAACGCATGAGACACAATATTGATACAGCGTTTTGAACAGTTTTTAACGCGTTATTTTAATAGCCGGCCATCCTACAATCCGAGAGAACGCGTTAAAAACTCTTCAAAACGCTGTATCAAACTTCCCACTCACCCAGGAGCCTGCACACACACACACACACACACACACACACACGTACACACACGTACGCACACACGCACGCACACACGCACGCACGTACGTATACCCACACACAAACACACACACACACACACACACGAACGGGACCGAAAATGAAACTTCTTGGAGAAGGTAATGAGATCTCTGTTCAGCGCTCTTTGTTCGAAAACTATTTCATTCACTTTATTTCACTTCACTGTATATCCTAATTTCTTGAACGAAACTATCATCAGATGCTTTCGCTGAGTTCTAACTGACTTACCAGTGTCCATACACCCCAGGACTTCTACTCTCATGCTTTGATGTCGGTTCCAGCTCTGGACAACAAACCGGATGTATCTGGTAGAAACCGGCGGGCGGAGGACGTGAGTTACCTCGGTGATAGTGTCCGTGTTTCCCGTAAAAACCTGATATAAAAAAAAAATAACATTGCCATGTACACACTACCGGTGCAAGTGGGTACTGTGCTCGCCAAATACACGTCAAACACACTCCACTACCATTGAACTAGCCCCCTGCTAAAGTGATTGCAAAACTGTGTGGCCCAAGGGCTACTGAACCGGAGATGGGCTCCGCCCTATGCATCACGTGCGTTAACTAACTTTTACACTATAGGTGGTTCTCTATCTTAAGCCCCATGCACATATCCAGGACCTTCTCCAGACCACCAACCAACCAAATCGGGTAACGTTGAAGTTAGGGAGCAGTTTGACCACATTTATGCTTAACCTACCTTTCGACACGAATCGAATCAAATTTGAGTTAAATTCGAGTCATATTAGACTTGTAACCACTACCACTGCTGACCTATTCCCGGCCACTAGCCAACCAGTCATCACGGAAATAAACACGCAGACCCTCATACAATCCGACCAGACGGCCGTACCTTATCTGACCCGTCTGAGTCCTTGTAGGTTGTCCAGGAGGTTTCATCCCAACTGAACCGGAGGTTGTATGACTTCACCCACTGGCCAGTATTCGCCCGACCCTGAGTTATAACTCCCTGGACCTTCGCTACTCCGCCCAAGTCAACCTGTACAGCAAACATGTTACCCATGTTACAACTTTCTTCCTATATTTTTAAATAAAAATTTTAAATTTAGCTTGATGCATCTAAAATTGTTCCACGCCATATCTTTTTTTTTTTCGTCCTTAATATCTCTGTAAGTGAATTCTACGGGCCAATTTGTTACTGTATTTGCAGCCATTAATTCAGTTTTTAATTTAAATTTATTATAAAAAAAGAAATGGCAGAAGAACATGAACATCTGATAGTTTACATACATACAAAATATTCAGACGTCTTTCGCACACTACTAGCAATACACAATACATTAATGTTGTAAAACTTTACTCTAAACTGAACCAAGCGCAAACCAGTACCAAGAGGCCACGTAGCGAGATATTAGACGTTAAACAAGTCAGCAACAACAACAACAAATACAGCACACAAAACATACTGCTGGGAGATTAAGCACAAACTACGATAGACTGGGCAACGGGCTAGGCCCTTCCCAACATTGTACCTGTAGCCACTGTCCTGGAGTGTTGACACCTCCTACCCAGCTTCCCGTCCCTATGATTTTGTTGAGCCGGGCGAAGTACGAATGATGAGTGTTGCTCCAGGATGACGATGCTGTGATACTGCTGTCCTTGATACGTCCACTCTCCAGTCCCAGCGGCTCTAGACAACCTTACAGTCAAGAACAAGAAGTCTGAGATTCCAAACCTCCGGGAAGTGTATGATGCATAAAGTTCACTGCTGACCTTTGCAGACATTAATCATAATGCAATGTTAATTAACAGTAACGCCACATAACTTGATAAAATGGGTGATATCACGTACAATTATGCTGCACAGTACATGCAAATAAAAACTTCCTGAATCTACATTGTAGTGTGGTAAGGCCTATTAGTCCCACAAGGCTTAACTCCTACAGTGGACAACAGCTGTTGATAGATGATACTACATTGCATACCGCACGGGGTGTCGAATTTTTATACCTGAGAATGAAGATACAAAAAAAGAAAATAATAACCTGGACACCTGGTTACTAGCCATATACCAAACAAATACGTCGATCGAAGGCCGTTTTCTTGTCAAAATGACAAAAAAATCTTCTGCTAAAATTGTTGATTCTTAAACAAAGCGGCGTCAATACGACTACGACGCAAGCGGCATTTGCCTGGTGTCCTTTTATTCTTTCAACCGTCAACATCATTACTAGCATTTTATCTCTCAACAGTAGTATGAAAAGAGCGAACTGAATTACCGGTGTCCATACAGCCCAGAACTTCCACCCTCATGGCGACATATCCGGACCAGCTCTGTGCGACAAAGCGGATGTACCAGGTGGACACCGGCGGGCGGAGGGTGTGAGTTACCGCGGTAGTACGATCTGTGTTGCCTGCGAAGACCTGATTTCAAGAAAATCTGTTAGTAACAGTACTCATGGAGCTATCTTTTTTTTAGCATTGGGATACGACATTGCCTGAGTGTGCCAATGCGTTTTATTATTGTATATTTCAGCCTTATTACAGTAATACACTACATGTAAAATGAAATGTCAGGGAAACAGAATATTTTCTTTGTGTATCCCATTTCAAACACAACAACAGATGATAAATGATAATAAGCAAGACTAAGTGGAGCCCTGAATTAGATAAGTAAACAGTAATGGCAAAAATTAGTCGTTAACAACAAAACAATAATAATAACAATAATGATAATAATGGTAATTTTTCAAACATGTAGACCATCCTTATGTAATATTTTTTGCCACATGGAAGAGTGCAGATAAGATGTTCTCAACAAAGGGAACACAAATTAGGACTGCATTTAACTTGTAATATTGCAGCAGTAATACCTAGATGCAGTTCGAATCAGATATGATTGGAGCCTTGAGCATACATAGCTTCAAATCCAAAAGTCCTTATATTTGACTGCCCTTTCAGGGACGACATCAGTCGACAAATTGTCGAGTTTTACTTTACGTGACAACTTTACGTACCTTATCTGACCCATCAGAATCCTTGTAGGTTGTCCAGGAGGTTTCGTTCAAGCTGAACTGAAGCTTGTACTGCGTCACCCACTGGTCAGCATTCATCCGACCTTGAGTGATGACTCCATGCACCTTGACAACACCTCCTAAATCAACCTGTACACGTTAAGCAAAATATGAATACTGGGCACTGAATCGGTATTTCGTGAGGGGAGTAAAAGAGGCTATCTAAATTAGAGTTTACCAGCCGACAATCAACCGAGACGGGGGCCGATATCGTCTACCAGGAAATTACGATTCATTACTCGAGTCACCTGTTCCTAACGTCACGTGCTCAGAGCAATCAATCAACATCACTTATGAAGAAGATCGACGTAACAGTGACTGAAAATTCGAGGTGAGCTACTTCTACGTATACTGAATGAAAAATATCAAATTTCATCATGCACAGTTAACAATTATTCCTTATTATTATTAACAATTAGCATATTACATACATTAACTTTGTTCTTTGATAAATCTAGATACCACAGAGAAAGGACACATGCAAGGAAGCATTCCTGAAATGTTTGTTTCGTTTATCAGGATCTCCACTTAGAGTTACATAATTTCACGAGAAGGAAAATATCAGATTGTGCTGATATACATATTTGCCGCGGTGAAACAGAAGATCTAGGCATCTAGATGCAAGGCAGTGTTTGAGCAGGTGCAATCCTCACACACGGAACTGGTGACATCTATTAAGGAGTCATTGAGGTCGAAATTGCGTACGGAGTTTGTCCGCCTCGGGGCTTCAAACTTTGAGGCCTCGTGGTGTGACTCCGTACGCTGGGCTAAGACCGAAGGTGACAGGCTGCGTCTCCGTTTTTAGTAATCTGTCCTGTTACTGTATGTAGCAACATGTGGAAAATTGGAAAACCGAAATGTCTGTCTTTTATGTCATTATTTTATTTTGATGTGTCAAGTTGGTAGGAGTGGGTTGGTGGGAGCACTTGGACAGTAACCTGTCGTGGGTAGCTTGGCACATCCTTTTTCTATTCCCCTTCCTTTGTCTATGTTTCAGTCACGTCGAAAAGTTGTAAAAAAATGAAATAGTTAAAAAACCTCCTGTCTCTCTTGTCTAGTTTTCACTCCTTTTTGATTTTGTTATACCCCAATTAAAAACGGGAAATTATCAGATTCCCAGTTGATGGAGGTTTCCTACCTGTAGCCACTCGCCGATAACTTGAGTTCCTGCCCAGGCGCCATGTCCTCTCACACCGTTCAGCCGCCCGTTGTACGGCTCCAGACCACCGTGAGCGACAGACGCTGCCGTGATGCTGGTATCTGCGATGTATCCTGCCTCCATCCCCAGTGGTTCTAGACAGTCTAATGGTCAAGAATTACAATCGTAGGTTGATTTTAAGTTCAAGAATGATTTATAAATCTTCTTTTATTTTATTTATTTTTTGCCCCCCCTCCCCTATTTTTCTGACGACATCTTCAATACATTTCACTAAAATGGATATTTTTGCCATTCCATCTACATAGACTATAGTATTACTCGTTCTCCGATTAGAGTCTCAGGCTGTTTGGTACAAACTGCGATACTTGTTCAGTATAATATCGTTACGCGTAAAGCATTAAAGGATATCTAGGTTTTAGGTTACATGTACCAGTAATGCGATTGAATGTGTAACTTTTTTTAGGATATGCTGCGCATTGGTACATAGCAACAGGTATCATCCTCTCTGTCGGTAGAATCATTAGTTCTACCATATCAAAGTCTCTACCCTGAAATTTATACGCAAACACAGCCTTAGATAGTGCCTTTTCGTACTAGCTGTGCACGTACTGATGTACAGTATCGACTGTGTACTCACCGGCATTCATACAGCCCAGGACCTCCACTCTCATGCAGATGTGGTTGTTCCAAGTCTGGACAACGAAGCGGACGTATCTCGTGGTGACTTGTTGGTGGAGAAGTTGAGTTACCGCCGTTTCTCCATCCGTGTTCGCTGTCAAAATCTATGTCAAGAAAATAGAATATCGTGTTTTAAGCTTCACTGTATTGGATTCCTCATTTTGAAGCAGCTTCAGTTGAGGAATCTCACAAGTCTTTAAAGCCATTGTTACACTGATGGCAAAATATAGCTTTCCGAAACACTGTCGAACTCCCCCAATCATGGTTAGCAGTTCTTGAGCAATGTCGGATGCGGCTGGCTGGTGTCCTGCGAGGTTGGCTACGCCAGTGGTGTGGATCGGTCATTGTTGGTTGGTTTTCATTGTTGGTTGGTTAGGCCAGCAGTGCTCGGGAACTCGGGGCGTCTTCGTGGGTCAAGCTTGACTCAAATTTAACTCAAATTCAGTCCCTATAGAAAGGTAGGAATGGCTTAAATCTAGCTAGACGTTCACGAACTTTAGCCAAACTTGGTTGGTTGGTTCTAAATGTGTGACACGTACGGGCAGAATCCCCCAACAAAATGTCTGCCTACGTGTATACAACAAGGCGAACAAATTAAAATCTGACCAGACGGCCGTACCTTATCTGTCCCGTCAGAGTCCTTGTAGGTTGTCCAGGAGCTTTCGTCCCAGCTGAACTGCAGCTTGTATGACGTCACACACTGGTTATATATAGTGTTCCGCCCCTGTGTGATGACTCCGTACACTATCGCTGCTCCTCCTAAGTCAACCTGCACAATATGGACAGTAACGGCATCCTGAACTGTCTTTCATTCAAAAACGTTACAGTTCATAGATCTCAAACGACAAATGGATTTATAGACGTCTAGAATTTTTTTCCGTTTGGTATAGAAAACATTGTTTGTTTGTTTGTTTGTTTGTTTGAACTTTACTTTATTAACAAGAAGCCCAAATAGGCCTGCAGGTCACTAGTACTATTTATTGAGGTCTCTAGGAAAGATGAAAGGGTCAGACATAAAATCTAACAAAAATAAAGTCTACATCCTTTTAAGTCCTAATAAATCTACACACATTTTACACATACATTGTACAAAATATGTAGTGCATGAAATTTGGTACATGATTACGATTTAGTGACCACTACGAGACAGGTTCGAGTTCGTGGTCAGTTAAAACACAATTGATATATTCTAAACATTTCGAACCTGAAGCCATTCTCCGGCCACATGTCGTGCAGTAGCTGCACACCAGGCCTGCAGTCCGTCGCTGCTGTTCAGCCTGCCGTAGTACGGGTGATGTCCGTCGTTATGCTCGTATTCAGATGATGCCGTGATGGCGCTGTTCGGGATGGCTCTGGACTCCATCCCCAAAGGATCCTGACAAACTATGAGCAATAATATAAGCAGGAAAGTTCATCTTGCTGTTAATGAAATAATAAGAAATAAAACTGTTCCCCAACTAAAAAAAATGACACCCGGTCCGGAATTTTCGAGTGAATCTCTCAGTCTTCGGCTATCTGCAAACTTTTGCTAATGACTCAATTAAAAGTTGATTTCAGAGTTCTCTATCAAGGGTCATGAACTATCTGCTAACTTTTGTTAATCAATGACTTGGCAACCACTGAACTAAAGGTTGATTTCAGAGTCCTCTATCATGGTGAAGATATGTCAAGCACTTCTAATTTTATCGAATCGATAATTTTTACCAGTTCGAGAACTAAATGTTTTCTTGCTACAAGAGCCATCCCATTACATGAGTCTACACCAGTTACAGATACGTGGCGCTTATATCTATGCGGCTACTTATATGTTTAATGTGTGAATATAGTATACGCAAGATAGCTTACCAGTACAAGTAGGTTCGCTTGAAGTCCACTGGCCGTCAGCTTGGCAGGTTACAGTAGAGATGCCCTGCAGTCTGTACCCTGTGCTGCAGGTAAAGTCAACAACGTCCTGGTAGGAGTTTGTGGTCATGTTCCCGTTTGTAGGAGCCGTCAGACGGGGACACACTATTAAAAAACGGCATAAAAACATTGTGACACTAATGGTAACTGAACATCACGTGCCGTTTCCATACATATTTCTTCACCCACATTGTAGTCATTAAATTACATGATAACAAAGATATGTTGATATCATCTGGACAGTTCACCTGTGTTGGTAGAAGTCATCACAATTAAAGTTTAAAATGTAATTTCCAACAAAAAGATTGGACATTACAACCACCCCTCAACAAAGACGGGGGGCGCCACAGACTTTCTGCAACCCATGACCCACTGCTCATCGGGTCATGTGATGTGTGTCATCTGCGCATGCATGACGTGGCGTTACAGAATTCGGGTGCTTTTTTTCTGTTGGAAATTACAGTTTAAACTTTCTTCATAATCTGTTGATATCATTTAGAGTGAGACTACCTCACAAGAAACGTAAAGGAGGAAATTTTCTTTCATCCACCAACGTTGAATTAGGACAGCCGCAGGCATCGACTTTTTAATAAATGGTTTTTTATTGTTCAAACGGTACCCGTGCGGTCGCAGCCTTTATACGGCTGAATTGATGCAGGGTATCACAATAATCAATACAAATCACAACAATTACAACAATCAAATAATACACATGATACACATATGCATATTTGTTCCACAATTTTTTTTGTGGAACTGTCGCAAGGGTCTGTGCGGCTGCCATTCGGCGCCACAAGGTGACCTCAATACGACTTTCCCCAACCGAAGTTAGGTACCCATTCACACCTGGGTGGAGTGAGGAAATTCGTGTAAAGTGCCTTTCCCAAGGGCACAACGTCGGGGCGCATGTTCAGACAGGTACGACTCGGAATCGAACCCGGGTCTCCCGGTTCACAGTCGATTGCTCTAACCACTACACCACCCGACGCCACGCCCGACTTCCAGGCACCATTGACCCACTACTGACGCCACGCATCCCGAAGGCCAGTGCGCTTCAGGAAAGATGGTCAATTTTCTGATAGACACGTGCACGTCCAACCTTAAAGTTTGTTCAGCCTTGAAATATTTTAATTTTTGGTGCAAAAATGTTACATAATGTACCCCATAACTACATGCTCACCGTAGCAGCCCAGGATCTCCACCCTCAAAGAGACATGACCGTGCCAGGTCTGGGGTACAAACCGGATGTACCGAGTGGTGACAGGCGAGGGGAGAGTCTGGGTAACTGCGTCCCGGTCATTCTTGTTACCATTGAACACCTGGACAACAGTTCATAACTGGTGAATATGAAACATGAATGGTACAGACACTATATGTTTTATGATTTCATCTTGTATATATAACCATTAATCGTTATGAGGCCTGGATTGTCTCTTATTTCCTCCTTAATTTCTTTTTCACCTGTTTTTGCCCAATGGGATGAAATGTACATAAAACGTCTCGATTCATTCATTCATTTATTCATTCATCCATATATCATATGTCTCACTTTATCATAGGTTGTTCTAACGCACAAACGATTCAACGTCCTTTCCACTTGCTCATTAGAATTTTACACACTCCATCCAATTGACACGTTTAATACATATAAGGAGATATCCTTTACATTATAAACATTGGTTACATGGATTGTACGTGCATATTAGTCTCAAAAGACTATGACTAATTGCGCAAAGCAAAACAGGATTGTACATTGTACTAATGCTAATTCATTTGTATCCAATTATTATGTTTACCGAAGGAAAACATATTGTTTTTGCTCCATTTCCATTTCTTCTCCAAACACTAATCTCTGACCTGGCCAATGGCCTCTTTTGTTTACGTCTGTCACCATAGTAACTGATGTCGGGTTACACAATGTGACACACACACACACACACAATGTGGCAATTTCATTGTAGGCATTTAGACTCCTGTCACCATATACATGTATGTGAATGTGTTTGAGTAAGAATTAACAGAGCAGACCATATCCGAAGGTAAACATTATGCATTTGCTTTGCAAATGTTACTTTTCTAGTTTGTATTATGTTTAGTTGCAGTAGACATTACGATAGTTCCCGTACTTTTGTCGTGTCTACAAAGATCGTTGTTGGAGTAGCCATACCTTGTCTGAGCCGTCAGTGTCTTTGTAGGTTGTCCAGGAGTCGCCGTCTCCGCTGAACGAGAGCTTGTATTTCTTCACGTACTGGTTGGCACCTCTGCGACCTTGGGTGACGACCCCGGAGACAGTTGCACTTCCAAGGTCAACCTAAGGTCAAATGTGACACAGAAGCGACACCAACAAAATGTTTTCAAAATGTGCAAAAGATTCGGGTAGACGCGAAGTTCGGCAAAGGTTTGGTCTCGGTTGGCTGTTAGTGCCCGAGGCATGGTCGGGGACAAGTTTTACTCAAATTTAACTCAAATTTAATTCGCATAGAAAAGCAGGCGCGGCCTTAATCTGGTCAGACTGCTCTCGAACATGGTTGGTTGGTGGTCGGGGGAAAGTTATGAATGTGTGACAGACACTTAATGTAGCGCATTTGTAGACGAACAGAAAAAATATCACAATCCACGGACCACAGCAGGGGCTTTGGTTATTTTTAACACAAGGAAATAGCCTTCTGTTATATTTGCTCCAGTTCTCTTTGATTATGTGGAAAATATAATGCTAAACACATTTTTGGAAGTCATGACCACTATTCCCTACCGTGTTATCATTAATGTGAACGGGTACGTGTAACGTTAACGTTAATGATATATTCTCCCCACCTGTAGCCACTGGCCCTGATTGCTCTGAGCAGCACACCAGGCGTAATGCGAAGCCCTGTTCAACCGGCCCTGAACTATCCTGCAATGCCCGCTGTTATACTCAGATGACGCTGAGATGCTGGTGTCTGGGATATCTCCTGTTTCCATTCCCAGGGCTGAATCGCAAGCTACAGGGAATTCACAGACGATTGGGTCAACAATCAACATTAACCGCAGTATATAGTAGAGGGGATTCATTCCTCAAGCTAACCGACACGCAGTCGTCCCTCAGTAAAACATCTGGAGCCGCATAGTTCCCGTTTAGAACTTTTATTCAGCCTGTCACACGACCGGTTTCGACTGTGTGGCTTCTTCAAGTGTACAGAGGCTAAATGACACAAGTGCACAAAGTTCTCACTTATATACCTTTCCAGTGCATATTGCCCTCAGGTCAGTTACATGGCGAATATATAATTGTTGCCTGATCTTGATATTTTAATTCCGAAATCCTCAACATGCAATTCCTTACCTGTTACGTAGAGGGCGCTACAGCCGTTCACGCCTGTCCTGTTCGATGTTGCTGAAAATGTGAGAGCAGATAGTCTGTCAGTTGCGGCATACATATTTCTAAGCGGTTGTAAATAATTCTGATTTCTTGATAATTATGTTTACCGAAGGAAAACATATTGTTTTTGCTAAGTTTCCTCTTCTTCTTCCGTTTTCAAACACTTACCTCTGACCTGGTCAACTAGACTGTCTCTCACCATGGTAACTGGTGTTGGGTTACATAATTTTGCAATTTTATAGTAGGGGGGATTTAGACTCCTGTCACCATATATGTGAATGTATTTGAGTAAGAATGAACAGAGAAGACCATATGCGAAGGTAAACATCATGTATTTGCTTTGCAAATGTTACCTTCCTAGTTCACGGATGTATTACACTTACCGTATATTGGCTGCCAGGCGAGAGAGAAGAGAGAAGGAACGCTGCCGTCTGCGTGGAATACGACCTTCACTGCGTTTCCATGGGAACGGATGACCTCGCTAGGCCGTGAGCGCCCACAGAACCTCCCCATGCTCACCCACTGCTCACCTACATAGTCAAACAGCTGCAAAATCGTAACACATTAGTTGTGAACGAAAGGCTAAACACTGGAGGAGTAAAGCAAAGTGCCTATATAGTTCAGTATTAGCATGAAAGTTCATCTGAGTTGGTAAACTACATATTGCAGAATTAAACTATTCTCTGAACGGGACGGGGGGCGGTACCGACTTCCGACAAACTTGTACCAGGTGAGGCGTCGCACATGCGGAAAAATCACGTGTCTATACCACAGCACTCGGGTCAGAAAGCTGATGAAGACCGAGCGATTCGGTGAGTCATCATATTGAGTTAGAGAACAGTTTAATTCTCATTGCATTGTTAAGTATATGCCTATTCAACCAAGATGGTCACACCATTACCCCCATGTTCTTTTCAACTTGCATTGGCTTGATGGGGAGTATTCGACTATATTAAAAAATCCTAACCATGCAAATGAGAATGAAAGATACAGGCAAATTTAGAACAGGTGGAAAACATGTACCTCTACGTAGTCAAATCGGCAGTCGGGATGATAGTCCATGGAGAATGGACTGCCGAATGTCAGTTCCATCGTCTGCTGGCTGCCAATGGTCACCAAAGCCTCACAGGAGTAGGAGGACGGCTTGGAAAAGAACGAAACATTGTCATTACTAATTACTAAAACAGTAAGGGCTAGCATAATATAATGTTATAATTGAGTGGGGATAATCATGAGTTTCTTCTTGTAACAAAACAGCCTTTTATATATCTATCTGATGCAGAAAATGGCGTTTTGTCTAGCCTCGTACCTTTGGGTACATCAGATTTCGCACCTCACCGCCACTCTCTGTATCTACGGTCTGGCACGACTGATAACTTGTTACTGTGAGAAAAAAAAGTAGGAACATTATTGATCAGCAACTAAGCATAAGCCGAATGTACAGGTGTTTAACATATATATATATTATCTCTTTAAGCCAAATTGGGTTGACCCCAAATGTTAATTGTAGTACTATACCAACGACTTCGGCCCTAAAGCGTCGCCAAAATTTTGCAGGCAGCTTTACGTTTAAACGAGAGAATCACCTGCCGGTACTTCAGGAAACTCTATCCCTGCCAGTAACGGCGACCAGCCCGAGTGTATTTCCGTAATCAGCACCCCAAATGGTAATTCCATTACTATACCAACAACTTCGCCCCTGAGGCGTCGCCAAAATTTTGCAGGCAGCTTTACGTTTAAATGAGAGAATCACTTGCCGGTACATTGTACTTCAGGCAATTCTACCTCCAACAGGAAAGGACTGAGTGTTTTCCGTGATCCGCACTCTCAAGTAATAAGACGTTTCCGTGAACCTGGTAAACTACAATGATAATTACAGTTCGCCCCTGAGGCGTCGCCAAAAATTTTGCAGGCAGCTTTACTAAACGAGAGAATCACCTGCCGGTACTTCAGGAAACTCTATCCCCACCAGGAACGGCGGCCAGCCCGAGTGTGTTTCCGTGATCAGCACCCTCCAGTACGGAGACGTTTTCGTGAACCCGGTAAACTCCTGGGTGGCGTTGGAGCCGGCTGCCACATCAGTGACCGTCAGGACGTCCTTCCAGTCGGGCTGATCGCAACTGTCTGACGCCTGCAGTCTGAATTCCTTGAGGTCGCAGAACATACTATGATTTACACTGCGCTCTCATTGGTCATCCGTAATAACTTAATTAACAAAGTCCATATAAGGCATGTAGCTGGCAGTCTAACCAGATTAGAATCTGCGTACCTTTCTATATGAATCGAATAGAATTTGAGTAATATTTGAGTCAAATTTGACCACTACACCACTACCAACTGAACTACCGGCTGCAGTTCAGTTGACCTCCGCAGGACGTTGGGCGCTTGCTTTCAATATATTACACCTAAACTCTAACAAATTCATTTTGCGATTTTCGGTAGTGCACCCGAGTATATAATTCTTATTTACCCCCATCGAACTGAATCACCTTGAGGTCCTTAACTATAGAAATCCCCATAGGTCATCGCCTTCCCCACCTTGGACAGTTTAAGTTCCAAACTCCTGCCTCTACCTCTACACCCTTACTGAACTTAAAACATGATACAGACTAGCAACACCCTACATACTACATGATCACCCATTCCCAGTATGCAGTCTCACCTATATATACAGGCCACAAAATCTAAGAAGAAGACTGTTCTGCTACCTTGACGTCGTGAACGGTGTCTCCGTAGTTGTTCAGACCGATCCTGGACAGCTCGTGGCTCTCCCCGATGTCGTAGATGATGTACCAGTAGTTGAAGTGCTGCTCCAGACGTGCCGGGTACCAGTAAGTCTCCGGATCACCGTCCAGGGTCCTGGCCGCATCGTGCATGGGAGTCATGGGGGTTCCCGAGGAACCGATCACCGACACCTGGGACCATTCGTACACTCCTGTGACAAAACAACATGTTTGCCCTGTTAAATTGTGAACACGACTGTGTTGTCATGCACTGTTCATTGTTTTTATTTACTTTTACTGTTGTTATTTACTTAAAAATATGTATCGAACGTATATTAAAAAATGAAACAGAAAACATTTGTAATGAGAAATTTTTCCAGCTTTGACTGACCGGAATTTCTGACTGAATCTCTCAGCTTTCATCTGCTATCTGATCCGAGTGACGGACGGGGGGCGGTACCGACTTCAGACGAACTTTGACCCAGTGCTGACGTCACACTCAAACGTGGGTAAAAAAAAACACGTGTCTACAGCACTGGAGTCAGGTAACTGATGAAGACCGAGAGATTCTGTTCAAAACACCGGTTCACTTTGCACTGAAGATAGGTGTTACTGTTTCAACATGTGGTACAACTAGCAACAAACACACCTTTGGGATAGTACCACATTTTTTTTATAGTGTGACACCTTTTTGCACTATGGGGATTTAGACACAGAAAATGAAGGGCTCTCATTGGCTGAGGGGTTTTCAGTTTCAGTTTCAGTTTTTATTCGCACTTTAAAACAAAATACAGACACAAGACAATATAAATGAAATGTGACAGTGCAGGGAGGCCGGAAGCATAAAATGCTTATGAGGAGGCCTCCCTTCATAACTTAATTAACAATTCAAATTAATCGGATAAATAAGAAATAACTTACTAGGTAACGGGTAAATGAAACAAAACAATAAAATACAATACGATACAATACTATCTACAATTATGAAAAGTAGTAATGAAAAGTAGTAAACAAGGAAACTTAAACAAAAATTAAGAATGTGTGGGGTTATTTATGAAAGTTGCTTTAGTATAATTTTTGAAAATGGTGACGGAGGGACTAATTTGTAAAGTTCTACTTAGGTTGTTCCAAATTGTTGGGCCTCTGTACGTGATTGTAAATTGACGGAGATTCGATTTCGCATTGGATGGCCTTAAATAATTGCATTGGCGTGTAAAGTGGTTGTGGATGTCTGAGTTTAATAAGAAGGTGTAGGTGTCGTGGAAGGTTTCAGGAAGGCAAGGACATTTATTCATTATCTTGTACATTAAAAGACTTGTTTGTAGTTTATTTATGTCATTTATGGACAGTATTTTGAGCTTTTTAAACAATGGTGCAGTAGGGAAAGTGAATGGAACTTTTGACGCTATCCTGATGTATCGTTTCTGAAGCAAAAAAAGCGGTTTAAGTGATGTAGTGTACGTACTTGCCCATATAATATTACAATAACTTAAGTAAGGATAGATAAGACTATAATAGAGAGTGATAAATGTTTTAGGAGATAAAAGATTTCCTACTTTCCGTATAATACCAATGTTCTTGGATATTTTTTTACTAATAAGATCGATGTGATTTTTCCATGTTGGATTAAATTATGTGGTAGTGGCCATGTTCTAATTTACAGACAATTTGGGATTGTCTTACTTTTCTCACAGAGGTAGCCTTTTCCATCGTCGCAATCGGCGTCGCCCCACAAATTTTGCGCTGTAACCTGGACGCAATCTTGATTATTCTTATCATTTGGCTGAGCCGGACCCCATTTATTAAATCCTCCAATTGGGCTGCCGTCCTCCCATATAAAACTGCCTTCCATGTCAATGTCGTTTAACCCAATCCAGATCCTCGCATTTTCTTCAAGCGTGTTTTTCAGAGAAATTATGAAGTCGTGAGTCTCTTGATCTTTCACCGTGCCGAGGGTTGCCCCCTCCTCAGCACAGGCGGATCTTGCCTCCGAGTACGTCTTAACTTTGTCTGTGACGACCTTGAAGAAAGACGATCCATGTTGCTTCCAATCAAGTGGGTCATCTACAAGAAAGTGAGATTTATAAATATATCAATATTAATTTTAATTTTACAACAGATGCAGAAGATCATACTATCATGAAAGTTCATCTGTGTTGGTAGTTACATGAACCGCGACGGGGGCCGACATCGTCTACCAGATACCTTTGACCCAGTGTTGACGTCACACTTCAAAGAAGCCACGTGACAAGCCCCACTGGGTCAGTCTACTGAGGAAGACCTGAGTGACTGGCCGAAAGCTCTAGGTGAACTTTTTTGTGTTAAATCAAAAGTT